AGAGGCGGTGGCACTTCTGGCATGCTGATACGGAGCGATTCAACCAGCGACTCCGCAACGGCGCGGGCGGTGAGTCTCTGGATGAGTGTCCGGCCCCGCCACCGCTTCAGATCTCGGAACGGAGACGGGTCGTCGAACTAACGTGCGCTGGCACTCGGGGACTGACTGAGGATGAGCAGTTCGTGCGCCGGTGTGCGTGCATCATCGTCTGGTTCAAGCTGCAGTGTCGGAAGGAGGTTCAGCGTGGGGGCCGTCACAAGAAACAGCGGCCCTACCAGCGAGATCTCCAACCTGACCCGCCCCTAGACACCGTGCGGGCGAAAGAATCCATTCCGGCGAAGCTGGACGAAAAGCAGTGCCCATTCTGCGTCGCTGTTGTCTCGTTGCCTTGGGGGTAGCGGATGAAGGTCCGGTATCCGGGAGCGCACGAACAAGTTCTGGAACCATATCGAGAGCGTCCACCGCGAAGGTATACTCCTCCGGACAAAAGCACTGTGGGATCTGCAAAGTACAGGGTGTCACCTTCACTCCACCATCCATCATGGAATTCAAGAGTCATACCCTGAGCGTACACGATCCCCGTCTGTGTCCATAAGATGCAGATCGCATCTGCAGAACGTAGCATCCAGAGAATGTTACATAGACGTAGTATGGCTAGTGACTGATTGCTTGAGATAATTCTCCCCTTGCTGTAGGCTATATCCTTACAGAGTTGACTATAATCGCGAAAAGCACGGTCTCGTGAATGAATCCACCACTATTCAGGAAACTGAGTCAAAAGGCTGTCGAGGATCAACAACTGACTTAGTTACGGCCGCACCCTCCGGCCTCAGGGTGGATGGCTACAGGACAGAATGTCAACGGGGAGTTGTTTCCCGAAGATAAAACGGCGATGCTGGCACGAGAAGAACTAACCTTCTAAGTTAACTATTCAGACCGTCAACATGAGCGAGACTCTACGCTCTGTTCTCCTTGGAGAAGGGCTGGACCTACGATTCGTGAGATGATAGCCAGATTTTGTTTCAGGATGGCACAGGCACAGTGAGTATTTATATTTCATATTCCCCGGATCTGGAAAAGAGGTAGCTGGCTAAATGTTGGCCAAGTTAATATGCCAGGCCGAACTGAACATCTGGATCGCTGCTGAGTTCAATTGGAAGCCTTTAAACCCGGAGTGCCTCGACCAGGTCATCAGATACCAAAAGACCACACTGAGGCACACATTTCTTGTTCTCTATATCTGGCAATATCGACCATTGATTCACCATCCACTAATGGGGTGATTGTTAATAACATGGTGTCTTAAAAAAAGGACTTAATACATTTGCTCCACAACTAAAAGTCCAATCATGTTCCCTGCTGACCTGAAAAAAAGGCTCACAGATACTTGCAATACAACAATCAACACCCAATTCCTGGATGAAGGTAAATCCCAGAATCACCACAATAGAAATAGGGATCTCCCATCGGCATCTCCTCAGATTGGTTGGACCATGGACCTAGCCATCTCGAGCCTAGCACTGTCCACAACACCTCTGGCCACAAGTTTAGCAATCACTCGGACGGTCCAGCCTTGACAATTTTCCACAACAGCCTGTTGACTTACTGCTCTCAGAGGGGGTTTGTTCTCAGCCACCTGTTTTACAATGAGCGCCTGGGCGTCCGTGATGACGGCAATGTTGCATGCATTTGAGAAAGACACTGACTGGAGAATGTTGGTTGGACTGGGCGAAGGTTGATAGCTCATGCATTCAGTCAGCATCTCCTTTGACTTGGTAAACTGGGCAAGGTTCATTTTCACGGGCGACAAAGAGTGACCAATGCTGGGGTTCGCTGTCGACTTGCTTCTGCTGGATAAGCAAGAAGGCGCAGTGCACGGTCTAGTGTAGGCAAGTTGCCTTCAAGTTCCTCAGATTCAATCCATTGTTGCGTCCCCCTTTTGCAGCTGAACTCACGGCCGTTGAACACGCAATATTCAGAAAAGCCGACAGACTTGAAAGGAGTACCTGCCTGGGGGTGGATAGTTACTCATCTTGTAATAGCACAAAGACACAAATATTCATGATATGGATGCGGTTAAAGGGCCACACACTTTGAGGAAATATTTTAAAGCCTTGGATATATATCTGTGTAATCTTTAAGATGAACGTTGGAAATTTTGCACCTGCGAAGGGACTAAATCGGAGGCCATTCTCGGTCCCCCTATATCTGTATTCCTCCGCTCATCATCGTGGCAGGATTGATAAGGTTAGGGAGTATAGGCGCCCTCAACTCATTTCAGAATATACGTTCGCAGCCAATGAGTTGAGGGATCTTGAAAGCCACCGATATGTGCTCTTGCTATCTGTGAGGAGTATGGGAGCATTGTGTAGGCTGCTGGTCCGTACCTCAGCATCAGCAGGCGCCAGAGCCCCCGCACGTTTCATTACAGAGAGTCATGAGTCAATCAAGCGCACCTATCTTGGTGGAATGGATTTCCACCATTTCTGGCTGCATCGCATGCATGAATTTCGTCGCATTCCGAGAACCCAGCTGGACATGGACGTCGGCGGTCAGGTAACTATATTCAGTCAATGTTATCCTGATCTCGGAACTAATTCTAGGCAATATTCATGCACTGAGATGCGCATGAACTGAACGAATTTTCGCGCCGTGGCCTGGCATGTCGTCCTGCTGGTGGTTGGCTGGGACGGGGAAACAAAATATTCCCAACTCGAGCCTGGTTCCGCCGGTTGTTCAAGTCGCTCGCAACATATTCGTTGATGGGGGTCAACTGTTTTAAAGCATGCGACGAAGGATAATTCTCTTTCCACATCATCTGCGGAAACCAAGCCCGAGAAACCGAAGCCATGGCGTCCAACGCCTCAATCCCGGCCCTAATAGTGTCCAAATCAGAAAGCACACACAACCTTGAGGATGGCGTTCTATTTGCACATGAAAATATCCATGTGGGCGAGACTTATCTCAAGCTGGATCAAACACTCTTCAAAATTACGCCTGATTGTGAAGAAACAACCGCCATTAGAGGGGGATGTGATTACTGTTCTGAGCAAGCAAGGCGGTTGGTTGGTTCTTGGGTGAGATTGTTCATATGTTTCCAAGGGCGGAACAGCTGTAAGGCGCTTTGAGGTTGAAGCCATGAAGCTGGTAGCAAACTTGGACTGCTGTGGAACCCCCTTATACACAGACGAAGACATCAGAGCCCGAATATACCACCGCTACCTTCATTTTGGTGGTCTGCGACATAAATATGAGCTACCAGACATGCTCCCTCAATCATCCCATACAGTTTTTACGCACGCTGACATTGCCCCACGGAACATCATGGTTGATGACCATTATCGCATTACCGGCATCCTCGACTGGGAGTATGCCGGCTGGTACCCTGATTATTGGGAGTATGGGCAGATCATGAGGCCCGCTTGCCAGACGGGCGATTGGCAGAAATGGATGGATCTCACTGCGCCCCGTAAATGGGATATCTTGGGAATAGCAGCCGCGAGACGAATTCTATTTTGATAACGGCCGCAAAAACTTGCAAATAAAGAGTACTACTACTATAGTTGACAACACATGGTTTTGATTGAGATGTGGTCACCCGTCAATCCAGTCGCCCGTTCATCTCTACGCCCGTCATCCATTACACTCGTGGCTGTAAATTGAGATCTCTTCCCAAAGTCTGATGCTTCGAGCGAGCAGGGGTGTCAGCGGCAGCTTGTAGAGCGCAGGAATCCGTTACCCCCAACATTCCCGCCCTCTCCAAATTCTATGTCTGATGGCTTCGGTTCGAATAACGCGAGACAAGAATTTGTACCTCAGGCTGTCCCTCACAATTTAGACTTCAACTGCTTCGCCTGTCGGATCGTCCCCCACGGTTCGGACTTCAACGACCCTGGCAATGTAAACGACGAAATGCAGCTGTTCACATCTTAGGACGCAGTCGCTCTCGTGTCGGGCTGTGAAAATTTTGGCAGTGCAAACTATGAAATGCAGCAGTTCGCATCTCAAGGCGCTAATAAAAAGGAGAAGAAATGGAAAATATAAATATAAAAACTAAAGGAAATGAAATATATAAAAATGAAAGAAAGGAAGCGTCGCTTCGTATAAGAATCATGGCGTTCATAAACCTTCGTTGATGCTCCAAAAGATCCCCGCCCCGTCCGATCCCATGCTAATTCCAACTTTTTTCCCTAATATTGTTTTTTTGGTTGAATCCCTGATACTCTCCCAGTCCCCGATACCCTTCCCCAGTAAAACTCCGCAGACCATCCTCCAGAAAGAAAGAGATAGGCAAGAAAGGAACAAACGAGTGAGAGAATTGTAGGAGGAGGAGGAGGAGGAAGAAGAAGAAGAAGAAGAAGAAAGAGAAGGATATGAATCGTTTGGCTTGGTCAAGACATAATCCAATCCCAATCCTGCCCAAAACCATAATATAACGAGAAAACACACACACGCCGATCGACCATTTGGTTACCGCCAACTAAAAACAGACGATTTCCAAAATTTCCGCACATGCTCCTGTCTACCCCAAAACATATCTCTCGTCCTCAAACTCGCCCGCTGGAAGTGACTACTACTCCCATTCCCGCTACCTCCTCCCCCCCCACCACCACCACCACCACCACTACCACCACCACCACTACCAGCATCACCATACGCCCTAAAATTCTTCAACCGATCCTTACTCCTCTCCTCCTCCCACCTCACCTTCTGCACCTGACTCCTCCCCGTTCCAAACCCCACCGGTCCCAACATAAGCATTATCGGCACCTCCATCTCCTCCCTCTGCTTCTCCTTCCACCCCTCACTCCCCGAAATCCTCGTCAGCGGCGCAAGCGCTTCATCCCAATTCCCCGTCCGCAACGTCGTGTTCTCAAAGTTAAACTCGCGCACCGTGCGCCGGTGCTCGAGGATAAAGATGGATACCTGGCTGGCGTCTAGGAAGGCGTTTTCAACCTCTGCGTATTGCAGGGAGGGGAATTTGAGGGGTTGCGGGGGTGCTGGAAAGCGGGTGGGGCAAAGGGTTGTGGAGGGTTCGGTGGCGGTGGGTTGGAGGCAGGGTTCTGTGGGAAGGGAGAGGGGGCAGGGGCCTTGCTGGCCGCGCCAGCGAAAGGTGAAGCGGGTGAGGTTTGGGAAGGATTGGAGGTAGGAGTGGAGGAGTTTTAGGTGGTCTTGGGGTCTCTTTGTGCTGTTGCTGTTCTTCGAGTGGTTGGAGGAACGGGAGGAGGAGGAAGCGGTGGTGGTGGTGGTAGAGTTGATATTGATGATGTTGTCGTCGTCGTATGGAAAACTGTCCATTTCTATTGATAGGTTGCGAATTTGCGACCACCGTTTACGTGCCCCGGGTGATGCGCCGAAGCCCAGGTTTGGCCGGAGGTAGAGAACTGCGCCTGGGTGTATGGGCTGGAGGGTGAGTGTCTCGAGTGATTTTAGAGGTGTCTGTTCAATTGCTATGCGTAGGGATATAAGGGCGTAGTCTACTACGCTGCGCCGGTAGCGGTGCCCAGCCGCTTGGCCGTCGCATGACACTTTGAGGTGTCGTAGTGAAGTCATGGCGTTGAATGCGCGAATGAACGAGGGGACATTCGCTACCGCGTGGAATAGCGGTGGGTACTGTTTTGTTAACAGTTCCGTCATTTCCCAGGTGCCATATCGGGGGAAACTGAGTCTGGATGCCGCGGGGCAAGAAGGAAATATTTGTGGTTCGTAAACGAAGGTTTGTTCCTGTCCTGTGACGGGGTGTACCAGAGGTGGAAGAAAGGTTTCCGGGGTGTGAGGGATATTAAATTTAAGAGTTTTGATGTAGGTTCCAATGCGTTCCAGAGCGGCCATGCGTGCTGGACGGGTAAAGGTGCCATTTCGGAACGAGACTTCGACTTCTTTGAAGAGCACAGGGGCTGTGCGTTGGGAGAAGTCATGACACACCAGTCGCATGGATAAAAGATCTTCTTTTGGCAGGCAGTCGAGAAAGGCATCTCGTGTCAGATCTGTCCACCAGAATTGGAAGAAGGCGGTTGCGGACGCCATGCTTGGTATTATAGTGGTGATTGTTATTGATCATAGCGGCTAGACAGCCGATTCCAGATACAACCCGTTCTTGAGATGCTTTGTCAGTCATGACCTCGTCCAAAATGACGAATGAGGGATGAGGGAATGGATGATTTGTGCCAATTGAATGATGGATATGGATGGGAGAAACCAAATAAAATTACGAGAAAAAGGACCGTATTTCGCATACAGATATCTGGAACAAGAGCTCTGCTCTGTTTGAGATCAAATAGATGCTGGTTAACTTGTGGTCTCTGTAAATAAATATATTTATGTCCATGGATAAGTGTATGTTATGTAGAAAATAGAATGAAAAAATATTTAGAAAACTGTAGTGACGATAAGAAGTATGCCAGATACTTCGAATATTGGGCTTTTGTGCGGTCAAAAAGGAGAGGAGAGTGCCCAAAATTGCCTAAGGAGGTGTCTCACTGTATGCTACACAGCGCAAAATGTTTCAAAACATATTGAAACAAAAATAGGGACTGAGAAACCGGGACAAACCAGATAATATAGGGTCCATCGGCCAAAGGATCGGTTTCCATTTTGCGCCCGGGATGCCCAAGCAACCCGACAGCAGTAGAAGACCGCGCCAAAAGACTAGAGAATATCGTCCTTGCTTTTTGCTGCTCCTCTCTTCTCGTGTCACATCGATAGCGTGAGTCACTTTACTGGAGCAAAAACAAATTTGTTCGCTGAGAAGAGCGGTCTAAGAAAAAAGCCAGAAGAACCGTTCAACCGTTCTGCAGAAGATAGTCGATAATCGCGAGATTGGAACGGTCGTGAACAGACATCCCGACGCGATGAGTGGCCGTAGGTAAGTAGCGGGTTGCTTTTGAGGTCTGGGGTCCCGGTATGGCAGCATCCCAGCTCCTTCGAGACCTTAGCCCCTCACCAGCCGCTGGATTACTCCGGGTTTCGTGCTGTGGGAGGTTCACCACGACATCAGCACGCTGAGTGGCTGAGAAACAATGCCTTGGCGTTTCGGCAGAAACAAATCCCTTTCTTTCTGCACTATGCCCAACCAGGGCATGCTAACCAGAGAGAGCAAGGGGCGTACGCCCTGGATGTCGTATCCTGGACATACTTCAACCTATTTCGAACCAAACCAACCGCGAATGAGCAAATGGCGTCTCGCGAAGACCCTTGGCAATTTTAAGACCCGTACGCGTTCCCCTTGACGTGAATTAAACGCGCGACATCGCGTACACCGCGGGAATGATGGGGTGGAATGTCCGCGGTTGAGAACTTTGGAAGAAGTGCATGCAGGAGGTTCGTGATCCGATCTAACAACTTCGAGAACACTGCACAGGGGGAATGAGGGGGCTTCAACGTTGCATCTCGCAGGGCCTAGGCTACAACCAATGCCAAACACTCATAGATGAATAATGCAAAAATGCAAAATTTATCTCGCCAACTTGGATGAAGGCCTGGTTTCATCCGCCTCCCAAGGAGACGATTATTCATTTGTTTGGTGTGTACGCGAGGGGATCCAAGTTGAAAATCTGGCCAACTGCAGAGCTACCACTCATATGCTCCGCAGTGGCAATGGACTCTGGATGACGGCAAGCAACGTCGCGTTCTAGAGTCGTCTGTTGCGATACGCGCCCGTCGCATTGTCCAAAAGTCCAAAGAAAATTTGAGAAAAGGTTCCATTGATTGATCGGTAGGCCCATTGGCAATGCTCCATGGGAAGTGCCTAGACTGGTTAGATGTCACAGTGAATAAAATCCACGAATGTCCGTGTAATTCTGTGATTGTCCGTGTCGAAAGGGCTGGTAGCAGCCAACGTTCACCATATTTTTTTGTTTGGATTGTTTGAATATGGATCAGTAGCAATTGTGCATCTGCTAGCTGTTCAACAGAATAGATATTCGAGAAGGACTGCATTCAACACTTCTATCCATCCCTCTCATTGCGTCGGTAACTATGGGTTTGCCTCTTTCATAGCTACACCCACTGGTCCATCAAACAAATGGCAAAGAACCCATCCATGGGTCCCCTGATCAAAAGGGGCACCCTTGGACAGGCACATGTCCTTTGTATAGAGCAGCTCGAAGGTACCAATTTGTTCCAAGGTTGCCGATTCTTCCAACCCCTCCAAACAACAAGGCTCTGTTTAGTCTTGAGTTGAAGAATGTCCGTCGATTAATTACAAGGCTCTCCTAGAGAAAACTAGATGACTAAGCGATGAGTAGCAGGGTGTCAAAAAATTAATATGGAACCAACAGGAAATCTAAACGATTCCATTAAATCGGCAGAGATGGGAATTGGGTGCGCCCTGAGGGTGAACAAGTAAGAAGGAATAGAAGCTGTAGATAAATTCACAGCGCTGCGCCTAACGGTTGTGCCGCAACACAAATATTTTCGGCCGGTTATAAATACTTGGGCCAAAAACTCAAGGGCACGCGCTGGCGGGAAGTTTGTTCTCGAGTCACAGCACCTTGACGGCCACCGACTTCGCAGCGACAAAGTTCTTGTCGAACATCCACTCCCCCGCATTCTGCCTGCTGCAAGGCTCAAATTGACCGTCACACCCCGGGTGTTCCAGTGGTGGTCACCCCTCCTGGCACACTTCTTCTCCCGTTAAGCCTCATGAAGGTTGATGCCCAAAAGGCAACTTGAGTGTTGTACGCGGCTCTCCGTTTTCTCACCCCTCCGCCCACTCAAGACGGGCTCCGAAAGGTGTTCCGAAGGCAAGTTCCGGTCAGGTTGCATCAATCTGCCTTATTCCTGTCTCATAATTAAAGCCATTGCAAAACCATTGCATTTTGCTAATTTCGTGTTCCGAACTTGTTTCGAACTTTCAGCGATATCCATCTCTTATAGGTGCCTCCATGGCCGCCCATCCCCCTCCCGGCTCCTGCACCATGCACGCAAGACCCCCTAATGATTCGACGCCCATAGACATCGAGACTGAAAATATATTACAAAACTTTAACGGTGACATTGTAAAGTCTCCAGATTCGTCTCGAGATGAGGATTTATCCCAGCCCCTTACCGAGAATGTGCTGGAGAAAGATCTGCCACGAGTAGTCGCAGAAGATACCAATCGTCCATCATCTGCATCTTCTGCAGACTCAGAACTGGCTATGATTCAACACAGGCTCATTGAAATGGCAGATGACTTGACATCCCTCGACTCCCCCGACTCTTGGTCTTCTGCTAGGTCAAACGAAAATACCCCATCCCACACGAGCACACAGGACCAAGATAGAAGAAACCTGGATTTGATGGTACCAATGGATAGTGACAATGATATCCCCCCATCACGAGGCTCCAACGTCTCAGGCAATTCTCATGGACAAGTCTCAATTACAGAGAGAGATGAGAATCCACGGGATCTCGTTTTGTCACCTCCGCAAACTCGTAAACGCCCTCGAACTTCAGCCAATGCTGGCGCGTCTACAAGTGGAATTCCTGAATCTAAACTTCGAAAACTTACTCCCTCTCCAGATTCTACAGGCTCCTCCCCACCGACCAACCCGGACAAGATAGATATACGCCAGATCTTCGCACTCTCTGGAAGTGACGATGACTTTGCTGAGATAGAACGTGAACAGCGGGAGGCTGAGAAGTGGCTTAGAAGAAAGAGGGAGCAAGAACGTGAGGATGAGGAATATGCTAGGAAATTGCAGCAGATGTGGAATGAATCTCCCAATCCCAGCAGGTTCGATTCTCCAAGCAGCAGCACATCACAACTGGGATCCACGTCAATTCATTCCCCATTTGGGTCTTCCGCCATTGGAGGAAACCCATCCAGAGATGGAACTTCAGCCGATAAATCTGTTTTCAGCAAAGCAGGATTCTTTCCTGTACGTGAGAACAAACCTGCACAGTCATCTAAGCTTAACAACGATTATGTCGAAATAAGCAGTGACAGCGACATCGAAGAGATTCTCCCAGAATCCAATCCTATTCATGCGGGGCGTTCAACTCCATATAATCGAATTCAGCAACCCACACGTACAAGTGCGAGGGGACTCTGGCCGAAGCCAAATACAAGAGAAACAACATCTTGTAATTCCCCCAAAACCCAAGGTGAGGGTTTGGGATATCCATCCCTCGACAATCTAATGGGATTACCACATTCGTTCTCTTTCGGAAAATCGCCCTACGACCTTTTACCTAACAGTCGCCTGAATAGATATGATGCCACAAACCATACACCAAGTTCAAGTTTAAATGGATATTCAAACTCTTACAACGGTGATTTTTCGTTGAACGACGAAATTGCCAACTTAATTTCCAGAACAGCCTGGGAGCTTGAGACATCTGGCATGAGTGTAAGGTACGTAGATCGATCTTATGTTGCCTTTTGGCAAGTTTTGGCAGTTCGAAATTTACGAAGCTGACCGTCTTACAGTAACATGAATTCAAGGCTTTACGATCAGATAACGCCCAAAACTACAATGGACGAATTGAAAAAGCTCTTGGAGAATATTCGACCCGACGAGGACCTTGATGTAAATCGAGAAGGCACGCCGGCAGCCCTGCAATGCACGTTGATGGAACATCAGAAGCTTGGTTTAACGTGGATGAAATCCATGGAAGAAGGTTCTAATAAAGGTGGCATTTTGGCCGATGACATGGGCCTGGGGAAAACCATACAAGCATTGGCACTCATTGTTTCTCGACCCTCAGAGAGACCGGAATGGAAAACGAATCTCATAATTGCGCCTGTTGCCCTAGTTCAACAATGGAAACGTGAAATCGAACGGATGATCAAACCAAGACATCAACTAAAAGTATTTGTCCTGCATAACGGCAAACGTAACGTGCCGTACAGCACTCTGAAAACGTACGATGTTGTCCTGACCACTTATGGGACTCTAGCGGCAGAGTTTAAACGAAAGGAGTTTGCGGACAGGATTAAAATCGATAATCCACATACTTACCAAAATCTCCCTGCTGATGCGGTTAATTTGCCCCTTCTTGGGGAAGCGTCTAAGTGGTATCGTGTGATTCTAGATGAGGCGCAATGCATCAAAAACAAAGACACCAAGTCCGCCCGGGCGTGCTACCAATTGCACTCGATATACAGGTGGTGTATGAGTGGCACCCCTATGATGAACAATGTGTTGGAGCTCTTCTCTCTGATTAAATTTTTGAGAATCAAGCCGTACCATAATATCGAAACTTTTAATACTGTGAGTAGTTCCCTCCATCCCCCTTAACTTCCCCCCCCTCTTTTTTTTATTTTTTTTTATTTTTTTATTTTTAATTAACCAAACAAATGGTACTTTGAGGTTTGCTAACGATGACATAAAACAGATATTTGCGAGGCCCTTGAAAAGTGGGGTTGAACATCTTCAGAATCGGGCCATGGAGAAGCTTCAAGCTCTGTTGAAAGCTATACTTTTGCGTCGGACTAAAAGATCGAAGATCGATGGCAAGCAGATTCTGCAGCTGCCCCCGCGTACCACTGAGAAGACATATGCCGTTTTCAGCGAAGACGAACAGACACTTTACAGAGCCCTGGAATCCCAAACCCAGCTTCAGTTTAACAGATATCTTCGCGCGAATGCAGTTGGCCGTAATTACTCCAACGTTCTCGTTTTGCTACTGCGGCTGCGACAGGCATGTTGTCATCCTCACTTGATGACTGATTTTGGAGTCGATCTCAATGGCCCCGACACCGAAGGAATTGATATGGTTGCAAATGCGAAAGAGTTTCCGCCAAATGTTGTCGCGCGTCTTAAGGAGAACGAAACCTCGGAGTGCCCCGTGTGCATCGATGTGGTGGAAAATGCAGTTATCTTTTTCCCTTGTGGCCATAGTACCTGTGCTGAGTGTTTTGCTAGAATATCTGATCCTTCTCAAAGGCTGATGCAAGGAGACGAGGGCTCTCTTATCATTAAGTGCCCTAGTTGCCGTGGAATGGTCAACACGAAAAAGGTCACTGATTATGTCTCTTTTAAGAAAGTCTTTTACTCAGAGCCCGAGGAGGCAGCTGTAGAGGACGGCCAAGATGCTGAAGATGCTGAGGCAGATACTGACAGTCTGGCTGACTTTCTTGCTGACGATGATGCCGATGATTCAAACCCTCCCCCCGGAAAACCAAAAGACCATAAACAGGATCGAAAGGGCAAGGGCAAGGTTATTGAAAAAGCCAGAAAGTCACTCCCACAGCTGAAGAAAGAAGCCACGAAAAGCACCGAAGGGAAACGGGAGTATCTTCGTCACCTGACCGAAAATTGGGAGACGAGCGCTAAGATCGAGAAAACAATGGAGATTCTCCATGATATTCAATCCCGCATTCCGACTGGCGATGACAAGCCCGAGAAAACCATTATATTCAGCCAGTTCACGTCCCTGCTTGACCTTCTCGAAGTTCCTATCCTGCGAAAAGGATGGGGCTATCGCCGATATGACGGCAGCATGAACCCTAACCAGCGAAACGAAGCCGTCATGAAGTTCACAGACAGCAAAGACTGTACGATCATGCTCGTGTCCCTCAAGGCGGGTAATGCAGGTCTAAACCTTGTGGCCGCTTCGCAGGTTATTATCTTTGACCCCTTCTGGAACCCGTACATTGAGGAGCAGGCGATTGATCGAGCTCATCGCATTGGCCAGGTGCGGCCGGTTGTAGTTCATCGAATTCTTGTCAAGAATACGGTTGAAGATCGTATACTTGACCTGCAGGAAAAGAAGCGGGCTTTGATTGAAGGGGCGCTGGATGAGGGTGCTAGTCAGAGAATTGGACGCCTAGCAACACGCGAGCTTGCGTTTCTTTTTGTAGGTTTCTTTTCTTCTGTTTTTTCTTATGTTATCTCCTTGGGCTGGATTTTGACGTTGATGAAGCGGAACTACTTGCTAACGATTTTGGTCTGATAGGGTGTTTCGGAGAATTAGACTTGGACTTGCTGTATTGAATGCTGTCTGTGGTCACGGCGTTAATTTACTTCTAACTTCTTGTGTTCACCACCTAACAAGAAGCCTATCGGTTGGTGTGTTTTGCTCTACGAAATTTTCCTCGACAGTTGTCCTCAATCTATCCAATGACTACGGCGTTACGCCTCTCCTTACACGGCATCGTTAGTGTGGAATGTGGGTACTGTAGGTCACGATTATGATTAGATTCCACAAAACTCTGTTACACCCCCCCTCTATCATGTAACCTTTTAATTTCTGCTTCCCCAGAACTTTTGTTAGCCGCCTTTTAATCCTCCCCCCATTATAGCTTTATCCTCCCCTATACCCCTATATTTAGCTTCTGTCTTTTCCCTTCATCCCCCGATGCGCAGGTACTCACCCCTGTTCCAATTATTCCGGCAATCCATTAATCGTAGAAGTCTGTATTCTGTTGCCCTGTTTCTCCCCCATTCTCACTTCACCACATGAATTTCCCTCTTCTAGATGTTTACATCTGTTGACGATAGATATCTTTGCGCATGCAGCCACTCCCCCGTTTTGTATGTCTTTTGTAATCACAACCTTTCTTCCACTCCCTGTTTCATACCCCCTTTCTTCCTCACGCTGCGCGTCTACACCACCTACCCTCTTCCATTGACTTACACCTATTCATTTTCCTTTCGGTTTTGTTTCTTTTGGGTGATAAAGAATTGAATGGAGCAATCACCTGTGGAATTTGGTATGTTTCCCAAGGAGAATTATTTGCAGTGGTTTTCCCATTTGTTGTTTTCCAACCTTTTCAAGAGATATTTTTCTTCTCTCTGTCAAAATAACACCGTTTAGACTCCTTCACTAGATTTTATTTGGAAGAATCCTCGTCTATTACGGATATTCTTCCAGACAATTGAAAGCCACACGCTCTTTCAGAGAACCATTCGTGCTCTACTAGAAGCAGCTGCAGTTTATCCACTTCACGACTGGTTCTATCAGAAGGGGAGTCTAATATTTACATATATGAATCAGAGTGTAAAAGAAACCCAGAGGAGCGTGAATGTATGCTTCTTCTCCAACCTTCTTTTTCCCTTGGGCGCGTGCATGATGAGCTTATATCAGCTGTTATATACATTGGACATGGACATCCGTAATACCTATCTATGAAAAGAGGCAGGGAATTTTTGCAAGCTAGAGAGGGGGTTCAGTAATAACATGTTATTATTTCCTTTCCTTTCTAAACCCTCCCGACAAAAATAAACAGAAGGGGAAAAGAGGACCCGGGTAAACACACTCCCCCTGTCAATCCGAGGACTCCTATCCGTCTTGCTTTCTATCAGAGAACTCGACGTATTTCGCGTTTACAATTAAATATAGGTGTCCATGGTTGGTAGTGGTGAAGTGGGAGTACTTCATTCAACATAAACCTTTGAATATACGGTAAATACACAAATATAAGAAACTTTTTAGTACAAATTTCTGTCCTCCCTTCCACCCATTCAGTTGTTCAGAAGAGAAAACAAACAAGCAACTTCAGGGGACATTGCGAAGAACAAACCTTGGAAATGAAGTCCGCTGATAAGGTGTTAAGATAGAATAGATGCTTTTAGGGATGTCTAAACTACTTTGAAAAGACAAACTAAATATCAGGGCAACATGAAAAACAAATAAGTCACAAAATTAACAAACATGATATAACGGGGAGAAATTGGAACACAGAAGATTTGTCTGTTTCCAAAAAATATTTCTTCCCCTTTTATCATCCTTCCCAGCCATCCATTCAAAATCTCGTCGACATGATTTTTTCTGTTGGTTTGTACGTGTAATATTATGGATTTTGTTTTCCGTCCATTGGCGAACCTCCAAGACTCCCTTTCTCGCTCTTGCTTATCTCCAGTCACTAATATCATTACCACGTAAAATTTTTAGCATATTACTCTTTTAATTTTTCCATCTTTAGCTTGCAAGGTTCTGAGTATACATAAGCTGGCTTTTCCATTTTTCCTTTTCTTCAGAGTATTTTCATTACAACATTGCAGAATTTGGCTTAGAAATCGGCATCCTCCTCATCAGGAAGAGGCATTTGAGCAGCTTCCTTCATCTCCGCCTCCGCTGCGGCAATCGCTGCAGCGTCAACTGCGGTCTCAGGTGGAGCGAGGGCAATATCGGCAACGAATTCCTATTGGTTTGATGGTGTTAGAGAAAATAGCACTCAACAATGACCTATTTTTAGGGGAGGAGGGAAGCTTACCAAGCCAGGATTACCAACGAGCTTTCTCGCGAGCCAGAGGAAGGGCTTCTCGAAGTTGTAATTGGACTTGGCGGAGATATCGTAGTACTGGAGGTTCTTTTTGCGGTGGAAAGTGATGGTTTTGGCTTTCACTTTCCGCTCCTTGACGTCGACCTTGTTTCCACAGAGGACGATGGGAACATTTTCACAGACACGAACCAGGTCACCTATATAGACATGAGTAACCGGAACTAAGGTGGTATCCGCGACAGATACGATACCGGGGAATACTTACGATGCCAAGATGGGACGTTTTTGTAGGTAATACGGGAGGTGACATCGAACATGATAATGCCACACTGACCGTTGATATAGTAACCATCTCTTAGACCACCGAACTTCTCTTGTCCGGCAGTATCCCACACATCGAACTGGATGGCGCCCAGATTCTGTATTTTCCAGAATGTTGTTAGATAGCTGCGATAACCGAAAATTCACGCGAGGGAGGAGCTGAATCGCTGAGCATGTTCCGCACCGTCTGGAATTTGAGGGGGTGGACTTCAACACCGAGAGTAGCAATGTATTTCTTCTCGAATTCACCAGTAATGTGGCGCTTGACGAATGTGGTCTATTAAATTTTGATATAAAAGCGTTAGAGATGGGCTTATTTTTAATGGGAAATAAGAAGTAGTGGTTGACGATAGACACAATTCTAGGGGGCCAGGAACGGGCATGTTGTTGTTACGGTAGTGGAAGAGGGGTAACGAGTGGGTTAATTAGAATTTGTCAAGACGGTGCTTTTGCCCCAGGGTCAAAGCGGGAAAGATTAAGATGTCAAGAAAAGTACGCGTGAATGATTTTTCTCCTATCCTTACCTTGCCAGTACCACCGTCGCCGACGAGGACGAGCTTGAAGGTGGGAGGGGCTTGTGCAGCCATGACGATGTTGAGGAATGCGAGTAGAGGGAGGGGTTAACCAGGAAACGAGACCTTAGTTGAAGGGCGTTTCTCCGGGTAGATATCTAGAAGATGAGCAGATAGGAATTATCAAATGCAGGGAAATAGATGGGTAAATGGCCGTGACGTGGAAATGATGAGTTGGAAACGTTGTGGGATGGAAGATGGGAGGAACTGGGGAGTTGGGGAGTTGGAGAGAGTGGATGGAATAAAAATCTTTGGGGCTCTGTTGTTTTTTAGCAGAAGTCTGTGACAACAAACGCAGACATCAGGTCACGTGGTAGTATTGCCCCCAAAAACCGAATCCACACGTCGCAGCCCATAGTTATTAATTGATTTAATTATGATTTGTATGAACTTGTGCTGTAACTATGTACTGTACATATGCCAATTTGGGTGTACTTAATCACTGTGCTGAATGATGAAATTGTACATACATACCTTCATGACTGACTGGTTATTTTCTATACTGTCAAGTCCTTGCTCTGAGTTAGTTACAGAGTTACATATTATTAATAACAATTATCCTGATATCTTGTTTTTTAGAGCCAGTTACTTCTCTGTTGCTGACACATCCTTCTTTGACTTGTCGATGGAGTGATATGCTTTAATGGGATCTCGTTTCCACGATTAGCTCGGCTCGTTGTGGGAACAATCTCTCACTCTCTGCTCTCAAGGCCATCATTTGGTGTTGCATGGGTGAGGTTAAAGATAAATAATAGCCCATCCTCCTCCAACGGTGAATTGGTTTTGTATTGACATAGACCTAACCCATATAGCCGCAGGATACAATTTTGAATATAAATCCTACACTGAAAAATATAAGAAAGAAATTTAACAGAGGATCCTCGGTGAATCTCTTACAATAAAACATAAATATTTGAAATGGAAAATCAAAATGCCATACCCTCGTATTAACCCGATTGCTTCAGCCTGTCCTCTAAACTCCGTATCTGTAGAGTAGAAGAAAGACTTCGGATTGTTAAAAATAAAAATGGCAAAAAGTGTACCCTGAAAATGCTAGATCAGGCGACAATTCATGCTAACATGAGATGGCATCCCATGTAGCCTCGACCCCCCCAACCTAGCCGAGGCACCAGTGTTACAGTGATATCTGTCTCGATGCCAGACTCATTTTTTCGAACCAACTTAACTAGGAGATTTTTCTGAAACACAGAATAGATATAAGTCAGTAAGAAGAAGAAAAAATTGAATCCTCCAAATTAGAGAGCTAGGCATAAAAGGAAAATGAAAGAACAAGGCCGGTAGACCGGCGTTTCTGTGTAAATAAAAACAGCAAACAAACATACCGCTTCATGCGTCCGCACTATCTCCGCCACCTTGGTAAGGTTCTCGTGGTTCATCCAGTTAATGTGTCCAAAACTGCGAACTAAGTCACCAACTTTCATACCCGCCTGCCCCGCCGGGCTTCCCTCCATCACACTGTTAATCTTGGCAAATGGTATCTCTCTCACCGCGGATTGAGAGCTGGCTGACTCTTCCGCGCCCGGTGATGTGGTTGATGGAGTGTCTGGGGCCGAAGTCGTCGTCCCTGAAGCTGACGACGGGGGACAGTTCGCATTTTGTTGTTGTTGTTGTTGTTGTTGTTGTTGTTGTTGCTGAAGCTGGGCGAAGCGGCTGTGGACGCATTGTTCCACCTTGGTCATGACATCTTTGTAATCGTTCTGAAGGTGGATTATTCGAGCTCGAGTCGTGCGGACTTTGGGTGGGGTGGGTTAGTATTTTATTTTTGTTGTATAATTTTGTTTATACTCCTTTTATATCACGGAATATGTAATGATTGGTAGGGAGAGGGTTACGACGGCAGAGAAGGAGAGGAGACGCACTCTGCGCAATATCCAGATCGTCCCTGGGGTATCCATTGAATGTAGTCAAGCTCGTCGACATAGTTACCCCATGCTATATTGTTTGTAGAGCATATGTTGATTAGTTAAATCTGCACACACTCCCTGCAACGCATATGCGGGGAAATGACCTCATCGGTTCAGAGAAATATCATCAGGTTCTAGTGGGACCAGGGAGGTACGAGCACAAAACACATACAGAGTCAAGCACATTGCTCAGCGCCTTGAGTTCATTTTCTATCAATCTCTTCTCTTCATAGAGCTCGTTCAGGGATAGGGACGACAGATCGCGGCCATTTACAAATCCTCGCGCGAAGGTTGGCCCTGAGGCCACTGTGGGTGCGTGTATATTGTTCATTAGAATGCCCATGTCGAGGGGGTCATGTCTCAGGGGTGGCTTAAGTCATTGCACGGCGCTGCAGGTGCTATGGAAAAGAGTGGCTATGATAACTAAGATAAGGGGGTAGGGGTTAGACAAAACAAACTGAGAGGTTGAGTTGCTGGTTTAAGCTTGGTTTAAGCAGAAGGCTACGTATAATATATTCCAGAAGCGGCTCGTCGATGCCGCTTCGCCTGGAGATGTGGCGGTGCTGCCAAGAGAGCCAAAGCCATTTTCGCTCACGGACAACATCTTTGTCACCGCAAGACTAAACGAGCATCTACGGAAATAATTATGATAATGCGTTGGTTGGACTTCAGTTGTATTCTCACGTCCCTGAGATACGAATATTTAGCAAAAGTCTATGTCTGCCTATACACCGTTTTGTTTTATTTATATCGTTATTTATTCATATCTTCATTTTAATCTGGAGTTCCATGTCATCTTGTTCCGGAATAGGGGTTATCTAATATCTCTATCTGTTTGATACATGACATTCAAATTTCATAATATGGGCTAGCAAGCATTGATGAAGCAATATTTCACTTTTCGCATTTTATATACAGTCATGGCTTCATCACCGGAGTCAATAGCCTTCCAAAAAGATATAATAGACTCGTTGCGGGTGCAATTGGCTGCTGTTGCTTGCGGCTATCGTCTCATCGAATAATATCGGGCAAACGAAGTTGTTGGGCAGGGCGGGCAGCCGCCCTGCCGCATGTGATATTGGCGTATATAATAGTTAGCAAGTCCTCCTCTCACCAATAGAGAATTAACCATCCCACAAGTGGCGCCAAAGCTATGACGATACAAAGATGCGGACAAACCTCATTCGAAGCCTGTCTCGGATCATGATTACCTACGATCAGGGAGGACGGGGTTTTAACTCTGGATAATTGGCTGCTGTCGTCAACAGATATCCAAGGACGTCCCCCGTGGATATCCCCGTGATTATACTTACTCTTGTGTTGACTCTTATATCATGGATGAAATAGTTGGTGTTCATGATAGTCGCCTTCGCCATCAAGTAGACACGGCGACTAATGAGCAAATTTGCATCTCTCAGATGTGTGCCTTGGCCAGCATGAGTGCGTTCTATTGTCACATCCTCTGCTGTGTGATCTGCGCCGCGGACCCTTTGTCTTTTGTCTGCCAGATTTCAATCAGAGAAATATCTTGTTCGATTCGGAATGGACTATTCACGTGCCTAGCTGATGTGGAGTGGGCGTGTTCACGATCACTCGAGATGCTGCATCATCCTCCTGGGTGTGTTCTCAAACTAGAAAAAAGTGGGTGATATGTGTTGGCCTGAATTATTAAGGAAATATGCAGAGTTCATGGAATATTTTTGAAAAAGGGAGGTGGATTTCTGTGGGTGCTCCGGTTTCGTCAATTATGAGGGGAGGTTGGTAGAGGGGGACGTTCTGGTATACAACAGCTCTTTGCAATCCTCCTGGCCTCTCTCAACATTTCTGTAATGCTATCCGGCCCATGTTCGCCAAGGGCCATGAGGAGGATGACTCGTTTTATAGCATTTCAAAGCACTTCTGGGTGGAAAATGTGGTTGAGTTTGTTCAGCGGCAATCAGAGGATATGGAGGAATACAATTGAGAAACTCTGAGATGCTTTCATCTTGACTGACCACTTCTAACTCTGGTCTATCTCTCCATCAGCTCATTTAGGGTGGATTTCGAACCGAGTCTTATTGCTGCTTTGGCACATTCCAATCCTTCTGATGTTATTCGATCACCGGCAAGAATCCCCAGATAATTGCCAGCTCATAACTAATAGAAAGCAGAAACTTTATAATGTCTTCAGTTGCTTCTTGTCCTGAGAAAATGGTTTGCTATCTGCACTCCTCTCTTTCTCCTTCACATCAACAATTTCCTACCCAAACTTCCCTGAACTATCTCTCAACCCACTACGTGGCCTGTCACTTCTCAACCTTCTACTCCTGCTTCTCCTCTTGTTCGTCGTCCTCCACCCAAAAGAAAGAGAAGCACAAAGAGCAAGCAGCAAAAAGAGGCTCCTGCACTGTGGAGCAGGCCAAACTTGCTTAACTTGCTTCAATGAGCTACAAAATAGCATAACAAAAATATCTGAGACCTTCTTCAAAGATAAACACATTGATAGCCCCACCCTATCTATACACAACAGCAATCTTCCATGGACTTAGAGCTTGTGGATGGAAGGACAATGCAATTTTTCAGGCAAGGGAGGAATGGTTAATAGCCATTAGGAAATACTTCAGAGAGCCTGTGCAGGAAATAACATACAGAGAGCATGATGAACCCGGCAGAAAACAGCCATGTCGCGGCTTGCAGGCACAGGCTTTGAAAGAGCAACATATCCCCAGAGGTAATTGATTAATAGGAGGTATGTTTTTTAGTACAGGACTGTCTGGGTAAGTTATCTAAGAATCTTCATAGACCTGAAATCATTATATAAACTCACCCAGCAACACTTCAAAGCAAGTTCTCACTGCTGCTGCAACTTTGGTAACTCAACGTAACAGCGCACACATCACACATCAGGTTGTTGATACAATGCAAGGATCACGTCCACTCCCTTCTGCAAACCTACAGTTCACACCAACAAAACTCTCCAGCACTGCAAGTCATGCTGGCTTTACAGCCTCTCCAGTGCAATTCCTCAATCATATAACAAATTCTGGGACTGTCACGGAAGATTTGGCCATCCCAGCTGAAAGCCCATTCTCAACCGTATCCACACAGCCTCGCTTGAATGACCTAATGGAAGCAAATGGTGTAATTTGCTAGAACGCGATTGACAGACACAAACACCATTCCTAGGCTCCGCTTCAGCAACCAGCTACGCAACAGCAACCAGCCACACAAGGTTGGAAGTGATCAGCAATCCCGCTGATTATTTTCCCGACTCGACAATGCCCATAACTGATACCTTCTCAAGGCCGCAAGCGCTCCGCAACCCACTGACCGGTTATTTTCAGGGTTCTATAAATGGGGCAACGACGTGGGGAGTCAGCGGGCGGCTTCTCGGATCTAACGGCTACCAATATGGCCAATGAATCAACCATCTACTTGGATTCGTCATGGCAATCACCACATATGCTCTACATAAACCAAAACCCATGACAAGTAATCTGCATCACTTACCTTCTCATCTAGCATGTTGATCTTGCAAAAGTCCAATCCCTCAAGGGTTCTGAAGGGTATTGTTTTAGCAGCAAACTCATCGACTCTTCATCCAGTAGCAGAATCTGCTCTGATAAAGAAGCCCTCAGTGTCAATGAATGAAACCAAAACCCCCTGGTTGCAGTTTAATGTTTTAAGATGAATGAACAAAGACTCTTCTTGTTTTTCACTGTGGGTTTGATATGTGTGAACAGCTGGGTCAGCTTTTGTCACATACCCTCTTGGTGCCTCACGACCATTACATGGTGTAACTAGAGGGGAGAGAGCATGCGCTGGTTGGGGAGTTACTTGGAAAATAATGTCCAGGCTCTAAACGTGTTCAGAAATGCATATCTCTGCTGCCAAAACATAGCTGTGAAACAAAATCCCGAAAGGTCCCTTTACACAGTCGCAAATAGAAAATCTGTATAATGTTCTCTACAGAAAACCAAGTCAGCACTGAGCCTTGGAGGGGTTGTTCCACGTCATTGTACATGGAGGCTTTCTGTTAGACTAACTACCTGGCAAAAAGGCCCAATCGCCAATAGTCTATAATGGACTAAGGACGAGCACAATTCCATAGGGGTCACCTGATATCCATAACCCCCCCCCAATTCGAGGAGGACTTTGTGAGTGTGGCTTCTTCTGGTTGGTTATTTTTCTTGATCATTTCTATATAACCATTGCTGGGTCACTTTTCTGACTGGCAATATGCCGTGCGGAGTAGAGTAGTAGAAATTCGGGAAGGAAAATATCACATTGATCACACAAAACAGGTCTTCATCAGGCTCCTCTTTCTTTCTTGCTGAGTTAGCAGACACATCGGACAGAGCACTCCGTAACAGTAGTAGCTCGTTCAAAGTCAAATATCTTCGCATGTTGGCAGGTCAGGTTCCAAAGTATATTTCACAGCTCCGCGTCGCCATGGAGAACCCCTTTCAAGTGAATGGTTTGGAGGACACGGTGTAATAACATGTGGGTGTAGATTCTGTCGTCATAGAAATAGAGATACTACGACACCAGCTGGATGACACCAAGACAGACTGGAATGCATTCATCTTGAAAATCTTAGAGCTCATCATAGATCTGTTTTTCATGTATTCGGGTATCACTTGAACAATGCCTCACACCTACGAGGAGAGCAGTCAGCATCCAGGCTATAATTCATGACAAGCTGCTTCTGGGTACAAGCATGAAAGCTGTGTATCTTGATCCAGCTCTTCCGATGAACATAATAATTGAAGCATGATGAATCACACGAGCTATCATGCAAGGAGATATTGCTGAGAGTAGTGTGAATAAGTTTGACGACTAACGTATTTCCCAAGCGAGCGCAACACCAATTCAAAATATCTTTTAATTTAACTACCCTTCCACTTCAACGCGTAATTATGCCACCAATTCGCAATAAAAATGCTTCAGATTCTCTAGAAAGAGAGGGAAGACTTGAACTCGCGATAAAAGCCTTTAAAAATCAAGAAATTGCTTCAATTCGTGAAGCTACTCGCTTATTTAATGTCTCTCATTCTACTTTAACCTATTGACTGAATGGCCGGCAATCAAGGATGGATTTACACGCAAATTCACACAAATTATCTCCTGCTGGAGGAGGTAAGCTAGTTGGATGGGTGCTGGACCAGGCTAAACAAGGAATTCCCCCACGGCCAGCATTGGTTGAGGATACAGCTAATTATCTTCTTACTATACGGAATTCAACCACCTCCACCACCCCTCTTCTCCGCATTGGCAAGAACTGGGTGTCAAATCTAGTGGCACGCCGCTCCAAAGCTGCTATTCCAGGCGCTATAATCATGAGCAGGCCAAAGTGTGAAGATCAGCGGATTATATGTGATTGATTTAAGACTTTGAGGGATACAATTGCTGAGCATGGGATTCTGTCAGAAGATATATACAACTTTGATGAGACTGGATTTGCTATGGGAGTTTGCGCCACTACTAAGGCTATTACTAGTAGTGAGCACTACAGCAGAGCAAAGCTTCTACAGCCTGGAAATCATGAATGGGTGACTGTAATTGAGTCAGTCAATGCATCTGGATGAGGCCTACCTCCCTATTATTCTCAAAAGCAAGGGCTTGTTGGAAGGGTGGTTTGAAGGCCTTCCAGAAGGCTGGAGGCTAGATGCTAGTCCGAATGGCTAGACTACTGATGAAATAGGTCTGAGATGGCTCCAACAGATGTTTATTCCAGCAACAAATCCTCGCAGAGTTGGCAGATCTATCCTTCTTATCCTGGATGGCCATGGCAGTCATCTTACTCCAGAATTTAATCAAATCTGCAAGAATAATGCTATAATATTCCTTTGCATGCCACCTCATTCCTCACATCTTTTGCAGCCACTAGATGTGAGCATATGGGGACCTAGTTCAGCAGCGAATGCGGCTTGGATTTAATGTCATTCGGAAAGCAGATTTCTCAGATGCTTATCCTGCAGCGCGTGCTGCAGCCTTCAAGCCTCAGACTATTCAAAATGGTTTCAAGGCAGCTGGAATAGTTCCCTTTCAACCTGACCCCTTTCAACCTGACTACGTCCTCCAGCAGCTGGATATTCAACTACGGACCCCTACCCCCCCATGCAGCAGCTCTAGCAATTCAACCACATCCTGGGTGCTTCAAACAACTAGTAATCCTCGGCAATTACACTGGCAGGCAAATAAGATCAAAGACTTAGTGGAAGATCAGCCTCAAGGCTTTGTGGAAGGTTTTGATCAAATTATCAAGGCCTGTGAATATGGGATGGTCAGTGCCACTATTATGAAGAAGCAATACCAGGATATATTCAACGCGAATGAGATAGAGAAGCAAAAACGCAAGAGATCTAGGCGCCAAATTCAACAAGAAGTAGGAGGTTTAACTAGTGAAGAAGTTCAAAGTCTTCTAGCTTCACCTGCACCACCTGCAGAGCCTGCAGCACCTGTTGAACAGCTAGTTATTCAATCCCATGAGTCCTCACTATCTGCACCTGCTCTACGCCGACGAGCTCCACAACGCTGCAGCAATTGTAATAATCTCAGGAATACAAGATTAAGATGTTCTCAACCGCATGTAATTTAATTTAATTTAATTGAGTGTTGTAGCGTTGAGATAATTTGAATTAAAATCTAATGAGTTGAGCTCTGGTGGTTTTGGTGTTGCGCTCGCTTGGGAAATACGTTAACTAGTTAATATTTCAAAGTTAGTCAACGTAGTAGCTATACAACCTTCGTGACCCTACATCATCCCCCACCCAAATCTAACAAATTGAGGAATTAAGCAACCACCAAACTGGAATTTCTCATATAATTATATAGATCCATTCCTTAGGTCAGTTAGCAGGTTCTAGCAGCATGACCAACTATATTACACTTGCTGCAGCGTGGCGGAGCTCGCTTTCTAGGCGGCTGGTTCGAATCCTCGACCCCCTTTTGTATGGCTTGACCAATTGCTTCAGCACTAGCTATTCCTTCCTCAGCTGTTAGAGCTCCAGTCTGAGCTATAAAATATGAGCTTGCTTCTTCTCGCGCTTTTTCTTCTCAACTGCAGCTCTCAGCTCCTTGTTTTCCTTTGCTAAGATAGCAACACTGTGCATGGCCAGCTGGCATCTCTTGACCAGCTGATTAAACTGCTTGATCGGATGGACTGGACAGCAGCTCCATACGCTGCTTGATCTTTGAAGTTCTGACTGCCTCACATCCTTAGAGTATAGGATGACTCAGATCCATGAGAAGTGCCTGGGGGAGCAGGAGTATGAAGCTGACTATGTAGGCGTGTAAGAACCTCATCCGGATTGCAGAGCACTAGATCCATTCTTAACAGTAGATTCCTTGAATGCCTCCTTTCTGGCTGCTGGATAGAGTCCTAGAAAATCCTTCCTGTCAATATGATTGATCTCTAATTTATATAGTTCTCAACCCTTTCAAAAGATATACATACCATTATCAATATTCATGCATTCAAGGGAGGGATGGCCAGAGGCGGAAGACCTAGGGTTTAGGGCATGGTCATGTGACTCATATCACCCCTTCGTTGAAAATCGTTCAACTTAACAGACCCTTGCCTCAATCTAGCTAGTCCTCTTGGTCAAGCATTGAGCCCCTCTTATATACTTTTTCTCTTCTTCTGCCCTAGTAACGATCTATTATTAGTTGCCACTAACAGTTCGGTAGTTAACGGATATATGGCATTAAACATACCCCTTTCTTTAACCCCTACAACAAGGGTACTAACGCGTTTGAAAAGGTCCTTACTACCCTAGGGATTACTGAAACAGCATTGCAACGGAGCACATTTGATCTGCTGAGTTTGCACGAAAGTCTCCTTACCAAGTTACAGGAGGCAATGCCTCGCTCAGATAGATTTGTGGCTCCGATATGGGCCACTGCGCGCCGGCGTATTAAGTTTGGCAGCGTGGATGCTAGTTTGGCCAAGGCCAATCGCAAGTCGGTAACGACAAGAAAAATTCTTGAGCCTATTGATTCCCGGATCAAATCTTCAAAGGCCATCGCAGCAGAACCCAAAGAAGCCGCCGAGGTGGCTCGGATACTGCAATCAATGGTAATCCACTGTTAACCCCTTCCACCCATTGCTTGGGTCAAAAGCCTAACTGAGCTTCCTCCTGCTACAGCTTCCACAGTTTAAGCTCTATGAAGAGTACGGTGTCAAATACCAGCTTGTGTCAAAAGAGATAGACCTGCTACGGAAGTCCATCACAAGCTGGGATGCTTTCGACCACGGGATTGAGGCTCTTCTGAAGAATCTGGCGTCAACTAATACCCGTGAGGCCATATCTAACCAGTGCTTCACGCTGGGTGATCTCCTCATGAAGGTCTGTTCCAATAGCTTATTTTTCTGGATTTAACAAAAGGCTGCCACTGACAATACTGTGCCAACAGCCAATCCAACGGGTTTGCAAATATCAGCTATTCCTGGCAGAACTCCTCAAAAACACACCTGTGGCTGATTGCCCATCCTCACATGCTATAATTGAGGGCGCTCTTCAGCGTACGGTTCTAGCATCGCAGGACATCAATCGTGCCACTGGGGACCCAGTTGCCAAAGATCGAATTCGGAAAACGATGCTTCTAGGAGAGAGGCTCGAATTCGCGAAGAAGGTATGGATCGAGACAGAACCATCATGAAATAATTGCTCTTTTCCCATGCTAATTGGTTTCAATTACAGGGTGATCGTAGTATCCTTCACGATTTTGGGCCCATCAAGGTTTGCGGAGTTCTGCATGTCGCATATCAAATCAAAGAAGGGCTCACAGGGGAATATATGGTGTGCTGCCTGTTTAGCAAATATCTTCTGCTAGCTACCGCATCCGAAGATCACAGAAAGTTCAATGCAGTAGCAGTAATTTACGTACCCGGAGTCAGGCTAGAGCCTGCAGACAATGGTACAGGTGAGTTGTAACACCGATCCGTCTACACAACACCACCTACCGGTAGTATGCTGACAGCGATTAGGTATTCATTGTTCGTATGCCCCCTTTTCCTGGAAGATGGTCTTTGAGATGAGAAAGCAAACTTTCGAAATAGTATTAACTGCATGCTCTGAGAGGGAGGCAAGCGGGTGGAAAGACAATCTGCTAAGACAGTCACTTGCTGAGACAGCTCATTCTTTGGATGAAAGTATTATTTTGCAGAAGTACTCCCCGATCCAGCTGGCCATGAAACCGTTGTCCGCGGTTGTCGTCGCCGGACAGGTGCATAACCTAGTTCGTCGATCATCGGTTCACGGCTCCTTGTTCAGCACGCCGTCCAACACAGATTGTGTTCGACTTCTCATCAAAGGAACACAAGCTGTACCCCATGACGGCCAGCCCAGAGCATCCACCCTTAGGAGATCCCAATCTGTCCAACTTGCACGCCAGGTCGTAATCCTTACGCCCAAGAGACAAGATAGGATTCGGCTGGAAAAATGGCTCTATGACGTTTGGACCTGTGATGTTCTTCCGTATCCCGGAATGCCCGCATGGAGAGGAGAACATTTGATACGTTCATCGGCTGAATCTTTTATTCGAAGACTGAGTTCTCGTCGACCATTCACCAGACGGTCCAGCAGTCTCACCACCACTCTCACATCTAAGTCCATTGAGCGTATCCCCACGTGCAAGGACGAGATCATCTGGGATGAAAAGGGGATCGATGAATCTGATTTATCAACTCCGAGTTCCAGCAATAGGTATGATGACATCCATGAAGAAAATGACGACCTGGACTATCGTTCGTGGGGTCCGGATCCTCAGCAACGACGAGCACCAAAGGAACAGGGACGAGGGGGGAAGAAAAAGGCGGCCGGCTCTTTAAAGAGCGCGCGGAAACCGCCACCCAAGAAGAAATGGAGCGTTTCGATCTTCAAGGGAGCTTCTCCAACAGTACCCGCCATGGCCTCCTGATCACTTCTCCTGATGGTGGCGGTCCCAATTGTGGGTATTTTGCACGTCTGTACATACTATATAACCGTTTCACGACTCAGAAAAGGGCAACTAGGGGCATTTGGGGGGATAACTGGGGATAGGAGTTATTTCATGACGGATTGATTGAAGCGTTTATGGATGTATGAATGACAGCACGTAACGTTAGATAAGACAACTAGGTCCCTGCTACCTCTGTAGTTAACCTATGAGCAATGAGAAATGATATGAAACTGCAGGACGGAACGAAATATATGCAATAATGAAATTTTCAATGGACACCGGATTTCTTGTTCGATGATTGGGGATCTGCGCCTCGCAGTTACGCAGAAGCTAACTAGTTTGTTTAAATGTTCAGGATCAGGTGATCCCTATGGCTTGTACTCGTCCCTTGGTCCAGTATAGACTACAGGCGATTAAGGCCTTTCTGCCATGCAGTGTAACAGTCAACTAGTTGGTTAACCTCAAGGAGTTGACATCATAATAACCTGTCAGTTTAGTTATGTGAGGATGGTTTTGGCTCTCGTAATTGTGAGGAAACGCTAGCTACTTCTGTAGTGCGTTCGCTAACTACACCTCAAACAATATGTTTTATACTTACGGAGTAACTAATCATGCCAATACTTCCACTATAAAACCAACCAATTTGCACGAAATATATAACTATATAAGTTGCGATCCGCTGCTGGGTTATGTCTCCCATGTAAAATCCCGGAGCGGGAGCAAAATTTTTCTCGAACCTGTGCATATGTGAATAGCATGTAAAATGTTTTTGTTATGCAAATGAGCGACGACGCAACGCTGTTGTTGGTGCGTTCCGACGGAGCCGCTAGACGCGGAAGTGATGACGTCGTTGAGCAACCAGCTAAGCAATAGTGACATCAGCGTCAGGCGGGAATTCGCGAGCCGAACATGTATCCGGGCGTCAGCAAGGGGGGTTTGTGCCTTGATATTGTGATATGCTTTTGTGTTGGGTTTCAAGGGGAGGCGAGACACGGAATTTTTTTTGTGTCAAAAGGATAGTTATAAGGTCGTTGGCCGGCCTTCCTCCCCAGTTTAACTATAATCCTGGATTTGCATCTGTTCAACTAGTTACAACTCGGAATTTTGATTCAATTTTTATTCCTTTGGAAGTCTATTGTAATAGCTTTTTCTTATATGCAACTCTATAACCAGCATCTGTTGTTGATACATTGACGTTGTTCTGTGCTTGAATATACAACTTGTCTGATAAAGTCCCGGGAAGCGACACGGGTTTACCCCACCTTGTGAGTCGTGAAAGCTGGATATCTATTCTTCACCTTGCTACTTGAAAAACTGACTCAAAATGACTTGGTCCTGGAATCAGTTGGAAAGTACTGCATATACCCCTTTGCTATCCAAAATCAATACCCGCAATCCGCAGCAACGATATCATATCTATTTGGATCTAGAATCTACTGATTCTGAAAAATCTCATCCCGCTTTTCAAGTCTTCCAATCTTCCCATAGCTGCAACGGACACCCGTCTAGACAAGCTTCGAGTCAAATCAAATCAAATCAAATCAAATAAAAAAGCCCTTATACCAACGAAAAGTAAACAAATTGGAAGAGAAATCATGACTCGCGGAAACGTCAGTGTCTATAAGGTCTTCTACAAGGGCACCTACGATGACTATCTCGTCTTTATCGATGACGTTGCGACTCTCAACAAATGGAAGAAGGACCGCTCTATCCCGCTGGCACAAGTCGTGAGTGGATTCCGGGTGTTTGTTACACATCGGTATGCTTTCTTTTGGTGGTTTTTCTCCCATTCCCCACGGTTACTTTTCCATCTCCTCACACGTGTTCGCCCACCCCCCCCCCCCCCCCCCCCCGGCCCTTTTGTTCGCTGCTTGAAACACAATATATCCCACACAAGGTGCATGGTGCTTTACGGTTATTGACATGTTTTCTGGTTCTGTTCCTAGACATGGAGCCCAGGGCATCCATGACGGGGCCAGCAAGGCCATGTTGGAGAATGAGTTTGGGACATCGAGCGAAGATGAGTGCATTATGAAGATCTTGGAAAAAGGGGAAATACAGGAGACTGAGGTATGGATCTCTCTTTTGTTGTCATTCTTGCCCCTGAAGAGTTACATCCGCTGTATTTTACTTCTTGTATCTTCGTCATCCCGCAGTCTGAGTCCGATGTGGTGTCGATTGCATCATTACAAGAGAGAGAACGTATGAACTAACTCTATATGAACAGAATCACGAACGGAACGCAACGAGGAACGAGACTATGGGTTCAAGAGTTGCTCATTAGTGATGTGATTAGTTGACATTCTTCTCTGAAGCAGAGGTCTGCCTAGGGGAGACAAGTTAGAAAGTGGAGTCCTCCAAAGTCTGGTATTTTGGGATTGATATTATTGATTGTAGTAGTAGTAGTAGTCGAATTGAAACGCTGTACAAAAAATATCCTGAAGGAATTGGGGGTTTGGGGGAGAGGGAAGCTTGAAGATGCTCTGAAGTTCTCGATTCTCCATATTCAAATCTCTTTATCTACCCTAATTACTCTGTGCATGATGGTGACTTGCTCCGTAGTAGATTATTGTATTAATATCAATTACATGGACTCACTATTCTCTCCTTTGATTTCCTCTTTCCAACAATCATGTCATACTCTATCGAAAGGCGTGTCTTTTCCAACGTCTTTTGGAGTGTAGAGAGCATCTGAAGTATGCTTGAGCGGTGATGGGAAGTAATATAAATTGAAACTAGCCGCAAGTTTTGCATACGAGTTGTATTTCATACGATAATTACTCAGAACTTTGAGCCTTTTAGCATCGACACTTCCCACAAGGGAAAAAGATATGCCGATCATTCATAACAAGCCATCATCACATCAAATTGGCTGCTAGGAGATCCGGGAAGAAAGGAACCGGAAAGGGGTGTGTTTTATGACCAGGGGAGTAGGATGTGTTGAGATAAGAATGAAATTTAAAATTAATATCAAAACCAAGCAGTTCTTATCTTTCCCAGTTCGACTTGCTCATAGTCAGGGTGTTGGGGTAAGTCTTCCGCCAAACTAAACTCTCCAAATCACTGTCGCCTCCCACCACCCAGACTCTCCTGAATCTTCTCACCGATCATGTTACCAACTTTATCCATCACCTTATCTGTGACAGTGTCTATATGACCAAAAGGTGGAGTGAGCCAGGGGGTATTTGCAACGAACTGTGAGAAACATGTCCCAACCAAGGAAACAGAGGAATTCATCTGAACGCACCATTTTTATCGCTAGAGACCCCGTATCCGCCAGAAGTCTTCGAGCCATAAGTTTCACCTTCATCACGTCTGCCTGAGCTGAAAGAGTGCTTGTTGCGATCAGATGAATCATAAGAGTCATCATCATCGCGTCGGTTGGCGCTGGACCCATACGAGGAGGTCATCTTGTTGCGATCGTCGGAGCCAGAGGAATACTTGTTGCTTCCGTAGGTATCGTTACGATTGCTTCCATCATAGCCAGAGGAGCCGTGAGAGCTCTTTTTCTCATTGGAGGAGTTGTAGGAATCATTTGCAGTGGAGGGATTTGTGGAGCCATAGGAGGACACGTTGTCGCGATTGCTGGACCCATGGGAGTCACTGACACCGGCACGACCAGAGGAGCCGTAGGAATCGCCGGCCCCTGCGCGGCCGGAAGACCCGTGGGAATCGTTGTCGCGTTCGCTAAATCCATGGGTGTCGCTCGCCCCAGTGCGATTGGAAGAGCCATAGGAGTCGTTATCATGCTTGCTTGAACCGTATGTGTCACTTCGTCCAGAAGCTCCGTATGAATCATGGCCTCCTGGGCGGCTAGTGGAGCCATAAGAGTCGTCATCATCACGCCTGCTCGACCCATATGAATTGTTGCCCCTGCCAGATCCATAGTTATCGCTACCGCTAGAGCGACCAGAGGATCCGTAGGAGTCATTATCACGTGTGTTGGAGCCGTACGTTTCATTCTGTTCAGAGGAGCCATAGCTATCCTCATTGCAACGGCCCTAGAGGCATTGTGAGTAAAGTGTGTAGCGAGAATCGATATGGACATATATGGACTCACGTAGCTGTCACTGCCTCTGTTGTTGTAAGACATTTTATAGTATGAATGGTGCGCGAGAGAATCAAGAGATGCGGAATGATTTAGTTTTGAAATGAAATTTCAATTGAATCAAGCAGGGTCCAATGCTTTTAAGATAGTGATCATATGGGTGCATTCAAGGAAGAATGACAGAAAGCCGACAAAGCAAGGCAGGACAGAAACAGATATTTATCTTTCACCAACACAGCCGCCCACGCCGGATAGAGGTGGTAATAATGATGTCCATGGAACGCCGCTCGATCCTGCATGGCAGGTGTCGCCACCAGCTAGCAGCAAGCGTGGGTTCAAAGAGGGGCACTCCATACACGACACAGCCAGCTGAGAAGGTTAGCCTGTGCAGTTCGAGCGATTCCTCGATAGTGCCAGCAGCCCAGAACATGCAGGATGGAGTTCACATTCCTCAGTTCCGATAGGGGAGAGGGGACGTTTGATAATAATATCCTTGCACAAATGCCCAGTGGAGGATTAAACATTTCATTTGGGACAAGCAGAGCTAACCGATCTGAAAACTCATCTAGCAGAGGCCAATGGAGGGTCTCGATCTCGATCACGTTCTGCCCCCTCCCTCGCTAGGATCTAGGGACCAGCCCGTAGACAGTTGATGGCTCTGCATGCTTTCACGAGCAGCGGTTTTGAGGTCTCCCACCGAATAGTTCAGGTCAGGCTTGCGATTCGGCGCAAGAGTTCGAAGTTTTTTTTCAGTTTAACTAGTTAATGCTCAGCGCATTTTTTACTTAAGCTTGGCAGGGAAGCAGATGTGTGGTGGCGAGATGCATTACGTTGCCGAAGACAGCAACTTAGAAGCGTAGCTTGACAAAGCACGCAAGGTGGTGGAGTTTGATATCAATAATGCTGGTTCGAGAGTCCCACTGGCGGTCGTCGACTCGCCGGCCAGTGAAGTTGAGGATGCAGTTGTTGGTGTGGCTGTGCGACTGCCACTAGCCTCAGTGACATCGTTAAGCAGCCCCACGGATTAATCACCATGTGCTAACTATCTGGAAAATTTGGGAGATTGGACTGAAGATGACCTGAGGGCGAGGATAGCTCAAGAAGGTCGGCGTTGTTTTGGAACATAACATAACAGTGGTTGCTTGGCTCACCAAAGAACCGGTGAATTTCTCTATCCTACCTGGCAAATTGGTGTGCTCTGCGCTGTCTTTCTCGGGATGCTGCTACACCTACACTCTTTGAAATTAACCCTGAAACAATTGCCGGGGGGTAATTGAAGTTCCTCCAGATCGATGACGCTGTCAATCAAGCGCGGAAAGGATATGGATGACGGATATTCTGTTGCCGTGTCCGCACGGGCAGAAGAGACCCACAGTTCGCTTGGCTTTGAAAAGCACAAAGTCATGATCTTTCTTGGTCGTTCCTCCGCCGCTGTGGCAAATAATAAACGGATGTGATTTATGTATTTCTTATAGCGGGGATCGCCTGAGTGAATAGGGAATTGGGCCTATCCAACAAGGGCCAGGGGAAAGCGACAGAAGGAAAATTTGTTAATCAAAAGAGCATCTCAAATGCCACGCTTCGCCGACCCCCGCAAATCCTCTGAATGTGTTTGATTTCTATTCTCTTGAGAAGCCGGTCTATTTGCAAAGAGAACTGGAAGAAATAGAGGCCCGAGATGTTCGAAGCAATTTGATTGGAAAGTTGGTTCAGATGGTGGTGGTGGAATTCGTAACAGCATTCCGCTGCTCTATGCATGGCGACTCCATTTCATGTCTTGATTACAGAACCGCGACTCGAGGATTGGCCTTTAGCATTACGGAACTGTCAAGTGCCTGGAAGTGTATGTCCATCGTCGATACCAAGGGCTCAATATCAGATCATCCTCGAACATAGGAGCCAGTTTCTTCTGGGATTAGAGCTCTCGTTTGTGGTCCGCAAGACTAGTTTCTAACAGAAAACAAAGTCCGAGATATGGTGTTGATTCTCCTCCAGGATCTCTCCTCGTTCAAGTGTTCGACGATACATTGACGCTCAGCCGAGGTTAATGGCACAGTCAGTAAATTTAGCTATTTGGGCCTCCAGCGTCTTAGATCGTGTTTCACTGGTAAAAATTCTATTCAATCAGCATTCATAGAAAAAGAGGGTCTTTCGGTCGTCTCACTTTCACAATATCAGCAAAATTGGATGGGATAAAAATGTTTTTTTTGTATGGAGGTTGGAAGGTTTGGTGCAGAGTTTAAATTCCCCGCTAGAAATCTGCGCATGAACATTTGCTGATTTCTGTTCGCATTGCTGGTCAGTTCCCGGCTGATTGTTAAATACCAGAATATCGAGGATGGAACTTTGCAAAATGGGAAATGAAATTACATAGACAAATAAATATTTTGGCTTATATTTAGTTACCAAAGTCGAGAAATCGTTCATCATTAGGCGTGCGTTTGTATATATAGTATGTACGGTACATTTCTCCTTTGTCCCCCCCACACCAACATTGGAGATCCTAACAAGATGAGAAAAGAGTTCCGAAAAAAAAAAAAAAAAAAAAACTCCATAGACTTAGTTACATACATCAGCGGTTTTTTCAAAGTTTGATTCCTCATCGGAAATGCGAACACAGACAGAAGGAGTTAGACGCGGCCATTTCTTTCTTCGGAGAAAGTTTCTTTTGACGGTGAACTAACTCACATTCAGCGAAACAAAGAGGAAAAGAAAAGTAAACAAGTATTTGAAAACCACGGTCGGATAGAAAAGGGAAATCGTTCGACATGGGAGCTGAGATCTAGCGAAAATAGATCAAAATGTGAATGGGAACACCGCCTGCAGTCAGCCACTGGTTCGTAACCAGTTGTAAAGCATTTGGAGACAAGCAAAAGGAATGCAGAGACAGAAACACAAAAAAAAGGCGGCCATCATTGCGAAATATACACATATGGGTAATAGGGTATTACGCTTTAACAGAACAATCATGACAAGAGGAAATACCATACACACAAATAATCAACTTAAGTATATAATTACCTAGAACGCTCGTCGGTTTGGCAGAATTGGGTGCGTGAGCAATCTGCCTGTATAAAAGGGGTATACAACGTACCTGATAAATCCAAACACGCTGCACCCCTAGTTGATCAGAAGTGCTCTTTCCAAAACCTGAACCTGACTTCATTGGTGGTACAGTCTTTGGCGGCCTTTTTGATCAACTTAGCTGCCGGATTGGGCCCACAAAAGTAGACACCGACATCCGTCCGCAATGAAGCGTCTAATCCGGCCATATAAGTTTGATCAATCAGGCCATTCCTCAGAGCCGAAAAGAACCGCTGAAAGTCCGGTCGGCCGAATTTGGTCCCTGTCCGTAACTCCGTGAGAGGGTCAACTTCCTGACCAACAGAGTTGAGATATATATTGGCAGCAGTGTCCTGATCGAAACGCTGTGTGAGATAGGTGTGGATGCGTAAGAACTCTTGCCCGGCACCGGCATTTTGTGCTGACTGGGACTCTAATGATGACAGAAGGGCATGGAACCATTCAAACGAGCTAGTGTCCTTGCAGACCCAGATAAATTCGACACGGCGCAGACGTGGTGGTGGATTTGGTGATGCTCGTAGATGCCAAATGTTTTTGAGAATAGAAGCCCATGGGGTGACGCCAATACCTGTTCCAATTAGGATGGCGATTTCATTGTCAAACACGTCTTCAGCGGGAGCTCCGTAAGGTCCATCGATTCGAATGCTCGGCATTGTTTGTCCGTTCTGCATTGCGATTTCGTACATCCCCAGTGGGTCAAGACCATCTATATCTTTTGCTTGCTGCGGTCCGCAACCTAGACGGTTACCCAACTGTTTTGTCCAATCTCCAACTTGCCTTATGTGAAGGCTAACATAAGGATCAAATGGGCATGAAGTGATTGTGAAAGGATGCCATTGTGCTCTTGAGACGTCCGGAACATTGATGAAGAGCCATTGTCCTGCCTTGTAACGGAAACTGGGCTTGTAAAACTGGATTTCCATGGCATCTGTGTTACAGAAAAATCGGTTATTATGCCAGCTGGGTAGAGCGTTTAGAGAGTGATACATACCATATGGATGTCTGACGACTTTTGTGATTTCCGAAGGTTTCGCAGCCCGTATTTCCCGATAGAGCCTTTCGAATAGGTAAATTCCTCCTCCCCAGAGCTCCCATCTCCAGCCTTCGTAACCGATGCAATGGGTCCAAAAGTCCTTTCCCGCAAACGGCGAAAATGGGTTGACAGTATCTCGGACGAAGCAACCTGTGGCATGCGTGTAAAGCCCCAGCATAAATGGAATGAAAAGATGGTGCGTGTACCAAAAAGTTTCGAAAGCCTGCTGCCGAATGCGATGATGCGCAGTGGTGTACATCAGTAGCATGCAGAGAAGCATTACATGACCTGTCACTCCGCCAGCTTGGGTGTAGTGAATCTGAACAGCAGTCTCTTTTCGGACTTGACTTTTCTCAACATTGAAAAAGCTGTAAGAATCTGTTAGTCATCCCTTGACCTCCACACGTTTAAAGATCCAGAGAGTAAACATACTTCACATAATGAGCGGTAGTATGGACAATGGAGAAGAAAAGCAAGGAATATGCCACCTGCCGATGGAACCACTGGGATTCATCCAAAGGAAGCCAACGAAATTTCGGTCGAACCATTCTCACGAGAGTCCTACACATAGGTAAGAGAATAAGTGCCCCATCAATTGAGAGCACCAAGCCAGCTCCACGAGAAATCCACACTGAGAATCCCAACGTATTCAGGGGGGCCAAACGAGCATCACTGATTTGCTTCCACCTGTTCAGTCTGTCAGCGCATACAAACATGCCTATCGTAGGAAGAAGATCAGTTTTCCTTACCATCCAAAGATAAACATGCCGATATGCATTCCATGGAACAGGACGTAGAAGAGGATCTTGGATGCACTGAAATTTGATTTCCACCACACACGATCCATGGTTGCGAAAAAAGTCAAAAGGTTTCGTTAAAAGAGCAACAAATGGAACAAACTATGCGAAATGGAGTATAAGAAATATATTATAGAGGCAAAAAGGAAGGAATGACGACCAGCGATCCCTGAGAAAAGAACGAGCCCGGATACGAAAGGCGATGCCTTGTGGGGAGAGCAGCCAGTACACTGACACCAAAAAGGTAACGGAAGATAAACCAAAAGGGCTCGGAAGAAAGAGAAAGGAAAGAGATTGAGAGGTAGCTGAGGTAGTACTTTAGTCTTAATGGCTGCTCTCCGGCGCGGGTCCCGCCTTGAGTGTGATAATAGACCGAAATATTAAACTGTAATATCACAGACCATAATCTCACTTTCGAGGGCCACCCCCCTCTCCTGGATCCGCTTCGAACGCCCTCAGTACCAACGCCGCTTGCTCTTCTGTTTCTCCAGGACCAATTGGTTCTGAAAGTTGTTCAATCCGCACTGTAGCACTATCCATGTATCCACAATAGCCCGTACGCTTGATACACGAAGGGTATCTCCAAGAACCGAATTCCTCCTTAGTTCCCCCGGACACCTCCCCGCTATGCCCTTTGTGGTAATCAAATGATGGTAGAGATATCGATGGGGAAGAAGCTTGCAGTGAACAGAGTCTGTTTCCCCCCGCGCTGATGAAGCTGTAACTGTGTTGTGGCGTATGCGGGAGAAATGATGGACGGGAAGGGTCGCTCGTTTGGGACAGGAATGCAAAACCGAGGAGTACCGGATCAGGAACAAATGCAACGGTGGCGCAGTTTGAGAACTGTTGGAGAAGCTGGACGATGTATGATTGTCGCAGAATGGACTTGCATCTTATGCCTGTTCTATAGGGATTTGGGATTCACCCCCGTTTCTGAAGCACTGATGAGACACCCCTAAGCGCGTCTAGGAATCAGCTGGATTTTCGAGCTGGCTTCGCCGCAGGTTTATTCCGTTGGCAATCAGCACCCTAGAGAAATCGCTTCTTATTGGAGTTTCTATTCACTTGGTATTATTATTATTGTTATATCTTCCTTGATGAGTTTGGCTTGTGGTTATTGTTGTCGCCGTTCGTAGTGGTGATGGTGTAGCAAGAGTGTTTGTGGTTGTAGTTACCTACGCCTCTTCGGAGTGGGATGGGGTTGATGAAGCTCTCGTTGCGGCGCTGGTAGCCAACGGCTGGACCAACTCGTCTTCTCAATCCCAGTCCAGCCTTGGAATACAGCAAAAGTCCACAAGATTCTACAACTGTGTCTTGCAAAAGATTGGCTCCGGTCTCGGGTGTGTATTTCGGCAGTCTTGATGCAGAAGTTCTGTGCAGATAGGAACCGCGCCGTGCCCAGCTGCTGGGTTAGTTACCTGGTTGAACAAACAGGATAGTAATCGGATCTTCAGGAGGCCGTTTTACCAGAACAGAAAAAGATCGGGAAACATCAGAAATGGATGTGATAGATCTAGGTACGCTAATTGTTGGGGGGAAGGGCTTTGAAATGTAAATGCGGGCAGTTAATCTTTCTCTATAGACACTCTCTTCTAAGCGAAATGGATGAGGCCCCAAGGCGGACAAATTCTCTCCCTTAGCGTCAACCCCAAGGGTGGCAGCAGTGCCCGCTCATAAGTGGTCTTATATTGAAGACAAGTCTCATTCTCCCATCCAATGACCTTCTATGGAGCTTCTAAGAGCGAACCCGCCATGATTGAATTGATTGTTCTTGGCCTTGGCGAGTGATTCCACTCTCTGTCCCCAAAGTCGAAGTGAAAATAAGTACTCTGTAGTTAACTTGCTAAAATCACCCAGCGTGTTCAATTCAGAGAAACTGGCAATTCGGTCCCCAAGTTCCTCGAGTGCAAAGGGTCCATCTATGCGGCTTCGCGGATGTGCCAACAAAACCAGGGGATCCATTGGAATAAAGAAAATGCGAGGCCATGCTCTCCCCCTTCCTGTTGGAATTTCAGTTGTCCAAGCAGACGTCGAGCTTTCTCCAACCACCCAAAAGAATTGGAGAGGGGTAACCGACTGAGGCCTGGGTGATTTGTCGCAGTTTGAAAGGAAGACTAAAAATGCTAGTCGCCGAGAGAGTCTGTGTCAAACCAGCGGTTCTGAGAGATGCCAAGATGGTTGCTTTGTGACATTCATGCTGGCCATTGCTTGGGCGTCCCGGCCGATCCATCGAAAAAGGTCTGAACCGGCCAATGAAGTGCATTCTGCAAGCGCTCAATCACCCTCGGCGCGCTGCTTGGCAGCCGATTGTATCTTTTTCTATTTTTGTCAAAACCCAGCCAACTCCTCTCGAGATGAGACCAACACGAGGAAGTCTTCAGACACATGTCGCTCCGGTGCCAGTGGTGGATATCAGATGAAAACCCTTCCAACTCAAGATAACTAAAATACCGGTCAGGGGGGGAAATACTGCTAAGAAACATGTAAAAATCTTACCGCATACATTTGTCTCGTTTCGTCTGAGCGGAAAGGATAGTACCACTAACCCATGGACACCAGCCATTCTCAATAACACAACTGATCTTGGGTGGTAGTACTATACTACCATGTCCTAAAAGATGACCTGAATACCCCAAAGAACGGAACGGTGGTACAGTGACTACGGGATGGAATGAACATTCGAGGACCGCCGAAAGCTCCATCCTCTCCATTTTAGAGGAAATTCCGACCTCGGAAACTCACTTGCTGTCTCTCACCCATCAATAATAGATGGAATGGGAATTCTCGAGGGTATGTTGGAGGACGGACTTCCACAATGCTATGCTATCTGTTTGATCATGTGTGTTGTGGCAATGGGCCTGCCATTGCAGCGCTTGGCTATTATGTGGAGAATGGGCCGTTGTGGATTTGAGTACCACCTTTTGAAGCCTGTTGGGAAAAATTGGAGCTCCTGCGGCAAACCGCGCAGGAGTTTAGTTGAGTTCAGTAGCGCGATGAAGCCAGAGAAGCCAGCTGGGTTGAGACAGAAATGGTTTATTTAATCAGGGGATTCTCTGGGTTGTTCATGATGTCATTGCTTGCAAGAGAGTCGCGGAATCCACTAAGTTAACTATTAGGTACTGGGTGATAGATGGTGATAGCGCCCAGTCACTTGAGATCACATTAGTTATATCTAGCTTTGGAGGATGCAACACGTAAAATGGATTGATTGGTGGTAAACCTGTGGTTAGAGTTGCTGAGCGTTCCTGGGCAAGTTCAGTAACTATAATTTCGTATCGAGATTGAAGATAACCATATTGCAGCAGCTTCTATCCTGTCGACTCTACACCCAACTTTCTCCACTGTGAGCAGAGCATTTGTTGCGCTACGCTATATGTGATATTACCCGTTGTTCAATATGATAACTAACATTCCCTTTTCAGCGCGAGGTTGGGTTGGTTAAGTATGCAATAATAAACTGCAGCTGGTATCAGATACGTGCTGGGAGGTTCCATACTTCCAGGAGTGATTGGTTACCAAGTCCACGAGTTTCTCCAGGTTGATTTGCGACAGCGAACTAACCTTCACCTAGGTGAAGGGCAAAAAGGCCAAGGGGCCATGCATGATGATCATGTATCCTCGGTCACATCTGCACAGACGGCAATTTTCCCAGGAAAGACGGTTGAATCTTCATCCCAGAGGCTGGGAGTCTAGGACAAGAAGACTGACAGAGAAGACTGGCCCGTCTCCAGGAGTCCCAGCGAGCCCCAATTTTATTAATAGCACAACTAAAGGTTGAAATCAATGCGCTTGGCCTGGGGCCAAATCGACCACCAGCCCATCTCGGGCCTTTTGGTCGTCTTGGATCTCGTCAACTAACTAGTTAACTACTTTCGACACTGCAGTGAACTTCGGCCCCTCCATTGGCTGCAAGCCTGCAAGCTTGTTGTCGTGTCTCGTCTTGGTAGTTAGCAACCCCCAGCATCACACTCCCCGCTCTGCTGCATCATTCGTTCCACCATCCCCTCTCCCAATGGGCTGCCGACAATGCCGCCCCGTAGGCCCTGCTTGGGAGACCATGAGGAGAGGACAAGAAGCTGGAAATGAACAATCCATATTGGTGCCGTTCAGAAAAAAACAAAATAGTCTCAGAGATGTCGGTCTGTGACATGTTCAAGGGCCTAATAATCACTCCTCTGATCTCTATGTTTTCTCCCGTCCTTCTCTCTGCCACGACTGTAATTCAGTCAGTTCCTCACATTAGCGCCACAAAGTGCTGTGATAGCGAATTGCATCCCTGGGATTTTTTCAGAGAGAGGGGTTTGGTTAGCCGCGCCCATGAACGAGGCGCATACCCTCTTATACAGCATCCATTCCCGCATCCTGCGATCGCTGGTCACTAATCCTCATACACTACATTGTAGCATAATAATAATAATCATCATCATCATCGTCGTCGTCGTCGTCATTATCTACACAAGCGATCGTTATTCCGATCTATCATCGGGATAAGAGCGCAATCTAATGTATAGTTTCCCCCCTACCCTCAGACCCCCTTCTTCCGCCAAAGATCGATACTAATTTTCGCATCTCCAGCATCTTGTAACGCATCCTAAACGTCCTCTGCCGGAAGCTCACACGGATATTTCATGCGTTTTCGCACCGTCCCAGTATCGCATACCTGTTGAGCATTCAGAAGCCACTGTCACGGACAAAAACGAGCAGATCATTGAGTGGGGGATATTGCCCGCTTGAAATTACTATTGCTCCCGTAACCCTAATCAACCCCCACTTCCCCGGAGCAGGCCTGGCTGCAAAAGTGCAAAGTACAAAGTTCAAGCTTGGTATCATTATTATTACTACATTACCTGCCAAAGCGCCCAACTCTCTCTCCTCCATGTTCCCTTCATAGTCGTGAGGGAAACAGCATCGCTGAGCGACAGCTTTTTTTAACCTCGACGAAGTTCCACCAGTTGCGAACGCCGAGTCTCAAGTGTAATATATTATCATCTATCTTTCGCTGGTCGGAAATTGTCCTGTGTGATATCTGAGAGATTAATTTTCCAGATTTGAAAGCGCTTCAGGCAAGCAAAGGGACTCTGCTTCGTTTCTTAGGGAGTTTTGAGAAAAATAGCGTATAGCTCAAGAAAAAGAAATAGGATATATCAAGGATGGGAAAGTTAATAAAGAACCACTGGGCTCGACTGATCGTCCTAACGGCAGCAACATGTACGTTTTCTTTCGGTTCAATTCCAAGAAATCGCTTTTCTTCACTTTCTACCCGCTAACATGTTACGTTCTTCTCCCAGACCAGTTCGCCGCCGGAGTGCACGGCTTCTTCTGGCCCAAGGTCTTCTGGGACTTCCTCACAAAGAACCTCGATGGCTCCGTAAAACCAGTTCCCGTGCTGCAGATTCTCAACGTATTATTTGGACTGCTCTGTCTGGCTTGGGAATGGCCACTGAAACCCCTCGCCGGCACTGCGATGCATCGCAGCATTGAGATGCGACTGCTGGTGCTCCCCATCAGCACCTTATGCGCGGTATTGCTCTATCAGGGCACCAACTCGGCGATATATTACCTGATCGGAATGATTGTGTATTTCTGGGCGTATAGTGAAGGAGAGGTGAGTAGTCTTACACCCGATTCCGATGCACAAACTTCTTTCGTTCTAGGTCGATGCACCCCGATCTAACTGGAATTTTTCATTAGATCGTTTGCCCCGAGCCTTGGACGCTGCCCAGGAAACCAAGGCCTGTCTCATCGAAAGTCTAATGGCAAAGGAGCGAGTCCGTCCTTGATAGAAGGAGACTTTTCTGTATCTCTTTGACTTGGCTGTGAATGCGTCTGAGCCATTAAGTGAACAGAAATGCACAGATTACGCTCATCAAAAGGCATTTTTCTGCTCGCATGACCAACCCTTCTTCACCTGCTTAGATCCATACCATATTTTCACATTCATATGCATCCCTCATTTTGTTCCTGACAGAAGGTATATGGGTCTCTCCGACTTCATGTGGTTATATTCGAGCGTTCATATAGATGGCATTGCTTGTTCTGGTGTTCATTTTTGGTTCACACTATTTATTTCCCTTCAACCTTCTGCCTTGTTTGTCATTCAGTCGCCCTGTGGGGTTTATGGTGGGACCCATTATCTTATGGAAGCAAGGAGATTCTCTCATCTCCTTTTCGTGGCAGTGTTTTGGGTTTGAGTGTATCTATCAGCAAAGCAGTAAACTGCAACTGTTGTAGGGATATCTGACGGGAAAGCTTACCGTTACCACCCACTGTCTAAACGTATAAATAAGATAGAGATCATGTATATAGCTTCTCTCGTACGAATGAACGCATAGTTAAGGAGGACAATCATAGTTGATATAATTCTCCGTTCCATGTATTTGTCAAAGAATTGCTTCAAACTAGCGATGCAGCTTTTCAGCATTTCGCGAAGCCTGCTGCTCAATTTTCAACAGGGTCAATAGTTGACTTATCTTAAACCCAGACATCACATTAAAGCCTTTTCGTAACCCGTCCCAATAATTTTTTCCATTGGATCTGTCACAATTGAGGAGGTCTTGCACAGTAACTACATGGCAGCTGGATGTATCATTTGCAGAGAGTAAGAAAACAAGATCTACTGTTCTGTTCTGCCCCTCCGATAGTTAATTGATGCCCTTATCCCGGCTAACTAGACCTTATTGGGAGCGGCCCGTAGGTTCCAAGGCTATAGCTATAGCGCAGCCATCCAAAGGATCCCTATCTTTGGCCTCTTTAATTGGAGCTAACAACCACAGCGCAAAGTTCAACTATAACCTTGGAGGCATTGTTGCAGCCTGGGGCTGGGGATACGAGGCAAAACGCATCCTCTGTGTGGTCTGCCACAAAAACCCCTTTTCTCGTCTGACAAAGATCCAGCCTGTGATTTCGCAATAACTATAGTACTCTTTGAACTACGCAGCTTTGGTGTTTTGACAGACGCCTTTGTGAACTAACTAACTTCATCCATTGGGCATTAAACGGAATCACTATTGCAGCGGCGATGCCCTCCGTGGAAGGGGAAGGGGAATCCGATGCGGATGACTTCGTCGCCTCTCCCTCTTTCAAGGGCATTCTCAACCGTTTCATCTATGACTCTCCACCTAAGAAGCCCCTAGAGGCCCTGGGGTCTCTCAAGCGAAAGCTCTCCAATGACGATGACGAGTGTATAACTGCAGTCCAGGAAATAAGACGCATCACCCGCTCCGTCTCCCGCGCCTCCTCCACGAGGCCTCCTCCGTCCCCTTCCCCGCAGCGGCAGAAGACCCAATCTCAACCCGCCCTCCCATCCCGCAGAATCACCCCAAAGTCCAACCGTGCCACATCCCCTGTATGCAACCTCCGCGACACGATCCCCGAAAACCTCATTCTCCTCTTCATAGGTGTGAACCCGGGTATCATGACCGGGCAAACGGGCCACGTCTACGCACACCCTTCCAACCTATACTGGAAGCTCTTACATTCCTCCGGCATAACGACGCGTCGTCACCCCCCCTCAGACACCTACCGTCTACCTGAATTATACAGCGTCGGGAACACGAATATCGTCGCGAGACCGACGCGGGATGCAAGCCAATTATCGAAGAAAGAGATGGACGAGGGTGTTCCCGTGCTAGAACGGAAGATTCGAGAGAAGAGGCCTGAGGCTGTATGTCTCGTCGGCAAGGGGATTTGGGAGGCGGTGTGGAGGGTGAAAAGGGGAAGGGCGATTAGGAAGGAGGAATTTAAGTATGGGTGGCAGGACGAGGGGGAGAGGATGGGAAGGTCGCCGGGTTGGAAGGGGGCTAGGGTGTTTGTGGCGACTTCGACTAGTGGGTTGGCCGCTGGGATGAGTATGGCGGAGAAAGAGGCTGTTTGGAATCAATTGGGGGATTGGGTTAAGAAGAGGAGGGAGGAAAGGGAAAAGGAGGGAGTGGCCAAGGTTGCGGTTCCTGCGGCTGCGGCTGCGGGTGAAAATGGGGATGGGGATGGCAGTGTGGATGGGTGAGTGGGAAGGAGATTTAATGCTGTACTTTTTAGAAAGGTGTGTTTTGGTCTACTTATATCCATATACCTGGCGTATCATTTGCGGGCCATTTGGTAACTATATAAACGGCGTTGTAGATGTGCGGGTATCCTGAGCATTGGTCATTTCAGCCTGCACTGTGCACATACAGCAAGCAGATGTCCATATGTTGTGCTATTTTAGTCATATAAATACATACAGATAGAGATAGTCAATGCACAACGCATATGAATCGCAAGAATGAATTATCACTACTATCAACGATATTGCTTCTTTATTCTTTTCTTTTCAGCCATATCACCAACCGTCAACCATCTTCATCACTCACATCTTCAGGCATATCAAATGGCAGATCCCTAGCCTCACCAACCCTTGCCCCCCTTCCCCCCTTTTCACCGTTCTCTTCAAACCACTCTTCCAAATCCACATGAACCCTCAACTCCTTCTCAACAAGCACATTCCACACTTTCCTCAGCTCGTCCTGCCCCATTTTCTCCCGTAACCCTCGCTCCCGAAATGCAAGTAACACCAACTCCTTAGCCCACGGACAAGCACGTATTGCCCGGTAAAGAACCTCTCGTGCACGACCCCACTGCGACAACGCAAGTTCAAAAAGAAGGTACAGTTTCCAGGTGGAAGCACTGGATTGTCCGGGTGGCGATGTCACGGCTGATTCTAGGGCGGCACGGGCAGAATGGACGGTGGAACCGGCTGAGACGCCTCGATGGAGTTCAGCGTAAATGGAAAAGAGATGGGAGATGAGAGTCGATCGAATCGAGAAATCAGTTGTGGAGCTTTTGCTTTCGTCATGCTGTGCCATTGGGGTGATGGTGTGTTGGCGCAATATGGAGCGGACGCGATCTTCGATCCGAAACCGAGACTCGTTCCACATGAAGAGGCTGAGGAAAAGGGTGTTTTGCGGGAAGTGCGAGATGGCGTCCGTTAGTTTTGAGCGAAGGACGGAGGGTTTGAATAACCTTGTTGCCGTGGTGTGGTGATAGAGCAGTTTTACTTTCGCCTGCAGGAGAAGCTCGTTGAATATCGTATTTTCTAGCCTATGTGCGAGGAGGCGGGAATGAACTGTTTCAAAAACATTCATTGAAGCTTCGATATCAAGCTTCTCGGAGAAATAAACCAGCAAGGCATGACACTCGACAGAGTTGACGAATATGTTAGGGTTCCGAGATGTGAGCCCATACTCTTGTGTTGTCTTGAGAAACTTGTAGAGGGTCAGTAATTTCTCGAAAATATTATTAAGGCTATTCGGCACACTTACCATCTGAGTTTTCAAAAATGCTGCTGGGCTGATAACTGTGGTGGATTTCGTGACATCCGCTAAGATGTTATTAAGATCTGTGGCACCATTTGAAATCGCGAGTAATAATTGCACTGCCCTGTCGTTGTTGTGGTCTGCAAGAACTTCCCAGATCCAAGTTCGCCATAAGATTATGCTAGAGATTTTATCCTCGTCCTTGAAAGTGCTGCACATCGATAGTGCTGTGGTCCAGACATGCTCCGCTGTTGCTATCTGGCCGCTACGAAATTCAATCAGAGCATATGCATTATATAGCTTCAGATTCGATGAACGTTTCTTCAGAAGGCCTTTCGTATACTTTTTGGACTCCTTGGGATTAGAAGTGAACTCGAGCGCCACAGAATATTCTGCAAGATCGTCGTGCTGAGGCAGGCGATTAACTAGGTGTCGTAGTGTGCGCCGAACCCACTCACCATCGACAGCACTCAGATCATTCATGTACGATATTTGCCATTCTCGGAGCTCTGAAAACCAGTTTTCATTTCCAAATAATGTATCCAAATTGTTGGCAAAAGTAGGTAAAGGGAACGTGTTTGCTTTGGGCTTCACGGTCTCATCTGGGCCATGGATGATCTCCGAGAACCACTTTGATGACTGATCATCCAAATTATCCAGTAAATTATTGCGTATGAATGGATCTCTGCGCCATTGAACTAGGATATCCGCGTTTTCAGACAATGTCAAGGGTGGCAGGCCGCAGAAGATCATGAAGGCACCAATTAGCAAATCGGGCGAGTCTGATAATGGGAGAAGGAAATCATTGATATCCGAGGACAGTATCACCCGATAGGGATCGTCATCTTGGACATCATCAAGAGTACGAGCCGGGAGCCGCGAATAACGCATCTGCTGTCGTTCACTTTGTTCCCAGGATTCAAAAATAGACCTTTCATCTATTTCCCGGCTGGCGGGGTCAGACTTGGAGTCGGGCGATGGCCGTTCTCCGCTATCCCAGCCTCTAGCACCGATTTCCCCTATCCTCGGCGCCTCACTGTCCCAAAATTCACAAAAGGCGGATGTGGCTGCATTTTTGGTTATATCTAGCGATTTGGGTTGGAAGAAGTTAAACTCCAGCACTGCCTGCCAAAGCGCTACAGCGTGCTCTACAAACCCCGCCTCTCGCATAAAGCGGCTCAATCGAAGGATAAGATATATATTGATGACATTCGGCTCGGGGCTATTTTTGCGTGTTCTGTTGATCCTCAAACAATCTATGAAAATCGACCGACATTGCTCGTATGTAAAATTAACGAAACGAGTCTGCTGGGTGTCTAGGTATTTAATCCAAAGACTGATGTAGTCCGGGTTCATCTGAAGTACGTCTTTCCACTTGTTTGAGACAGTTTTGGTGTCGTAGAGTATTGACGCTTCTTCCATCATACCGAGCAGAAGACGATCCCGACGAGCTTTCAACGGCATTTTATTCAGGGCTTTCTCGTACATTGATATCTTGATATCTGCAACGCTCCTCTTCTCTGCTGTAGTGAGTATGCGCTGTCCATCACTGTTGGCAAACCCAACCAAAGAATCCTGATGGCGGATGAGCTGTAACCATCCATCAATATCATATGGGTGTTCCTCAACTTTCCTGGATAGTTCATCATTGCGCTTGAGGGCATTCTCGTCATCAGAAGCTAAATCTAACTCTGAAACGGCCTCCAAATCCTCCGGGAGCTGTTCAGAAGGGTTGAATTTCCCTTTGATTGATCTGTAGTCAACAGTAGGATCATCATTGAACTCTGATTCCGTAGAAAACATTCCACCATGAAGCCCCCTTCGCTTTCTGGATCCACCAGAATTCAGCGGCAAGAAATCTTTTTGATAGTCAATTGCAGGATTACTCTCCGGCTCAGGCCTTACACGAAGAATCTTCATTCCCCCTTTTGTCTGCCTCCGAAGGAATTCTCTATACTTCTGCTTTGAGCTGTCGTAGCCAGCCACTCTGTGCCCGATTACCACAGTATTTGCGTCCCCATCGTCGCAATCAATTCGGTGACTTGTGGGGAGTCCGAGAATCCTTCCAGAGCCAGAGCGGTAATATTCGGGAATACTGTAGTGATGCAAAGTGCCGTATGTCACATTGTAATTGTCGCCCTCTCTGTCTATGAAGAAAAATTCCTGCTCATCGCCTTCACTTGCCAACTGCTTGGCGATTTCGGGAGGTTTGGTAGCTAATGATTCTATCTCTCTCCCAATTCGAGAATGATGCTCACCATGACGATCCTGGTCGTCCTTCCGCAAACTGGAATGGCTCTTATGTCGCGAGCGCCTAGATTCATGCCTGAGCCGTTCATTCTTGCTAGAAGCTCTATGCTTTTCGTGGTAGGAACGTACTTCTGCTTTGGCGGAGGATGAAGCTGGCGGAGATGTCTTTGGCCTGAAGCTCGCGAACTTTGGGACCGGCTTCTTTTCCTGCACCGATACAAGTTAGCCTGAACAATGTCAATATATCAGTCACTATAATAATGCGTACCTTCTCGTCCCCTGACTCCATCTCCAAGCTGTCGCAAAACTACTTTCTTTTGTTTCTCGCCGCGTTGAGTTGACGTATTTAGATAAATGCCGTCGTGTAAACTTGCTGTTTTGGGTAATTAACTAAATCCAGTTTCGGGAAAAACTTCTTTTTTGGGCATATATTTTTTTTTTGACGGGAATCTCTAATTTAGTATTTGATCCCACCGCATTCGTTCTTTATGGAGAATCTTGGAATACCCACGACAGCCAGAGGAGAGGTCTCGTCTCTGAGGTAATTTCCCATTTGGCGATGCTACTGGAAACGGATCTTGTTTTTTAATCCCGAAAACCTCCCGTTTCCATCCTGTTGTCACAATGGCGTCCTCTCTCACTGCGCAGCTGTCGCAGATTGCGGCGACCTCCACACACCAGCTGGATTTGAAGGCTCAAAGAGTTGCCCACTCGAAATCTTTGATATTTGAACAAAGAGATGCCGTATCTCAGAGTTTCGATACTCTTTATCAAATATGTTATGAGGGATTTCAGGAATTATGTGCGCTGGATTCAAGATTTTCCAAATTCCGGCGGACGATCTTCAGCGAGCAAAGCAAAACAGAAGATAGGCTGGAAATGAACGCGGAACAGAACAAGGAGCTGAATACTGTGTTAGAAGAGTTTCTGGCCCTTGTTGGAAGCCGCCTTCTACTACAGCCTGCTGTCAAGGCGGTTGAGTGGCTTGTTCGCCGATTTAGGTATATGTTCGCAATTCTGAGAATATTGCTATGATTGGCTTTTAACTGACTATCGGTCCTTCAGAGTTCACGAGCACAACATCTCCTTTCTTTTACTTACATTTCTTCCATATCATACGATGGAGTTGTTCAAAGTACTTCTCTCCATCCTACCCGAGAACCTCCCGCCGACTTTCAAAATTTTGAATCCCTACAGGCGGAGTTTGACTCTACCTCCTCGACACGCAATTGTCCACAGCGCCTCAACGAATAAGTCTTTTTTGGCTGCTCTAAACCACTACGTCTTGCAGGTCAGCAAGTCTCGGGCCCATTACCAAGGCCTCCTGGCTTTTTGGGCCGGTGTCGCAACAGAAGCTGTAGCTAACATGCTCGACTATACAAGCTCGGGGAGGCGAGAGGTGGAAAGGAGGAATCGGGAGGATGTCTTGCTCCAGATTCTTCCAGTGGTGCATAGCGGATTCTGCCTGATTAACGTCCCGGAACTGGTCATCGGTTGCTATATGATCTGTATTGTGATCGCCAATAAAGCGTCACTTGAAGATAATGTTTTGGACGGACTCATGGAAGCTGTTGTTGGAACCTGGAATCAGGAGACCCGTTTAGCAGCAATGACATGTCTGTCGGTTCTGGTGCAGCACAAAAATTCTCCCGGCCTTCCCCGTAGTGTTGTCAAATCCATTACTCGTTTCGAAAATTCTCTTGACATGATTGCTGATCTCCATACGCGATATTCCATAACTGGATTGCTCCTCGGTTTGATAGACGGATGCGTCCAGGAAATTCACAACCAGAAAGATCTGTCTCCGCTGATGTTCATTGACAGTGCCATACAGCGTGACATATTGGAGTCTGAAGATTTAGCAAAAGTCATGGTCCTGATTCTTCGAGCAGCTGCCGACTTGCAAGCTTCTGGCCGTATGGCTGAAGAAAGCCGAACAATTCTCTCCAGGATGATTCAACATTTTACCGAATCAGAGTCATTGGCACCTATACTTCAAAATGCCATTGGGGAATCTAATATTGATATTAATGCACTGGAGATGGCCCTTGAGACAGCCCTGGGAAGTATCGCAGCCCCAATGGCCATAGAAGATGTCGAGATGGAAGACGTTGCCGATGCCGTTGAAAAGGAGGATGCATTTGCTAAAGCGCTTGAGGATATCTCACAATCCACTAATGAGGTTTCCTTTCTAGCGGGAGTGAGTTCATCTACATACGATCAATTGGCATATGCTTTTATACTTGCCGCTGGAAGCAAGGAAAAGGTGCTTAAATTTACTGATTTACCTATACTGAGACGGGATGCGTCTTTACAAAGTCCCCTTTACCTTTCTTTCTTCATTCGGTTTTTCTCAGGTCCATACCCTCCGGTTAGCAGAACAGCAGCTATTGAAATAGTAGCAGCATATCTTTCCGAAAATGTTTCCAAGTCCTTCAACATGCAAGCAATTCTCCCTTATATCGTTTCTTCACTCTGCGACCCATCAGAGCGAGTCCGGAGAGGAGCAGCCAGTCTACTCGCCTCCTTTGAGCGGACATGTGCGAAGGTCAAGAATGAGGATGAGAGCAACCCCCAGAGTTCATGGGGCTTTGGGGATATCTACGGGAAGACGGAGCAATCTAAATCTCTTCAGTGGATATCTCCACGGAGTGTATACAAGGCCACCCATCGGGCTTTATTACCTGCTTTGGAGGAATACGTCCTGGATCCGACTCAAATAGGAAGCGTGTTAAAAAGCGCAATTCGTAGGACATCTTCTACTACAGATACTTCTGATTCCGAACTAAAAAAGTCGGTTCGACAGGAGCTTTTTACTTTCCTTTGTTCCCACGCTATTTTAACCCCCCTATATGCGGTAAAGATCCGCCTTCTGAAAATCCTTAACCACATTGGCAAAATTGGTTCTACAACCAGAACTGAGGAGCTTTCTCCCATTCTTGACCAATGGAGACTCTTGGATGATGATAGCGTTGCTAATATCTCCAAAATCGAACAAGTAAATATTCCCGAGTTGGAAGGGCAAATACTTGAAATAGTATCCGCAAAACACAAAAACTCCGTTAATATTCTCGTCTCATCCGTCACCTCTCAACAATGTGCTCCAAGGACCGATTTCGTGAAAGCCGTTTTCACGCGCCTCAGCCAGATCTGGCCGTCGCTTAAAGAAGACAGTAGGATAGATGCGGCAGATACATTGCTCGAGATGGCTTTAGGTCCATCTACTGTGGATGGAGAACTGCCGAATGCATGCAGGGATCTTCTCCTCACCGTTAATCTCTCTGGACATATCCTCTCCCGCTTTCTTAACAAGATATCTGCGTACATTGTTGACACTGAGCCTCAAGGTTCCGTTGCAAAAAGACGGCGAACCAGCCAGAACAATATGGTCGCAATGAACACGAGGGACCCCAAGGAGTTGAGTCAGATGATTGGACAAGTTACATTCATCCTTGAACTTATTGATGGATCGAGTCCAGAAAATCATCCCCAGCTCCTAGGTGGCCTTTTCCAAACCCTTGCCGCACTGCACCATTTGAAACTGAAGCTCCAGGCGGAGATGGGTTACCTTTTGAGTCTTGTTCTAGGAATCATGCTTGCTATTACCAACAAAGCGAAGTTATCGCCTAAACTCAAATTGGATACGTCAGTCATTCGTCCTGACCTGATAATTGATTGCGTTCGCACGTCGCAAAGTCCCCAAGTTCAGAATAGTGCTCTACTGTTGGTAGCAGGATTAGCGACTATTGCTCCGGAGCTCATCCTCCACAGCGTAATGCCAATATTTACGTTCATGGGATCTAATGTTTTGAAGAAAGATGACCAATATTCCGCTCTCGTAATCGATCAGGTATGTTTCTGCATCCGTGATACATTCTCATTTGATGAAAACTTCTAACACACCACTGTTAGACAATTGATCAAGTGGTCCCCCCACTTATCCAGTCACTACACAACCAAAAGAGAGACGTGGTTTCCGGGACCTCAGAGCTTCTTCTCAGCTTTACCGCTGCATTTGAACACATTCCATCACATCGTAGATTGCGACTGTTTGAAGCGCTGATTACAAAACTCGGCGCCGAAGATTTCCTTTTTGCTGTTTTCGCAATGCTTGCAAATAGATATGGTACTGATCGGGATGTTTTGGGTATGATGACCAGCCTTGTTGGCAATCTAGGAGTGGAGCGACAACTTCTCGTAAGTTCTTTCGTTGTTAAGATCGCTCTGATCCCCGTCTTTTATTCTGACCTCCGCGTTACAGTCATATACCAAGTACTTGAGTCTGGTTCAAGATGCGTTACTGCCAAAACCAAATCTCTCTCGTACTCTTCTTGGAGTTGGTGGTGAAGACGGTAAAGATCCGCCGAGGATCGCCGCCGACCTACTGCAGACATTGTCTCACCTCCTTCAAAGCGCATCCTTAAGGTCTCAAATGAACAAGGCATTCGATTCTGATGATGCTGCTGTTGCTCCAATCCACAACCTATTCTCTCGCATATTAGAGCAGTTATTGGCCTTGGCAGATACTGTTCGAGGGAATAAACCAGTTAGCAAAGCCTGTGGTGATGCCCTGGGATCGCTCCTGGGAGCCCTGTCATTGGTTGACTTCCTCGACACCATTGAAGTTCTCCTTCGACGACCCAATGATGATATACGCAGAAGAGTACTAAGATTATTGGAAAATAGACTGGAACAAAGCTACGACAGGGACTCTGCTTCCCAGTCAAGAGTTTTGGCCTTTTTGTCAACCTTGGTTGGAATACTTGAGGAATCTCCTGATGTGCTCCTGAAGCACGCGGCTGTGGCTTGCATAGACAGGGTTGCAGAGAAGTATGGAAAGAAAGATCCAGATTCTGTGGTAGGAGCAGCTAGAGTCGTTGCTGGGGAGAGTTGCATTGGCCAGGCTGATGACCGCATTCGCGTAATTGGGATGTTATGTCTTGCTTCCATCACTGAAGTCCTTGGTGAAGCCATAATCCCCGTCCTACCGGAGATCTTTTCACGTTCCTTTGGTCTTCTAAAAGCGACCTTGGGGTCTAGCAGGAAACATCTTCAACTGCACGATGCGATCTATTCGCTCATATCTTCCCTTCTTTTCCATGTTCCGTGGATGATATCAGATGATCACCTAAATAGCATTCTTCAACTATCCTTCATGTCGGCGGCTGCAGACCTTCCCGAAGAATGCAACGACAACCGTCGTGAGGCATTGAGACTTCTTGCAAGGCATGTGGATGTCAACGAAACCTTCAAAGCTGTCGAGTTTAATTGGTCGTTTGCACTCTCTGAAGGTCCCAAGGTAAGTTATCTCACTCTTTCCCCTCACTCCTTATTGAAACTATTGTGCTTATAATTTAACAGGCCGTGGGTGAGTTGCTGGAGGTTACAAACCTTTGTATCGAAAAGCATCCAAAATCTTCAACCATCAAAAATGTTCCTGTTTTAGCCAAACTATTAGAGAAAGCATTTGACATTCGTCGCACACAATTCTCTCTGCCAGATACGAGCAGATACGGGGCAGATGACATTAATGATATTGAAAGCCAAGTGAATGATATGGCGATAAAAATGATCTACAAGCTGAACGACACTGTTTTCCGCCCCCTATTTGTCCAATTAACGGAATGGGCTACAAAAGGCATCCGGGAATCAGACAGCACAGGACGGCTTTTGAGGCTTACGACGTTCTACAAGTTCCTCGGGTCATTCTTTGGTACTCTCAAGGTGAGTCGAACCGCGATTTATAATTCATTCGTTAAGGGTTTGGGGTTGAAACTAAACCTTACTTTCGTTTAGTCCATCGTCACAAGCTATTCAAGCTATATCATTGAAAGCACAATTGAAATCCTAAATACTGCTCGATGCAACGACAAAGAGTCTAAGGGTCTATGGTTAGCAACGATGCAGATGCTTCGCAGCTCCTTTGAGCATGATCAAGATGGTATGTAGACTGCAAAGACAAATTAAGCTTTACTGTTGTCCATTATATATATATCTCTGCTTCCATAAAAGTTCAAAGCACCTCCCTAACAAACTGTCCCAGAATTTTGGCAATCCCCTACCCATCTGGCAGCAATATCCACACCCCTAGTCACCCAACTCTCCCACTCCACCAACTCGCCAACCCTCAAGCTCATCACCGCCGAGGCCATCCCAACCATAGTGGAGCTCGCTTCCGCCGCTGATTCGCCGGAAAACCACAAGGACCTTAACACTGCCATCATGAAATTCATGCGTCCCGGAATGAGCAGTGATGGTAGGAACGGCGGCGATAATCCGTACACTCGTCTCGCGGCAGTTAGGTGCGAATTTAGCCTAACAGAGCGTCTGGGCGAGGAATGGCTAGCATTGCTGCCGGAGATGCTTCCATATATCAGTGAATTGATGGAAGATGATGACGAGAATGTTGAGAAGGAGGTGAGGAGGTGGGTTTTGGCTATCGAGGATGTTTTAGGGGAGAAGTTGGATGATATGTTGGTTTAAGAATTGGATCATGGGGGAAAAAAGGACATCTTACGGGCTATGAGTATATGCTTTTCCCAGTGTCTCCTATAGTTCGGCAAAGTTGCAACAAGTCGTTGGCTATATACCAATATTTAGGTTAAATACACATGATGTTGTTTCATAAGTTCAAGCAATTTGACTATCGTTATCTTCATTATGTCATTTCTCGATGATCAACGTATTAAAACAGAAAGGCTTCAAGAAAAAGAAAACAATAAGTAAACAATCGCAAGCCTCTCCTTAAGCTTTGAAAATGGTGCGTCTGACAAATTAGAGGAGCGCATCGATTCGGCGGATAAGTAATAAAAACCCGCATATATCATGGGTATGCAGTTGCATTCTTTGTATGGCAATGAAGACAGGTTACGGATGGAAATTGGTAGTTTCACACCGCTTAGAAAGGTGGTGGATTTAAATCGAGGCCATCAACCGTCAATTTGAACGCATCATTCCTTGAATAACTCCCTGCAACATCTAAGTCCAGCCTGCCCCGTTCGCAATCCTCGAAATCCACTTCTGTAATTAATATATGATCACAACTATCATCATCTGAGACGTTCCAGAGTGGACCCGCCAAAACATTTCCCATGGGGCCTACTATGCAAGAACCACCACAAGACACGTATGGGTCGGATAACAACGATGTTGTCGCTACCCCTTGGCCATCTGCGGTATGGTCTGGCCATGTAATTTCGTGCTCATCTTTCGTTATTATGGATTTTCTGTGGCATTTTTTGCAACCAGAAGGGGATGTGGGATGGGTTTGGGTGTGGGGGACGGAATTTACGAATGGATCTGCATCTGGCTCCCGACCAGCCACTCCGTCTATGGTGGTGCTGGGGGCATCCTCGTCGACTTCAGGGAATGGATGGATTCCACCATCCGATTCGGGAAGGTCTTCTGTCGTACTGGTAGCGGAGGCGGTGGTATTTGGATCACTGCAAGGCCACACAATCTCGTGGGATCCTTCTAACGTAGTTATCGAGGACTTTCTTCCTGGTAGCACCGGTCGACAGCTGATTGGGCGACTTGACGTTTTGTTTTTAGCCACAGGGTGACTTGAGGGGTTCCTGGACTTTTGACGTTTCGTGATCCATGACGGAAGTTCGCTTTGGCGAACACACTGGTTGGCGCTGAGAACAATAGTCCTTCCTTCAAATGCTACAGTGCGCATCAACGGTAGCCAGGTATCACGCCCATCTGCAGTTGGAGCGAGGTAGAGGTTCACATTCTGGGAATATAGGCTCTGTCGTAAAAGGGGCATGAAATTCTCCCAGCAAATAGCTGCTGCCAGGGTGATCTTTACCCCATTAATCTCTGTAGTAACAGCCTTGAGAGTTGAAGGAGATCCCTGTGCCCACACCAGCCGTTCAGTGCCAGTTGGCATCACTTTTCTTCTTTTCCCTAGAGTTTCTCTCTTGGGGTCCACGTATACAACTGAACAGTACAGACTCCCACCAGCTCTCTCAATCAAGCCAACAATGAGCAACATTCCCGTCTCCCGCGCAACCCGTTCCAAATATTCCCTTGTCCCATCACCGCGGTAATTCTTCCCCTTCGCGACAGGCAGGGCTCGTTCGATAAAATCATCTCCGGCGCCGGCAGGGGTATCCCCAAGGTCAACTGCGGAGTGGTAGTAGTTTAGATACTGGTCACGGCCATGGGGGTCGCGAGCTCCAACAGAACCTCCGAAGGTGCATGTCCGAGGATACCCGCCCAAATACGCCTCTGGAAAAAGGAGAACTTGAGCCCCTCGGGACGCAGCTAGGTGGGAGGTGCGCTCTAGAGCCCGTAGAGTTTCAGGCAACGTGTTGCGGGTTCGCGATTGAGCAACGGCGACATTGAGCTTTTGCGGCATGGCTGGAATGAATTCCAAGGCGTTGGTGAAACGGCTGCAGAGTAGGCTGCAGTGATCAGGCGCCGTGATTTTATATGGTGATTAGCAGAGCACGTCGCAAAATCCGTTCCACACCGGTTACTGAGCAGCAAGACAGCCTTTGACGAAAGTTGAGCCGAGGGATGAGGTCAAGATAAGGTGTCGGTAGTTAATTTCCCACCGCGTCTAAAGTGATGATGTAATAAATCCATGCTAGTCAGTCAGTTCTTGGGCAGAGCAACTTTCTTGGACGAAGTTAACTAAACTACAACCGGAAATTCGTGTACAGCGGATCCCAGTCCCGGATTCCCAAGGATAGGAGACGAATGCGATATTTGGTTCAAACTGCTAATCATTGAGGATTTCTTGTCAGTGGAACAAGGTAGTGGAATGATAAGACACTTGTTGACAACGCACCCGCTGGGGCACTTTGATGCGCGGATTCAAAAGCAACGAAGTCTACATTCGATTGAGAAACTATGAAGGCGATAAAAGCTTCCTCATCCAATGACGGGAGCATAAAAACTCCTTTGTTTTTCTTTGGCGATAACCAAAGGCACGAAGAAACATAAGAAAGTGTAAAATAAAAACGAAAGATTTCAAATTCATGTTTCAACTGATATATTACGATCCCAGAATCCTGGAAGAAAGGAAGGTTGGACGGGATCGTACTCAAAGATCGTTGAAGGGAAGGATTCCTTTATTCTCGTCTCGAACAGGCCAAGCCCTTAACCGCCTAAACCTCTATGGGAGGTAGGGGAAAATGGAATGGAGTGCATCCAGCTCAAGATCGGACGATTGAAGCAAAACGTAGACAGATCGAGCGAGGAAAGAGACACTTTTTTTTGAAATAGTTCCTGGAGAGAACCTCGATAAAGGGTAATTCGCATAGAGCTCTGAAGTGAGGGATGACAACCTCAAGTTCATGCCAAAATAATAAATTAGTTTCCTTTAAAGTTTCCGTTAACTCAACATAGTTGAAAGGTGTCAAAAAGGGACATCGGCTTGCGCCACCGCCAGAATATACCGGGAAACAAAAACAACCATTGGGCTCCGGAACAGAGCTGCTCATTGGTATTAGCGTACATGGCAAGCTAAAAGGAGAAAACATAAAACGCCAAATTGCCCTCCAAACCCGCATCAGTAAGCAACCTTGGTACGCATATCCTAGAGAATAGTAATGTCAGCGACGGTTTCGTGAAACCAGAAAGGGATACTAAAACAGAAGGGTAAAACATACTGCAATTTTCCGCTCAATTTCTCGTACCGACCTGTCCAACTCTCCAGCAATTTGTTGTTTCTTGTCATTTGGAAGCAAAAGATAGGTTTCGCAGAGATCGCCATCGATGGTGCCCTTTGCGGGAGCATAGTAACTCCTATATATTAGATGATCTCGTCCAGCGAGCGGAGGATTCTGGGCGGCAAGCTGCATCTCGAGACTTTGGAAAAAATCCACTTCTTCCCGGCTAATGAATGGTATCAACATCCCCACCGTCCCTTGAAGTCCTGTCCAGACGAGGATATCTCGTCCCCCCGTGACTAATTGTGCCTTCTGTATGCTGGTGGGCAAATCCTGGGGATAGAAGTGAGCAACGAGATTTAGTCTGTTCGGGGCACCTTGAAGGTATTGTCGCTCATGAATTAGATGGGCCCCTGACCCATCCTCATCAGCTTCTTCCGATGCCTTGGCGGGACACCGGAGCAGCCACAGATTCCCAAACTTGTCTCCTCCAGCAACAGTTTCGTAATCCACCATTGTCGTGCAAGTGGTCCAACGGGAAATAACATCATCAACGAATGGAATCAGGCGATTTTCCTGAGACTTGTAGACGACATACGTGACGCTTTCCTGAACATCGCTCACGATAATCCGACTGCCTTGTGTTTGCAGGCCGACAACAAGGTGCGGGACAACTGAAGCCTGGCACTTACGGAGCATTTGCCTCATTCCCAAGTCGTAAATTCTGACATCTGTGCCAATACCTGCCAGAAGACGCCCCTGAAAGCCAAGAAGAGCCACGGGTGGTTGCTCAACCTTCGTTTTATGAATGAATTCCAGTTCTTTGCCGTCTTCCTGGAACCGGTAGATATGGATAAACCCAGCTGAACATGATCGGGGATTAACTACCATATCTTTTCCAGTCCCTACTACCAAGAATGTTTCATCATCTTGGCTCGAGAACGAGACAGCGGCCACACTAACGGCAGCTTCATTTTCTTCCAGCTCTATCTGCGAAACTACGCTTTTTGAATTTACTGGATCGACAATCTGTATGCATGACGCCCAATGTCCCGTTCCTCGTGGATAGCCAAAGTCCTCGGGTGGTAACACCGTTGCATCGCCGTTGACAGCATCTGAGTCGTTGAGAAGCTTGGTCCTTGTTGCCGGCGAAAGGATATTATTGTCTGCTTCAATGACATAAAAGAGTGGCTGCTCAGGGTGTTTAATGAATTGGCGCGGTGTGTAAGTGAGCGAGATTGTCTCTTGAAGCAGATTGTTCTCCAATTTTTCAATAGAGAATATTCTTTTCGTAACAATGTCAGCAATTTTGAACGAGAATATGGGATAAAAAACAAAATAACAACTCGGAAACAGCGCATGCTTAGGTTGATTTCAGCAGGAACAATTGAATATTTAGTAATTTTATACCGCATAGTCAACGTTGTGACTCGGGAAAATATTTCATCACGTAAACTTCTCACAGGCTCAAATGCATCACTTAAGACAAATAAATTAAAATCACGTACCTCAGGTTTTGTCCTTGGATACCAACCATGCCTTCAACGCACTGCTCACTGCTGAAGTTCCAACCCCATTCTAGACCGACATAATCTAAAGGTGTAAGCATAAATGCCTTCGTTTGGAGATCCGAATACCCAAGCCAAGGACGTGAGCTCAACGCGAGAACGGCCTTTTGCTCCTTAACAGAAACTTGGAAGAGTTTAACAGGCTTTAAACCGAGGAATCTGGTGCGAGTATCGGATAGTTCTCCCGTCACCTCATCAAGCACCGTGCGAAGATAGATGCCCGAATAGAGGCCGATATGTAGATAAAGCGTGGACCCACCAGACGTGGAATCAGCCATTGCCATAATTGACAGTGCAGATGGAGCGGATGTAAGTGCCTGGACGGACTTATTTCCGAGTGTTGAGTCCGGATCAAGGCTCAGAATTCTGACGGTAGAGTCGTCGCAGCCCACAGCGAGGAAAGAACTCCTTGCACGCCCTTTCGGAACCTCTCCCAGGCTGAGACAAGTAACTGTGCCGGACATTTCTCTTTTCTCATCGTACTCCGCAAGAGAACCATCCGTGTCCATTTCAAAGTACACAATCTCCCCAGAGCTTAGTGCAACGGCGACTTGCCGCTCATTTGTAGTCGCAGCAACAATGGAACGATGCTGAGGGGCAGGCCATTCGTTCACTCGTCTATCTGCATGGATATGTCGTATTCCCTTGGGATGCACTTGGATGAGAGAATCCTCTCCAAGTTGCTGAACCGCCAGGGTTGGTGCCGAGGATAGGAAGCCGGTATCTGTGACTTCTTCCACAGTTTCTCCAATACTGAGGACGAGAGTGCCATTGGAAAAAGACAAAATAATGTAAGCATCGAATTCGTCCTCGCGAGTGAGCTTAGAGGTCCAAACTGCAGATGGAACACTCGGTAGTTCCGACTCCACGATTTCAGTAACTTCCAAGCCGTGCTTAAGAGTCCTGAAGCTGCTCCTTGCCCCTGTACCACAAATAGTATATATTTGGGGTGCATCATCTTCCGTCAAGTTTGTGATCTTGCAATCCATCAATGGATTGAGAGAATTCACATTTTCGACAAGATGCACATTTTCAGAGAGTCGTGGGTGGAAATAAACAGGAGGCAGCGGTTCAGAAGGATTGGCGGAGAACGAGTCGCTAGTAAACTCGATTTCATCGTCATCATCTCCCAGTTTTTCAAATTGGTAAAAGTGATGATTTCCCGTTTCACTGGCGACGAAAAGGAACCCGCTCTTCAAAATGCATAAACTTGAAGCGATTGGAACGGTGTCGAAATATTTGAGTTTTAATCTTCTGACTTCCCCTGTTATTTGTCCGTTATCATCTTCAACCATATCAATAGTAACCTTGAAGAGATCACCGTCCTCGGTTTGCAGCAAGAAGAAAAAGGCGCCGCGCATTTTATGCATGACTCCGGCGACAATACATCGTTTTCTCTCTGGGTTTTCCGTAGGTCCACTGCGACGGGGTATCGGTACGCGGAAGGCATCCTGATTTGAGTGACGGTAGGTGATGTTGTCCTCAGCACACACAAGACAACCACTAGGACCATCTGCACCACCAGGAACCTGGAATAGCATAGTTGCGGAGCGGTCAACAGGATCCGACCATTTCCTAACAACATGGTTCAACCCTAGATCGAGCTCGTAATAAACTAATTGCTTTTCAAGCTCCTCATAGGCTTGCCCAGTTGGGTCTTGGTCGGCTTCAGTGTATTCAACTTCCAAAGCCGCAAATATCGGATTGTCATAACCGACATCCAGAGCTGTCAAGGCGAAAACCAGAGTCTGGGGTTTATGGGCCTCCAATGGCGAGGATATCGTCAACTCAGCTTGTGTATTTCGGTTGAGGACATAGACCAACTTGTTTTTCTCCACCGAGGCAATTAAACATGCTCTTCCTTTTGGATCAACAGCTAAGTACTGACCAGGGATAACGCGTCGAATGCCCGATTTCCCGAAAGTCTCGAGATGGATTCTGTTGAATCGGTTCTGGGAAGGTACATATTCGATGATGGTAATCCGCCCAGAGTCAGATCCGATGATGATGTAATCTATATGAGACACATTCAGCATAGCTCTCAACCAAAGCTGACAGAGAAGAAGGACAGGATCCAGGAGTGCGGTGTGGGCTTGCGCGCAACAACAGGAGCTCGAGCTGTCCCAAGAGCTTGAAGAATCACTAAAGTGGTCTTGACAAAAGCGATGGGTTAGAACATACCTTTGCTGCCACCAGCTAGCCTAAATGCCGCGAGCGTCCGGATAATGCCAAACACATCTTGAGAAAACAGAGTTCTAATTTTTCCCTGTGTCGGGTCTGGCCGGTGGATTGTGAGCTTCGAACCAGACGCAGTGACGATCTGCTGTTCCTTAGTCCCCGCGAACTGGCCCAAAATTGCTTGAGTAATCGCTGTAGGGGGCTGGATGGTCAACGAGTACATAAACAACGACGAGGTGGTCGCCATGCTGGGCAATATGAAACCGGGAGATGACTATGCCAGACGACTGCAAGGGATCTGACACCGGGCTACCAGTGGGTCAATGGCATTGTCATCGGTGTATTAGAGACTCCACATCCCACTCCAAGGTAATCCCTAGCCACTTGGTTGTAGTGGAATTGGTTAGCGGGACAGGACAGCTTCGTGAATGTTCCAAGGTTGCCGATATCCGTGGGCATGTGCAGCTGTGTGTGTGAGATTCCAATGTTAATCAGATTGAAGTCGAAGGTTTGTGCAGTTTCGGTGTTGTTCCATGCGACTCTAGTGGCACAGGCTCCATTTCGGTAATATGTGGCGCCGACCCGGCCCAGTACTACGTCTTGGCTGGCGGGAGATACTTACTAGGCACCGGATATCGTCGCCTTCAACTTCAGCTTCAACTTTCAAAGTGACACCCCGTTGCTGCTTCACTTGAATATAGGCAGCTCTCCCTATCGCACATCTCTGGGTCTATATTCACAAGATAGCGCCTTGATTTGGCGCTGAATTTGTTTCTTCGCCTTTGTGAACGCCCTACACACCCTTGGAATCTCGACCCAACCGTCCTACCTTGCTCTCAATCGTCATGTCGGAGGACGGTTCTAAGACAGAGGAATCGCCCATCACTTTCCATGTCAAATCCTCAAATGATGTCAAATACACTCTGACACTGGACCCGTCTACCACGATTGGTGATCTCAAAGCAAAACTAGCTGGTGCAGACTATGCTGACGTACCGGCAGAACGACAACGTCTGATCTATTCTGGTCGAGTACTCAAGGATGGCGATACGCTAGCTACTCACAAAGTGAAAGATGGCCATGCCATTCATCTTGTAAAGAGCGCCGTGCAACGCCCAACTCCCACATTTCAAGGCTCAAGCACCGCATCCGGGGACAGGCCAGCGCAGGCCCGCACATCACTGGCGGCTAACGTGCCTACCAACATCGCTGCCGGTACAGGAAATAATCCTCTAGCAGGGCTCACAGGCGCGAGATATGCTGGATTTGCGCAGTTGCCAGGTGCTGGGATGTTTGGACCCGACGGTGGCGTAAGTTGGAAAATCCTCCTTCACACACTCCCAAAACATGATCTAACTATGCTAACGTTTCGTATAGATGGGACCACCTCCAGATTCAGAAGAAATGATAAACATGCTTGAAAACCCTCAATTCCAGTCAACGATGAATGAAGCATTGCAAAATCCTCAACTTGTTGATTTGATGATTCAACAAAACCCAATGCTGCGGGAAATGGGACCGAGTGTTCGCCAAATGATGCAGTCCCCAGCATTCCGCCGAATGTTGACAGACCCGAATGCCATCCGCCAAATGACGCAAATGCAGAGAGCTATGGGGTTGGATCGTGGCGGAGGGTTTGGCGGTGGAAGCGCATTTCCCGCCCCTGGAATAACGAATACGACACCTGAGGAAAATCGTAGTAGCCAAAATAATGAGAATCCATCTGCAACTGCCACCAACGATACCCAAAATCTATTCAATATGTTTGGTATGCCAGGCGCTCAAGGAGGTGGTGCCGCTGCAAATCCATTTACCGCTCTCTTCGGTGCCCCTCCGGCATTTGGCGCAATGCCTCCTTCACAAACGCCAGCTGGCGATAACAATAGTACAGGAACAACTCAGGACGGAACTACTGGATCTAACCCTCCGCCAAACCCGTTCGCATCGTTATTTAACCCCGCACTCTTTGGCCAACCTGGAGCCAATCCAACCAACCCAAATCAACAGCAACAGCAGCAGCAACAACCACCTCAAAACCCCGCCAACCCCTTCTCAAATCTGCAAAACAACCCATTCCTCCAAGACCCCGCTCTGCTCTCACAGATGTTACAGTTGATAGGCGGCGGTGGCCAAATCCCTGCGGCCGGCACAGATCCAGGCGCCAACGCGCTTGCAGCCCTATTTAGGGGCACAGGCACCAGCAGCCCAGCTCCTCAAGATACACGACCACCGGAAGAAATATATGCGGAGCAACTACGGCAACTAAACGAGATGGGCTTTCATGAATTCGAGCGGAATGTTGAGGCGTTGAGAAGGACAGGCGGGAGTGTGCAGGGGGCTATTGAATATTTACTTTCGCATCCATCATGAGATTTTTCTTTCTTTCTTTTTACTTTCTCCATTTCCCCACAATGGATGAAGGAAGCGCGGTTTTAATATTGGCGAGTTATGTTTTCTTTGTTATCCTTGGTTTTTTCTTGCGGTAATGTTATCTCGATCCCCAATCCCCGACTAAGGGGGAATTAAGTTGCTCTGCAACTGTTGTGAAATCTATAAGTTTCTGTGTTGCGCCATGTAGTCAAAATATTGATGCGGTCTTTAAAGCTTCTTCTTTCAATATGCCTTAACATTCATTCCCCTTGGTTTCCTATCCTCTTCCACTCATTGGGTGTAGCTCGTTAATGACATACGAACAATGAACTTTCCTTCCTATCATTACCAATTAGCACTGTGATTAGCATACGGTTGTTGTCCTTTTCTGCTCTTCCATCTGTAAAAATTATGATGGACCAATTCCTCTAAAAAAAATCGGTGTAATTTCATAGAGCTCTATTAACGCCATGGCATCAATATCTTCGCGAAAGCCATATCTGGCTAATTTGAAATATTGACAGTCCATCTTGTACAGGCGCCTTCAATATCCCCAACAGCACAATCACTAAAGAACCGCTAAAATAAAGCCCTCGGATTCAATATCTTTTGCCAAATTTATCGTTGTAATGATAGACAGACACACTCGTGATCCGATCATTAATTACTCTAGAGGAACCAGCGCTTTCACCCAGAAAAGGCTGCGCTCCCCTGTCGGTGAACAGCTCTGCATTTTCCCATGATATGCTGTAGTTAGCACAATAAGGGAACCGACGGGTCGAAATGAAGGTTCCATAGCAGGGTTCGGATCATTCCCATGATTGTTAAATAAATACTTAGCTAAAAGCCAAGCCGTTGGCTTGTGAAACCCGTTAACAATGTATGTTGTTAAATAGCGAAAATAACCAAGTCACAGAAAAATGGCCGAGATAACCTTAGTGGAACGGGAGTGGATTGATCGTGAAGTTATTTATCATAGTGTTCAAAAATGGCATTGAAGTTTTGGGCAAGAAGTTGCCGAAGAAAAGTTAGTTACTGATTCAATTCCGCTCCGTAAACTCTCCTCTTGCGTCCGTATCCACGGACATTTATGCTTCAACTGTGAGAATACCACGGAGTACCAGTGTTTTCTGATTCATATATATGTTGTTTACTCAGTCACCTAACATAATATCAGGGCGGTGCCCATTTCCGTACATCGAAAAAGGGGACGGACACTTAATTAGCAACCCTCAATCGAGCAACTTCATATTAATAACATCATACCACACTCACCTTGTTTCTCGCTGCTAACATCAAACAGCACAAATATATAAAGTGCAAAGAAAGACCTGTGGATAATTGGCTGCTCCATACCCCCGTGAGCAAGTCTGAATATTTCAGTATTTCTGACTTTAAAAGATGACCTGGACGGACCAGTTTCAGTCATGCAATGTATACAGTGTCTCTCAATCGAACTTTGGGGGAAGTTAGTAGACAGACTCAGCACGAAAACCACCGAATCCGATCAGCAGGGCCCGACTTTCCCTTCTCTCTCTTCTATCCAGGGGAAATAACCTAGATGCGCTCAAAATACCTTCCCCATTAAGGCCTCTATGACCGTTTCATTTGGGCTACAGCTCTTTCAACATCGGCCGGCAGCACAGTCCAAAGTCAGGCGCACGCGGTTTCCAGCCTAGCTGTCTGACGCCCAGAGATACACACCTAGCCATCCGGGTTCAAAAACTTCCCGGAAGCATTTTTCATCGTAGGATACAGTTTTGGCATCGAGCTGTAGCCAGCCCTGCTCGATGCCTAGCCGACAAATGGCTTCAGCAGCCTCTTTCCATCTGACTTCGTCCGCGACAGCGAAGTAGAAACCCTATGTTTTGTCAGAGGAGCCATGTTAACAGCAAGGGAGGGTTTTATCTTTCAGCTCCTTCCCACTCTTAAGATCCTCGCCACTCTTCAAGATAATATTTTCAAGCACTAGCAGAAACAAATCAACTACATCATTCGGGTGCGTGCGTGACAGCGCGGAGATTCTCACCCGCCCCAATATAGAAAGACTCCTTGGTCCGCCATAAGAGCTCCAGATATCGGGGCACGAGAAAGGACTCCCTGCCTGCCAGCACCAGTACCTCGCCCTGTAGATGTCTGGCGGACAGATGTTGATGGTCTTAATCACGTCATTGGATGCGTCCATGATACGCCGGTCGATGGCATGGTGCAGAGCGGTGTCCGGAAGGTCATACATTCTCTGGATATCATCAATATCAGACAAGATTTTCAGGTTGGGTTTAGGATCCCACGGATTTGCTAGGTGATCAGAAATGCACCCGGTTCCCGTTAAGGGAATCAGGAAGCATAGGCTGGTTTTTCTGGAGAGTCCTGACAGAATGGCGTTGGCTCAACCTTCGTGGCCAATGTCGCCAGTGTCTAAAATTAAAAAAAAAAAAAAAAAAAAAAAAAAAAAAAAAACGTCTCAGTCCATGGCTCTTTTTAAAAGAATCCAAATACGCATGTATATGTAGATAGATAGATGGGGCATTGTCATACGGATTACTATGTCAGCCTCTTCAGATGCGGGTGCAATCTCGTCTGCATCGTTGAAAGTTCCTCTGATAACATGAATTGCGGGGTAGTAACTAGTTATCTTTCTTTGAACTCTTGCGAGACAGTTCGCAGAAGGGCCGAAATCTGGAACGTTGGGAATTTATGAACGATGGCTTCCTGGAACACTTCCGCCAATATATCCCGTTGCACCTGTTCTATAGCAAAGTCAGTCCTCGCACACCTCGTAATGGTTGGGATGGACTTCTACATGAATAGCTTCTTGGAGGTCGTCGTCCGAACAAATGTGATTATTATCCTGCTGGAATGATTGCAGTTGAAAACTGATTCTGTGCTCACAAGCATCAGTAGCTATTGACGACATTATTTTTAAACAACGGGAAGGGCTTTGTCTAGATAAATCATAGTCTCTTGGTGATTATAAATATCCAACACTAGGGATTTGAATTCTGCCGTAGATATTTCCTCTTGAAGATCTACCAGGTCGTTGGAGCGTGTGGGTTGCATATTCGACACAATTCCATGCCGTCGAAGATCTCTGGCTGAGTGTTTTGACAACGATTTTCCTGTTCGGCTAAATAGCTATAAACCGTGGGAAGAGATTTTCTAAGCTGCCCAGCCGTTCAAGGAGAGTTAGTTAAATAATCACCCCATTGTAGATGTCAGCCATAACTTTGGGAGGATAAATAAAATAAACAGTCCCGTCCAATGTCGGGCCATTGGATATATTATTTACTCGAAATCCACAATAGTTACCTATCAAAACAATGGGGATTACGGCATGTGATCTCAAACGGTGGAGAACCATAAATAGGGATGGATACACGCAAGAGGAAACAAAGTACACATACATCATCTTCGGCCAAAGGGAAATGGGATCAGGATACCATTCCCAGCCTGTTCTATGTCATTCTTTGGAATTGCGTAGGCCAGCGCGAAGTCTGAATTGGGTTATGGAAAGGGGTCTCCCCCGGAATTTGAACGATTCCTCTTCGCATATTTACCGTTTAGTTAAATAGAGACAGGCAAGGCAAGGCTTTTGCTCCTCTTGAATAAACCGACAAAGCCATGAAGAGCAACGATCCTGATCCAAGAACAGAAGCTGGGGTATGCATCAATAGGCAGAACAGCTGCCTGATTGAAAAGAATGCCCTAGATACATCTGAGTGTAACCCTACAGCAAGGGGACTTGTTCAGTTTCATGGGACGGTTGTCTTCACGGCCCACAGGGTAGCTCCAAACTCAATATCGCGGGTGCCACCGACTCGGCTTAACATTTGGTGTGGGGTAAAGAGAAGGGAGAGACGATGGAATACAGCTTCATGAGGGCTTTTAGGTGAATGAAAAATAAAAATAATTAATTAATTAAATTGAATTTTACCTTTCGAACTGTGACTACTTCTGCTTTATATATGGATCTTGGAACCTTGAGAGTTGTTCAGCAAAACTGGGGGTATTCACCTCGAATATATACATCTGTTCATAACGTTGGAGTGAGAGACTTGGTTAAATAGTCTGGTTTCTCCCTTAGCACATTTAACGAGACCCCTTACACATCTCATCGGTGCTAAATTAACTGGGACTATGATTGGGCGTTTTTGGCACAAACCCCCGTATTAATAAGAGTCGGTTCAAATCCTCATCGGATTCGGCTCTTCTGATTTTGTTACTGTGGGTGATGCAGCTCTACGCTAACCAGGGAAATGGCCCCCAGACTGCAAGGGCTTCAATGGAAAAGTAATAGAAGTGGAGTAAAAAAAAGAAGCCACTGGCTGCAGGTTAATTTCGAGCGGTGAGTTTTTGCATCATATTTGCAGCAAGACAATCACAGTGGGAGGGGGATATACTATTGGAGAGCAAAAAGTGCTCCACGGCTTGCCACAAACAACGCCATGGAACTCTTGTGGATATCTCAGGAAACTGCCCATATCGTACATTGGAATTGGAATAGGGAAACCTCTCCGTAATCTCCTCGGGATATTTCAATTGTATTGGAGGTTGATTTTGTGTTACCACTTGGGTGGCAGAGATCATCAGACGGCTCCCCCAAATTGTTTCCAAAATATATCTTCATGGCAAACCCATCGGATGCATAGAGGTCACATAAAGCGTAATCTTCTATCTAACCACCCGAGAGTTGGAATTCTGAATCGTCGAAGCGCCGAAAGACAGTTAAAATGCCATTTTGGTTGTAGGAGATATTTATATAACCTTGGAAAACGGCAGGCCTAGCCTGATCGGGCAAAGTGTCACCAACGGCCTGGCTTGGCCGAGGGACCGACAGGTGGCTGAACTGCTCGAACTTCAGTGGTAACATCCGAATTTCTTGCCAGTTAATCACCACTTCTCATATTTCCCCCTCTCCGCAGTGTCGAGGTACCATTCACGATAGCTGTGTGGCATTTTTCTTGAGACCATTGACCCTTCTTTCTGAACTGTTAAATTAGCCCTTGGTCCTGCGCCCTACTGCAGGGCATGGGGTCTCTCTCAAAGCTTGTTGAGATAAAAAGTGGATGTCCTCATCTTCATCTGGAACATTTGTCCTCTGCACCGCTCTCAGTCCTAATCCTAATCCTATAGGTACTCTGTGCCAATTACGCTCTTTACTGCCGCGGAGCCGAAAGCTCTATACATTACACCGATCTACCCTGGAGAAGTAACGGCCAAACGACCAGCTGTTTCGCGCTTATGCCATAGTTCTGTGCCCCCACTCCAAGTTGTTGCCAGAGGCATAACCCCGTCCAAGATGGTGATCCCTGATATTCGGATACGAATGCACTTCCTAGTATTGGCGTTGGCATCGCTTGCTTTGGCTTCCACCTCCAAAGCTTTCTACATCCCTGGTACGAGATCTCAGCGAAACCCAGCTTTTTTCTAGCTGAGTCGAACATTAACAACTAACACGAACCTCCCTTCGCTAGGATACTCTACCAAAAGTTACCGGGACGGCGATGACATCCCAGTATTGGTAAATAAGATATTTTCTGACAACAGCCAGCTCCAGTATGCCTATTTCGAGCTTCCGTTCGTATGTCCTCCCACGGGCCAGAAGCGCGGCAGCTCTCCTTTCGGTAGCGGCCACAGCATATCACTCAATCTCGGCGAGGTGCTTCGTGGGGACCGGATTATGACCTCCGATTTCGATGTTGTGATGGGGAAGGATGTCGAGTGCCAGTTCTTATGTGTTCGTAAAGTCGATCGCAAGGGCGTCAAGTGGGGCAAGGAACTCATATCCGACGGATATCTTGCAGAGTGGATTATGGACAACCTCCCTGGTGCAACAAGTTTTGTCACTGTGGACCGGTCACAAAAATACTATGCCACTGGCTTCAAGCTGGGATATCTTGATTTTTCTCCAGTCGACGGCAAAGCTAGATACTTTATAAACAATCACTTCACATTTGTTATCCGCTGGCGCGAAGCACCGGGTAAAGCTGGTGCACAGGGTGGAAAGGCGATTGTGGGTTTCGAGATCCATCCCAAAAGTATCTATACAAATGATAGGGTTGACGGCGGTTGTCCCAAAAGAGTCCAAGGTGACCATGCTGGCTTGGAATTATATCTTGCCCCAAATAACACGAGGCTCGCACAACAATACCCTGGCGCATCTTACCTCCCGGAAGACGACGTGGATGAAGATGATGGAGCCACCCTCTCCATCCCATACACCTATTCCGTGTACTTCCGGAAAGAAGACACAGTCGAGTGGTCGAATCGGTGGGATTTATATTTCAATAACCAAGCAGAAGGCAACATGACTCACTGGCTGGCAATCTTGAATTCCTTAATAATATCTGGAATGCTGGGTGTCACAGTGTTCGTAATATGGAGTAGAACGGCTCAAGGAGACGTGAAGGGTCGTAGAGATGTATCGATGGAGGAGGGAAAGATCAAATTGAGGCACCGCAAATCCAAAAGTGGATCCAGAACTCCAAAATCCGGAGAAAAGTCACCCAACGGGCTTCTTAGCGACGCGGAAGCAGACGAACTCGATTCTGAAGATGAGCTCGAGGATGTCGCCGGGTGGAAACTTCTACATGGAGATGTCTTTCGCACACCGGAATATAGCGGATTGCTTGCACCCCTCGTTGGATCAGGGATGCAACTACTTTTCATGGCCACCATCCTCCTGATATTGAGCTGCTTTGGAGTGCTAAACCCAAGCTTTCGCGGTGGCTTTATTAGTGTTGGCGTAGGACTTTTCGTTTTCGCAGGCTTATTCTCTGGCTACTTTTCTGGAAGACTTTACAAGACATTTGGCGGCCAAAACTGGTGGAAAAACACCATGATCGTAAGTCTAACAATCTTCTTTTCTCTTCTTTCTTTTTTAATTTTAATTTTAACTTTCTTTTGTGCAATGGATGTGTGGGTGTGTACCCAATGCTAAAATTCTCCTTACAGACCGCCCTTTTATTCCCAGGACTACTCTTTTGCCTAATTTTCTTTTTGAACCTTTTCGTGTGGGCTCAGGCGTCCAGCACAGCCCTGCCATTCGGCACTCTTGTTGGCCTGGCTGCTCTCTGGTTCCTTATCCAGGTCCCCCTCGTCTATATCGGTAGCTGGGTTGGATATATGCGGGTGAAACCCTGGGACCATCCAACACGAACGAACGCAATCCCAAGACAGATTCCCCCTCAATCCTGGTATCTGAGATCTGTATCCGGGACTCTTCTTACCGGACTTGGGCCGTTCGCTGTACTTTTTGTCGAGCTGCTTTTCGTCTTCAGGAACCTTCTACAGGACAAAAGCGGATACTACTATGTATTTGGATACTTCAGTGTGGTATGCACGATTTTAATCATTACTGTCGCCGAAGTTACAATCATTGCGACATACGACCGATTATGCGGCGAAGTAAGTTTCCTTTTTCTTTCTTTCTTTCTTTCTTTCTTTCTTTCTTTCTTTTTTTTTTTTTTTGGCTTCCCCTTGATTACCATTTCACCCGTTTGAGCCACAACGCAACCTCTACTGAACACCTTTTCTCGCCATTAGAATCACCACTGGTGGTGGCAAAGCTTCTTTACAGGCGGGAGCAGTGCATTTTGGATCTTCATGTACTGCATATGGTACTACTACGCCAAACTCCATGTCCGCGGGTTTGTCTCAAGTCTGTTATTCTTTAGCTACAGCTTCCTCGGTTGCGCTGTGTATGGCCTATTAACCGGCACCGTTGGGTTTCTGTCTGCCTATGCATTTATTCGCCGTATATACAGGTATGACTTTCATCTTTACCGTTTTTCTGGACTGCCTACTTCCCACCCTCTGCAGTTGCAATTTCGTTTCCGTTGTGAATGCTAACAAAATGTAAATATCACAGCTCTGCAAAAGTTGACTAGCGACTGAACCAACAAGTCTACCATTCCCTTTTTTCAACACAAACAACATGGTTTCATCTATCCTAATTTCTATTAGACTCCCACTTGAACCAACTGAAACCCTTCGTTTTTGCCTAGAAATGTTAAGGTATAAAACAGGTTAATCAAACTATCAACCAACCAACAGCATCTCATCTCCCCTTTCCTTGCCTCTCCTCTATGTATAATGAAGCTACTGGATGGAAAATACGGCTCCTCCTTTTCTTTTCTTGTGTTTTTCTGGTGTTTTGGTCCTGATTTCCAACCGCTGATATGAATACTACTGTTATTACTTCGCCATTGTCCTTATTATTGATTGAATTGCATTTCAGCGCTGCTGACTGATGAGTTTGCCAAAGAACCAAGTTCTTTTGTCTCTTTTCCCTTTTAATGCCACTGCTATATTTTTATATATATTTTTTTTATTTTTATATTTTTTATTCTAATTTATTCTTATTCATTATTTTTATTATTTTTATTATTTTTTTTATAATTTTTTTGGAATAATATTAGAAACCTGAAAATTTTGTTCTTTTAAGTTACCCTATCCTTGTTCGATTTCATTGAGTTGTCTTTGCTTCTCGCTGTCGCACAGGGCTCCAATTCTTTCCATTTCTGCATGTTGTGTTTTGTCCCCTTCTCTTCTTTCTGGCTTCTATGTGCAGTAAGTTTTTACATCTTTGAATAAATTAAATCACTGCCCACTTCAGCAAGATGGTTGCTGAATGATATCCGTGCAGTTTACAGCCACCAAAATCAGCGCGTGTGTCATTTCCGATATTAGGGCTTGGGTAGTGCGAAAGTGCTCAAGCAAGTTTTTCAATATCTTTTATGTAAAACCTCCAGAATGATTTTACCTCCCGTTGATTTCGCCCTCCATTTAGTTTCAAGTTCATCTCGTGGGCAGATTTTAGACCTTAAATGCGTCCACCTGGTTTATCTGGCTTATCGACTCTTTCACTTGAACTTTTCAAGCCTTGGTTCAGCTATCTCTGTAACTATTCAATAATTTGAACAGGCTGATGTTTGACAGATACTAGCAAATTCAAAGCCACGAGCTGAATTAAGTTCAGATTTTCAAACCGGAACTCTCCAACTCCGTTCAGAACATAGATGGAGTCTCTTCTGTGTTCACCCCACTGGGTGGATAGAGGGCCACTGGAAGAAAAAACCAAAGACAGGAGGCTGATATATAGATAGTCCAAAAATGACTGGATGATACATTCAGGTGCTATTACTGTACATATAAGCAAGGAACCCCTAAAGATGAGAAAACCCTGTGCTAACAGAAATAGTGTAGATGCTCAATATGTTCGCTCTTAAATCTCTAAGGCATATCCACAATGCTTTCCGTTGGAAAAAGAAAGGATTAAATAAAACAGAAACAGGAAACCCCTTAATACAGATGAAGTGGCAAGTGACGTCGGAAAGCAAAACTGAAAACATAGAGAAGAGTGCGCCTAATATTATTCCTGATACATTCGTTTGTTTCATTTTCTCCTCGATCTAAAGCAAATACGCCAAGCCAAGTTTATTGAATGGAAAAAAAAAAAAGAAAAAGAAAAAGAAAATGGCCTTTCCCACTGAACTCGCATCATGATGTTGGTTCGAGATTCGATCATCTGCCTTTACTTAGGGTGGCCTGTTTCTTAGGTTGATCACGGTCGGGTGGTTAATCCGCTGCATAATTACAATCTGAGGCTGAGGTGTTATTCCTGGCGAATATGACTTTATGCCCATACCAGCTTGGGCGAATTGGTAGGAGTAGGAGGAGCTGTTATCGTTATCATTATTGAGCGTTGTTGATGATGGGAAACCGCGGTGGGGGTTGTGGGCGTCCTTCGAACAATCGTCTCCACCAGGCTGGAGGGTCCAGCGGTCTATGCCCACCATGGAGGGAAGGGTAAACATCCGAAAAGAAGTACCAAATGTGACCGACAACGACGCCGCAGAGTTCATCCTTTGGAATGATGCCATGTACCACGAGGCTGAATGCGATCAGAACCCATGGAAGGTAGGGAGCGGTGAATACCAGCAAGCCAAGGAAGTTGAGTCTTGTTTCTGGATTGCGTCGGCTCCAGATGTAGACCAGGCTTGAGGAGAGGGCTGAGCCTAGGAATGGCAGCGAGAGCAAAGGCGATATGAGGAGGAGGAATGAAGTGGCGTATAGAAGGAGCCAGGAGAAGTCGGCTGAGGAGTGGCCTGATGCTTCTTCCAAGAGGCGTGAGTATCTTTGGAGGAAGAAGACGTGGAAGATAAGGTCTAGGCTCAACGGGCCAAAGTAGATGAATGTTGTAACGAGCCGCCAGTACTGTTAGAAAGAAGAAAAAAACGGAGAATATCATCAGAATACAACTCGTGTATAAATCCAGAGCATCATGATAATAAGCAACAATTGGAAGGTGACCTCTCACCTGTGACTTGATGTATACTGAGCGGAAACTGTAGAACAGCTGGAAGGGAGTGACAACATCACACTGAACCAGGATGGAGGTCACTACAGTCGCAACCGTCCACCATCGTGTACAAGGAGGCATCTCATAGAACCATTGCTCCAGAGGGAACTGGCCTCCACCCAGAGGGACATTACCCCAGACAGCGGCCATGGGTGGGTGCCTGGTTGGAAAGGCTGGCGAGCGGTGCTATCTGTCGATCTAGGCTATGGTTGCAGGAATGAAAGAGTTAGATCACTAATAGTAAATTTAGTTAACAAATTCCCTGTTGAACTGAGAGGATAACAATTGACGTTAAAATGTCAACTTCGTGATGAGGTAATGTAGTTAGTTAATCCATTAGTTAGTTGACTATAGTTTAGTTACAAGCAAAAACCCCAATGAGTGAACACACACTCAAACCACCCACATAGGCTAGATGTTAATTCAAATTATCTATACTCAACAACCCCTAATTAAATTAGGTTGAGGAACCTTATTCTTGTATGTCTGAGAGAACCGCAGCAATTGCTGCATGGGGCTCATGAGCATGGCAAAGACTCAGAGTGTGAAGGCCTAAGTTAAGAGATTGAATGACAGGCCATGAAATAGATTCAACGAGTGAAATAATAAAATGCTGAGCCCTAATTAGGCCTGCTGCGCGTTGAATCCTGCAGATAGATCTTTTGTTGTATTTTTACTTCTTTTTCTCATTTGCAGCAAAAAATTTCTGATATTATTTTTTATATTATAGTGATATTGATTATTCTATATTTATAAATCATAGCTTCAGCAATTGAGGATGCTTCTTGATTTTTAATGACAGTTATTGCTAGCTCAAAAGTCTTCTCTCTATCTCTATGGAGTTTCTTGCATTTTCCCTGCGAGTCGGTGACATTATTGTATGTTGAAGAAGTTAATTGATTTTTCTAGTTCTGCGTTCAATTTAGGTGTTACACTCAATTTTCACTCATACATTGGCCACGACATTCGGAGTAACAGATAATCCACATCCGATACCCAAAATCCGCGCTAGTCCGTTCCCTGCCTAGTGTGTTATCCCGTGTCTCTTCCAACGCGTAACCAACGAACTAATTAATTAGTCAGTTAACTAAAGTGGCCCCTTATGTAAGCCCTCGCGTTCCGTGCGCATTCAACTAACCAACCTCCTCAATATAATCCGGGAAACCTCCCAAGCCACCCGATTTTCTCTCTCCCTTTCTTCCAAGTTCCCTCTGCTGCTGGGCAGTTAGTTGTTCGCGCCATTCCGTATTGCGATCTCTTTTGCAATTGCTAGATCCTCTTTTCCTACAACCCGAGCAAACCTTCGTCGTCGTATATTCGGTCACCTACCTAAACACAATACTTAAAAAGAACAAATATCCCCTCCTTAAATATCACCCACGCGACAGCTTCGAGATTATCACGCACACTCAATTGCTGACCGCCAATACTTCGAGGGCGCTATACTAGACTTGCCACAGCTCCTACAGCTTCTTGTTTACTTTCCTCTCAAGCTCAACTTGCCTTGCGCGCTCGGAAACCCTCCCAACGTGCTTGCGCAAGTCCACACCAGCCGGTCGCTCATATTTACAATGTCATCGAGGGGTCGCGGCGGGAGACCAGTACCGGCAGGTAGTCCACAGGCACGACGGACAAGTGGCGGAGGAGTTGGCTCAAGATCTGAATCTGCAGTTGCCGGACCGTCGTCGAGAGGAGGAATCTCAAAGGTGAAGAAAACTGGAAGGGATGGGAAGGGCGTAGGTGATCGGACTACTGACATACAACGTATGTTATAACATGTTATATTCTCTCCATTCCGTGCCGGGATGTATTTCCTTTTGGAAATCCTCACACATAGCCCAATTGACCCCTCGCAACCATGATACCATCTCAAACTATTAAACTAACATCCCTAATTCCCCATATCCAGCGGGCGACCCACTGCCCCGTCGTCATCGCTATCGACCAGGCACAGTAGCCCTTAAGGAAATCCGCCGCTATCAAAAATCATGGGACCTTCTCCTCCTCAAACTCCCCTTTGCCCGTCTAGTCCGTGAGGTCGCCGTCGACCTCCTGCCCGCCGGCGTCGGGGAGGAGCTTCGATGGCAGTCCCAAGCTATCCAAGCCCTACAAGAGGCTGCAGAAGCGTTTCTCGTCCACCTATTCGAAGACACGAACTTATGCGCCATACATGCAAAGAGAGTAACTATTATGCAAAAGGATATACAATTAGCACGGCGGATACGCGGTGCTTGGGCTGGTTTGGGATGATTCGCAACGTTACGGATCGGATCCAAATCCTCGAGTATTTTTTGTTCTCTTTTGTGTCCCAGAAGAAGGGGAAACGAGTTGTAAAAAGGATGTATATAGATATGTGTGATTCCTCCGCCTTCTGTCCTGTTCTTTTTCTTTTCGCATCTGTCATTGTGCTTCTTCCCCTGAAGCGTTTCTTTTCCCCCTTTGCCTCTATATTTCATTCTTGCATTGGGAAGGCATTTGGGTGGTCGGTCAACCGGGTATATACAACTTGTTATTTTATTTTGGTGTTCTTGGAAGGGGGGAGGGGGCATTACCGGCTAAATACGTTCCGTGCTGGGATTTTTTTGGGCGTATGGGAGTTTGTATCTATTTTCTTTTTGCCGTTCCTCGATTTTCTTGCCAATTGGGGTGGACAAAAGTTAATATGGGCGAGGAACGAGGAACGAGGGTAGAGTCATGGCATTGACTAAGTGCGACTCCGTATTATCTTCCACTGTTCATGTCGGTTAAGAATTGTACAGATACCTTCCTTTTCTCTTCTTTTCACTTCTATCTCGTTTCCTTCTCGAACTTGGTTCTGTTTTATCAACCGCTTCCCTATATTTCACTGCTTGTCCCTGTTGCGATAAAGCCTGAACGACCCAGGATGGAAGGGAATCACGATGACATTAACTCTATTTATATAGGTTGGAAGAGTTAAACAATAATCAAGATCCGAAACTCACTGCGTCCTGAAGATGGAGAAGAAATAAAGCACAGACACGTCAAGGCAACCTTGAATCACCGGTATATATAGCCCAGCTCTAGAACGCCAACCATGTAGGGTAGATTCCATACATATATCACCACAAGGACAGCATAAAAAGAAGAGCAATAAATAAACCAAGTCTAGCATTCATTACCCTACTCTAAACGTAAGGGGTATCTCATCAAATCTCCACAGCCTTCTTAATCATTTCCGACGACCGCCCACCACCCGGCTCACCTCCTGGCCCATTATTAGACGCAGAAGAGCTAGATTTCATCTTCTTCAACACAGGCGGTAACCCCAACAGCGCAATATCCGCCTGCTCCCTCGTTGCTCTCGCCTCCCCTGTTTTCCCCTGCGAGTCCAAAGTAGCCGCTAGCAGCTCCTCAGTAACAGATATCCACAGTTTATCATCTGCCTTCCTAGCCATGGCCCGGGCAGCCTTGGCGCTTTTCTCAGACTGCTCACCCACGACGCCCCGGAAGTATTTCCAGCTCATAAAAGTCAGTGCGATACAGGTTACTTGGCTGTTGCTGATTGCCGTGGCGGCTTGGAGAGAATGGTGAAGGTCGCGTTTGGTTTGGATTGTGGATTCTGGGTGCGTGGTGGCTGATATCAGGAAATAGGCGGCCTGGATGTATTTGTTTGAGCTTGTGCGGCAAAAGGGTTCTATCGAGGAGAGGGTCTTGGAGGCAGCGGAGTGGGAGAGGCGGGAGGGATCACGTAATATCAGGGCCGAATTGAGGGCGGCAAGTATGGCGGTGTCACGTCGCGGATCATTGCGGGAGGACTTGCTGGTAAATTGATTGAGAGCGAAAATGGGTCCTTGGAAAGTTGTGAGTGCGGCTTTGAGATCACCTGTGCCTTGGGAGATAATGCCGTTTGCGTATTCCATGAGACATTTGGTTGTTTCATCTAAATTATCTCCCAGCTCAGATGAGGCTGCACGCAGTTCATTTAGCGTCTGGCGAGCGAGGGCCCAATCGGTTCGGGCAGAGGCAAGGAAAATTAACTGTAGGAGCATATTGCAGTACAAAGCTCGTCGCCATTCGATCCTCACCGCAGCAGATGATAGTGACTCGGGAATTTCTTGTGGGGTTTTGAAATTACCTGTCGTTCTGTCAGTGAGATTCTTGTAGAATCGTATCAGGGATTGCTATTTGCTCACTTCTAATCATTTTTAATCCCTCACTAAGGTACTTCTCAGACTTGTGACCATCTTGTGAGTTTTTTGCTGTTAATGTGACAGAGCTCAGAAAATAGCACAAGGCATAGAGATCATGCTCCGGAAGCCAGCTTAGTACCAGTGATACATTTCCATCGCTGACTTGTAGAATATCTGTGGGCTCCACGGCTGACGGCGACAGAGTTTTATGGCTAAGTGGTATTGAAAAGCTTCCGTCACTCTGCCAGTGTGGATCATCTATCTTCTGATCCATTACCTTTTGCATTATCTGAAGCTTTTCCGCTGATTGCTTGACATCATACTCAAGCAGGCTGCAACATATATCCATAATTTGGATCATTGTACTTATTTGTGGAATGTCGAGCACCCTGTCGTCAAGCTGGTAGCTCCTCGCTGTAGCTAAAGCTCGTTGTGCTTGCTCGATAGAATCATGACCTGAAGAATGCTGCAGGCGTACTAGGGCTTCGATTACCGAAGAAACAACAAGCACTGCTCTGTCCCCGCTGCGGCTAGCCAGGGAGGAAACCTTCTGTAGGTTCAGGATGGCGGCGGAAGTATCTTGCTGTGAGGAGGAGGAAAGTGAGAGTGTAACTCGAAGTAGACGGAAAGCATATTCCCAGGCAGTATGGCGATATCTGATACTGTCAGAAAACATCTCGGTGTTTTAAGGATTAACTAAGCTCACCCTTCAATGTCACGAATAACACCATCCACATGCTTCATTGCAGCCTTTGGGTTTGACTTATATAAAATGCGGGCAAGCAGCTGCTGCATACAATATTTTAAATCATACATACGGTTCTAGAGGGGATAGTCAGTTAGGGAAATAGACGAGTTTAAGCAGAGGGATCTGGCTGACTCTTTCACATAAATCAACCTACTTCCCACGTTAGCATATTTTTGTAAAATAAGAGGATACCCTTAGCCTTACCCCTTTACTCAGGGCGCTCTCCGCCTCGGAGTCATTTTCTGTTTCTTCGTATAATATCCTGGCATACCGTAGCCGCACCAGCGCTTCGGTTCGGGGTTGTAATTTCCAGTTCTTTTTCGAAGAATCAGCAAAACCTAATTTACACTTGTATGGGTGGAGAGGGGGCGGGTGACTGATATGGGTAGAAAGTCAAACCTTCAGTACTGCGTTCAGGCAAGCCAGACCAGTAGCTATGAGCTTGTAGTACTCGTCTGTCTCTACCTCATTACGCTCAACTGCAAGTGCTGTGCCTTGGCTGTGAGCCGCATCGATATACTCATCTGCCAGCGACAGAAGCAGCACATGGTAATCAATTGCGGGTTTTCCAACTCCTGGGTCGTGTTGTTGGGGTTGTGGCATCTTCACGGGGGATTTGGAGCGCATGTGTTTCAGGGATGGTGACTTTCTAGGTGGAGCTTGAAGACCTGGCGTGCTTCGCTGTTGCAAACCGCTCACTGATCTCTGCTGATGCAAAGTGGGCTGCGGTTTTATTACAGCCTGAGGGTACACCTGAGGAGACTGTGGGTAGGAGGCAGGTTGAGGCTGTGATTGAGGTCGGGGGGGTAGTTGCATGGGATACTGCTGCTGAGGCGACGGATATGTATCGGGTCGGTTTGGGACAGAATAATATTGCGGAGACGGAGCTCCGCCGTATTGAAGCGGTGCATTATTGGAGGGCGGAGGGCGAGCTTGGATTAGCCGCGGTGTGTAATTTGGGGAGGGTTGATTTACTGTCTGTTGTTGTTGATAAGGTGAGTATTGCTGCGACGCGTAGGGAGCCGCGGGCAAAACATTCGGGGAATGGGCGACAGGCTTTGAATATGCCGGATACGAATCATTTTGACTGAAGTCGTAATGGTGCTGCGCGGGTGGTAATCGCGGTTGTTGCGCGTGCGACTGAGGCCGGATACTGGGATGGAGTTGTGTCTGGGGGTATTGACCTCCATGCGGAGGCTGGTAAGGCATGATTGAAGGGACTGGGAGACAAAGTCTTAACATACAGACGAATCTGTTTAAGCCCGGCAACTTTTTCGCCAAATAAATCTCTGGATTCTACGATCCCCACCCAACAACATCTTCAACAGCTTGCGCTTCAAATCTCATTTGGGAGTTCGAGGAAAAGGCGAAGAGGCGGAGCGCCAAGAATCAGGTGACCTGCGGTTCACGAGTCATACAACTATCTGGATCTTATATTCATTTGATAACTATCCTTTTCTACAGCAGAGAGAACAAATTTCAAAACATTTTATAGGATATAAAGAATAATGGATGACACCTATGTGTTTGGACATTTGATCGCAAGAATATTTATGTTCCAACTGAAATAATCGTGTCTTGAACTGATCTGAACTTTTAATCCTCAACTCATAGGAATACTTCAAAATAGCCAGCTTTAGATATAAACATCTCGTCTGGCTGTCAACCTAGTCTCAAAAGCAAACGACATAACACCAATGCCCCGCTGACAAAAGGGAATGCCGTCAAAACAATCACTCTGTTTGGAGATACCATCCGACCACCGTTCCACAGTCTTGGTTGGAATTGCCGGAAGGTTCAGGAATCAGGAATCTTATTCGCACCCTTATCAGAAACCGGTATCCTGCGAGAAGGGTGTGTATGTAGACTCATAAGGCACACATGTCTGTGATACCGCTAATGATGGCAATCATGAGTATTCAAGCCACCAGTGTGACGACCATGTACGCATGTCGACCTGGTGACAGGAGTGGTAAGGGGGAAATGCGTTGTGATGATATAGCAACAACGTTGTCAGGTGTAATTTCCAAGCTCGATTTTCTTCTCAAGGTACTCCTCAACTCCAGTCATTCCAAGCCGATTGCCCAGGTCCTTACTGTAGCCCCTATAGTCCACCTCGCCTAATGGTAATGCCGTTCAAGGCAAAGGCTAAGGTGTTGTTTTCCTGTCTATTGCATAGGACAGGACATCATCTCCCATAATACACCTCAAATGCACTTCAGAACAAGATCGATGACACCAAAGAAAATATCTCGGTCCAATTCAGATTCTTCAATCCCCAACCCAACAACAAGAAGTCTTCTTTCAATTGGGTTTTTAGTTACGATCAAACTGGCAATTTGGCACGTATAGAGCTGACCAATGGTTTCTCTATGGGTTCCACGGGCGCCAAGCACAGATGTCGCAGTCAGGTTCGGCAGCGGAAGCAACCCGTCTTCACTTGGATCCGAATGAGAATGAGAGCCATCAGTTCCGGGGTTTGTATTCTCTAGAGGTACATGTAGCTTTGAGAGAATCAGTATAAGCATATTCAAAAGGAAGATACAGAATCAGGGATTTATACCCATTGCCCTAATTTCCCGTTTTGCGATATCGTCACCAGGATTTTGTCTGAAAATGAAACTGACATCACGTCTGTTAATACTCCGCCCAATACCGCAGAAGCTTGTTTTACGGAGGCTGGGAATGGAAGACCAGTTTGATCTGGCAGCGGGCCGGCGCTCTTCGTCATCGCCTCGAGCTGGTCATTGGGAGGGATCAAGATAGCAGACATGGCAACGAGGAGGGTAAGACAAGATGTGGTTATGAAGTAGTGAGTGAATAAGACTTGGAGGACACTTTTCCCAAAATCAGTTTAGAAATAGTGTGGACACAATTAATTCTTGGAGACTTCAAGCTTTTATCACCGACGTTTTGCGGTGAGAGTAAATAAATCGCGGGACATTGAAGGGACGTCTTCACCGCCTTTTATGGCAGAATCACTTTTCAATATTTTCCTTTGCGATATCAAACGCTGAAATCTGGACAAGGTGCTGAAACGCTGGAAGCTCATTGCGCAGGCCTTTCTGCTTCAGAAAAAATGCAGAAATTTGTCCCTCGACAGCGGAAGCATAAGAATAAATTAAAGGGAAACCAAGATGCGGCACAGCAGGATACCAATGTCACGGAGCTTGCGGCGAGTACCAAATCGGAGAAGGAAAAGCGGCAGAAATTGAAAGCAGAGCTACAGGCGCAGCAGCAGCCAAAGATTTCTGGTAAAAAACAAAAAAGACTTGCTAAATATATCGTATGCATTTAATCCCTTTCTCTCTTTTTTTTAGAAGAGAATAATAAGAGTAGATTTACTAACTTCTCTTCGCAGGAAACTAAACTCAAGAAGGATGAAAACCTCGCCCTCCTCAAGAAGCTCGCAGAATCGAAAATAGATACCAGTCAATTACAAAGTTCTCGAAATTTAGGCAAATCCAAGGACAAAAGGTCTCGATCTTCAGCGCTGAATAACAAAGATAGCAGTGGCTCCGTTCAACGGGCGCCATCTTATGACAACGAGGGAGATGCTATAAAACCTGTCAAGTCTGCCTCCGTTAATAAATCTACCAGTGTCGTCAGCTGCCATATTAACCCTTCAATATCAGCTATTGGAAGTGGTTTGAAACGGCCTCTGGAGGTTGGGGAAGATGGATTCCCAGTTATCAAGAAGCGCAAACGTGCGCCGAAGCGAAAGCTTATATTAGAGGAACCCTCCTGGGAAGGGTTCGAGAGTGATGAAGCTAGCAATGCCGCGACAGAAGACTCAGGCGCTGGATCTGGTAGTGGTATGAGTGATTCTGGGACAGACGGTTCCGGGAACAACATGAAACCGGGACATAGCGAAAGTGAAGATGGTGAGGAAGACGAAGGAGATGATCAGCCACCCTCGTCTGCTGACGATTCCGGTAAGGAGAGAGTAATTCGACCGCGAAATTCTGCATTCAAAGCGTGGGCGGTACAACAAATAAACGATGCAGTAGGCTTTAAGCCTACTGAACATAATCTTCACCCCGATCCCTTGCCATTGCCAAAGAAGCAAGCAAGGCCACTCCCAGTCGAGGAAGAGCCTTTGCCAGCTGAATTGCAAATACCAAAGGGTAATCCAAATAGAAAGGCCTTTGCTGTCCAGGTAAATCGGCCAGAAAATATACAATCATCACGTCTGGGTTTACCTGTCGTAGGGGAGGAGCAAAAGATCATGGAAGCGATCCATAATAATCCATGTGTTGTTATATGGGGAGCTACTGGAAGTGGCAAAACTACGCAGCTACCGCAGTTTCTCTTCGAAGCAGGATATGGAAATCCGGACAGCCCAAATCCGGGGATGATCGGAATTACTCAACCCAGACGAGTCGCGGCTGTCAGTATGGCGAAACGAGTAGCGGATGAGCTGGGTCAATATTCAGATCAAGTATCATACCAGATCCGATTTGAAAGTACAGAATCCAGCAAAACAGCAATAAAATTCATGACTGATGGTGTTATGATTCGAGAAATTGCCCAGGACTTTTCCCTTTCCAAATATTCGATTATTATCATTGACGAGGCCCACGAAAGGAGTGTGAACACAGATATTCTCATTGGGATGGTCAGCAGAATAGTTGATCTAAGGAAGACTATCCACGAAGAAAACTCCTCTCTAAAGCCACTGAAATTGGTAATTATGTCTGCTACACTACGTATTTCAGACTTCCTACAAAATGAAAACCTTTTCCGACAGGGACGACCACCTTTAGTGCAGGCCGAGGGACGTCAATACCCAGTCACCATTCACTTTGCGCGCCGGACACACCGAGACTATGTTGAGGAGGCTTTCCGAAAAGTATCCAAGGGACACAAAAAATTACCACCAGGAGCATTTCTCGTTTTTCTGACTGGACAAGGCGAAATCAAGGACTTATCCAAACGTCTTAAGCAAAAGTTCAGATCTACGCACGCTTCTGAAACCTTCCAGGGGAAGGTGAAACTGTCAGCAGCGGAAGCCCCCCTTGAAACTGAGGATATTGAACTTGGAACAACAACAGGCGCGGGGGGTGATGAGGACGGTGACAGCGATATTGAGATTACCGGCTTAGACAATGATGAAAATGACGACGATGACTTCGACCACGAAGAGGGTGTTGTTGACTCACGAACAAAAGTCCATGTCCTTCCTCTTTATTCCCAGCTTCCGACGAAAGAACAGATGAAAGTTTTCGAGCCTCCGCCTGAGGGTTCCCGTCTCATTGTGCTCGCCACCAACGTTGCAGAAACCAGTTTAACCATTCCCGGTATCAGATACGTATTCGATTGCGGACGCTCCAAAGAGAAGCAGTACGACGTCTCAACTGGAGTTCAGAGCTTTCAGGTCGGATGGATCAGTAAAGCTAGCGCGAGTCAGCGTGCTGGACGGGCTGGAAGAACAGGCCCCGGGCACTGCTACCGGCTCTACTCCTCTGCTGTCTTTGAAGGTGAATTTGAAGAGTATACCGAACCGGAAATATTGCGAACCCCAATTGAAGGAGTTGTCCTGCAGATGAAAACCATGGGACTTCATCATGTTATCAATTTCCCTTTTCCAACACCGCCAAATAGAACTAGTCTCGCTAATGCAGAAAAGCTGCTACGAAACCTTGGGGCCCTTTCCGTAGATGGCCAGGTCACTGAGACAGGCCGCCATCTCAGCCTCTACCCCCTCTCCCCACGATTCGGTAAGATGCTTCAGATTGGCCATCAGCATGGCTGCATACCCTACGTCGTAGCTATGGTTTCCGCCCTCGCAGTATCCGACCTCTTCATACAAGAAAATCAGCTGGATCTCAACCCCGTCAAGAAGGAAGGGGATGAAGATGATAAAATCTACACCAACGCAGATAGGCTCGAGGACACTGCAAGAGAAATGAGACGGAAGGACTACGACCGATCCCGCCGTATCTTTAGCAAATACGACGACAAATCCGATGCCCTCAAATCTCTTGCAGCCGTCTGCGCCTACGCATATGCGTCTGATGGCGAATCCTTCTGTTCTCAAATGTTCCTCCGTCCCAACGCAATGAAAGAAGCCTCCCAACTGCGCCAACAGCTTTACGAAATTGTCCGCAGCAACAACCCTGGTATCATGGATCCATTTAAGTCCCGCCTCCTCGAACCATCCGAGAAACAACTCCGCGCCCTCAAACAAATCACCGCCGCAGGATTCATCGACCACATCGCAATCCGCGCTGACATGGCCCCGGTCCCTCCAGAAATTCCCCGCAAGCCCCGAAGGGCGATTGACGTCCCATATCTAACTCTCTTCTCATCCCGTGACAAGCCCGCTAAGGGACTCGATGAAAAGGCCGTATATATTCATCCCGCCTCCGTCCTCTCGCATCTCTCAGTTGCTGAACTCCCACAATATCTCATCTACTCACATCTCCAACAATCCACTCCCAATGCCATATCTGATACCCCAACGAAAGTCCGAATGTTCCCCCTAACTGCTGTAAGCGGGCTGCAGCTCTCTGCTTTGGCACATGGGACACCCCTGGTTGAATATGGGAAACCGATTGGGAAGATTGAGTCTGTTGCTGGTGCGCCGGATAAACGCGAGTGTTGGGTTATTCCCTTTTTAAAGGGGGATCCGGGAAGCGTTGGGTGGCCGTTACCGGCGAAGAAGGTAATACAGAAAAAGGATAGGAAGCATGGGTGGGTCATTGAGAAGTTTATTAAGTAGGGTTGTATTCTTTCATGTATATATTAATTCATTGATTATCCGGTGTCTTAAATCAGAAGAGAATAGAAATGACTATCTTCAATGAGTGGCCAGTGCTATCTGTGCTGCATATACTTGCCCCAAGCACAAATATCATGTTTATAGTATGATAGTGAAATAATATAATCTACGGAGGTATTTTTCAATGATGGTCAATGACGATCGAGTTAATTCCAAGTTGCTAAACATACACCAATCAGTCTGCAGCACAGCACTAGCATATGATCATATTGTTATCGTATAACAAGGCGGACAGAAAATAAAACCTTCCCACAAAAACGCTTCGTTCTCCCCAAATTGTTGAGGAAATTCATTTACAGACAAGGGGGGGGGGAAGAAGACAGAAACCCATTGCCGCCTTCACCAATCCCACCTAGACTGACCCCGATAGTCATTCTCATCCCAATCCCTATCCTTTATCCCGACCACCATCGTCACTTCTATCCCTCTGCTCCCGCCGCCTCCCACCACCGCCACCCCACTTCCACTCATCTCCCTGCTCCCCTTCGCCTCTAATACCCAAAGCTTTCCTCAACCTCTCACTCTCCTCAATCTTCGCCTCCGCCAACTCGTGCACCTGGTACGTCTTAAACTGTTTCCGCTCAGCCTTTCCCCCATCGCCCAGTCTGGAACCAAACGCGCCACGCCTCCCATCACTCTCACCATTCAAATCCTCTTCCAACTCCCGCACTAGCCTTGCCCGCATTTCATTCAGTCTCTTTTCAATTTCCTCTTCTAAAAACTTCTTTTCCTCCCCCTTCTCCTCCGCCTCCTCATTCTCCTCTTCTAATCGATCTCTCTCTTCCAGTATCTTTACTTCGATGGCCCGCCGCCGATCGTGCTCAAGAATCTGTTTATCAGGCTTGCGCTGTTTGAAGTTATTACTTGACTGTTGGTCTGCGTTGGCGCCGGTAGCTAAGAGGGGTGGGTAAGGTGCGCCGTAGCCGGCATCCCGCGGTTTTAGGTGGGAGAGGTTCCGCTGAACGTAGCCGGAGGTACCACTCCCACGTGGGGTGGAGAGGCCAACGTTTGAGGACATGGCCGTATAAACTTCTGGGCTATGATTCTATGCCGAGAGGAGAGGTAGGCGGGAGCTTTTTGGTACAACCAATATTGTATGTGTTGATTGCCTTTGCGAGGCGGGAAGAGAGACAGGAAGTCGGACACAGAGGCGGAGTTGACTTGTACGCAAAGAAGCCCCGCCCCTGTGAAATTTGATATGTCCCAGCTCTTGTCGCCTTTGATATCTCGATGTCACTTCCTAGAGTAGCCAGGTAAAATGTCCGCTTTTCCCTTGGCGTTTTATCCACTTCGCTTGTGCTCAGCTGGGCTGTAAAAGTTGCCGCTCCAGTGCCAATCCAACTGCTCGATATCCCGGGAAAGCTTGAACGGTTATTATATGACTGTGACGGAAGAAAAGAGCTTCCTCTTTCCTCTTTCCTCTTTCCTTGTGTCGTGCAAATTAAGAATATTCGAGTGGCAGTGTGTTTTCCGTGGAGTTAGAAGAAGGTCGACAGAGATGGGTCTGATGTGCGTCCCAACCGTGATAAACCTCAAATCTCGTTATCGCCACGTGATCTGGAGATCGAGCCTGGGGTCCACGGCAAGCCGAGGCTTAATAGGGGCCGCACCCAGGGAGTAAAAGGGATAAGGGGTTATGTATAGAAAATAATGTATGTTTATTATGAAGTTAATCTATTTTTGTTTATTAATTATGCTACGTGTAAAGAAGTTAAATGCAGCGGTAATATATGACAATATTCAAGTAAACACCCACACAAATTCGTGGAGTTATCACTCGAAACAAAAGATTCCCTAGGGCACATATAGGGAAAAGAAGCCCGCATACAATATGAAAAAGCGATGAAAATAAACCGACACGTATCTCAAAGCTTAAGCCTGTAAGGCATATAGGTAAATGGCACACCAGTCGAACTCACCCCTTCCTTCTATCAACCTGCCTAGCTCCATCCAAACACATCCCCAACACTAATCGTACTCCACCTGACCCCAGCCACCGAAACAAACAAAACCACCACGTCCACAACCCCCAACACCACTGCTCCCATCATAAACCTCGGGCTAAAGATCCGATACAGCATCAGATGTCTACGCAACCAAGCCGCCCACATCGTCGTTGCCAAGTTAATCGTGGCATAATACAAGATATGCGTAGCAGCCGCCTGTGCAACATCCGAGAGGAGACGGCTCATGCCATTTTGAAGCTGCTTTGGTCCCCGAGTCTGAGTCTGCGACCGTGACAGTGGCTGCAATGAGGACAGCGGACCGCCCCATGAATCGACGGGTCGTTTCCAAAGCACGGTTAGCGGGACGGCGATCGCGGAGAGGATCTGTGCACCAAAGGTATTCAGGATGACAAGCAATGGGGACCAGGGATACTTGATTGTCGTGAGCGGTACAAAGGCACTCTCCCACTGTATGCTGCTGAGAGTTGCCTGGTGTCCAGTGGCGAAGTAGTGGAAGGATCCCAGTAAGCCTAGCACGATCGGCCCGAGGGCCGTGTTGCTCGTTGTCAGTCCGTTTGTATCGAGGATCTCGAGCAGGGACAGGATTTGCCATGTTTGAAGACCAATGGCACCGCCACCCATGGGTTTTTGGAGAAGGATTATCGCTAGAGAGAAGTTGATGAGTAGTAACGCGTAGCGGGTGCCGTAGACGTTAGCGTAGCCGAGGATTGTAACGACTGTTTTCTTTGGCGGGGGTTCTAGGAAGGGGTCTTCCGGGTTACTGTTGGTGGAGTCAGTCATGGCGACGCTGATGCAGGGCTTTGCCCAGGCGAAGGTTGTGGTACCCGCAGCAAAGGCTATGGCTAGGACGATCTGGGCAAGGACGACGCGGGTGGTTTTCAGGGTGGTTTTGGAAATTGAGGGGAACCAGTCACCGTCGTCGGCCGCGTCGAGGGTCCAGAAGACTGCAACGATACAGAGGCCGACGCGAAAGGCAATGCTGATCCAGAAGACGGCGGAGCCCTCGTAGGATTTTGTACCCCTGTAGTATGAGCGGATGACAGAGGGGAGGATCAATGCGAGCAAGAATGGGATGAAAAGCTGCCACCATGCGGATGTCGATGAGGCTGATGAGGCATAGTACGTAGAGACGCAGAAGGGCATCTGTTCCTCCCGACAGAGGCGGGAGAGGGATGCTACTCTCCCCAGCAGAATGAAGACGATGGAATGATATAACCCCAGAACTCTATCCTCCATACGCTTCTGACCTATCGAAGAAAGGGCAGATACGACGCCAAAGGTTGTTAAGAAAAATAAAAGTATTTCATCTTCCCAGATAGTGTAGGAGTTCGACGCGAACCCTATAGACTGGGACACCGTAAATAATACAGCAAGCCATGCCCACAGCGAGCTTGGGAGGGGAGATGCGATTCGTTTCGGAAGATACAAAAATGTTGATCCGACCGCAAATATTCCTCCCACCGCAATTCCAAGCACGAGTGCCTCCACGCGGGACAGCGGGACGATCCGCACGCCTGTTGAAATCATACCACCCAATATACCAAGCCCGGACCCAACACCTATCCGTCGAAGCGTTGGAAACGAAAGGTCAGTGCGGTCGCCACGGATGCCTCGGGCATAGAACACCAGCAGGACAACGCCGGCAAAAAGAATCAGTATCCCCTGAATCATACTGGGGACATCGAATCTTGCCCACAGCCCACGACAGACACGCAACGTATCTCTCTGGTACTCCCGGTATAAGTTATACGCATCTTGTAAGGCCGATCGATCTCGATACGAATCGTGGTGCTGAGATACATCAGCCCACTCCTGCTCTGCACGCGCCCAGATCGCCAACGGCCCAGACGTATGGCTCTCATCCATGCCCCTGGCAGTGGCATACGAATGCTGGTACCGCTTAATCTGCGCAGAAGCAAGCCTATTGACATGAACCAAGTTCTTCAAGTCCTGACCACCCACACCAGAAAATGCCTCCGTAATCGGGGAACCGAGATTGTTAAACGGGATGGGCGTGCCCAACAGCAACGCTAGTGTCGGTACAAGATCTATCTGCGGTACGGGACGTTCCTTCGCCGTCCGCGGCGGTTCGAGAAACAAATCGTTCGTCCGCCCAAAGACTCCCCGCTTGGAATACATCCACAACGCAGCTTCCACCTCATCGTCTGACTCACCGCCGTGGTCACCCTTGGCATCCATTCCATGGTCCCCCATAACAACAAGCAAGGTTGAATCATCGAGATCCCTTATCACATCGCGTATGAGTTGATCCATCTGGCCCAGTTTAGCAGCCATAGCCGCATGATCCGGCCCGTACCGGTGACCTGCATGATCGACGCCAAGATAATGGCCAACAATAACGTCCCATTTCGTAGCATTTTCCGCCTTCAAGAGCGGGAAGAGATGTTCCGTAACCCCGTTGTCGACAGTGTGTAGGTCCCAGACATTAAACGAATCGTAGGCATGCGTCAGGTTCGCTTCAAAAATACCTGGAAACAATTTATGCCACGTATCATCACCCAAATGTACGATTCGTTTCCCGGCATTATGTAGCTGGGCGATCAAATTATCCTCGTCGATGGCGGTGCCCGCAAAATTCGAGCCCGCGTCTATGAACGTCGGCAGGGTGCCTGTGGTCAGGCCTTTGAGGCGCTGTAATGTGGTGGTGGGCGGATCAGCGATGAAGGGCAGAAGGAAAGCATTATCAGGCGACTGCCTGGCTGTTTCGTACAGGACTGGGAAGTTGTTGTGGAAGCGTTGTGGTTTCTGTCCTTCAACCGTTGGTCGGAAGGGGATTGTGAAATCATATCGGAGAGCGTCAATTACGATGACAATAGCCTTGTCGAAGGTCTTGGGATGCCAGCATCCGCGACCTGAAAGTTGCGAATCCGTCCCTATCTCGGTCTCCGCAACGGATCCCGCAAATGGTAACACCGTGCATTCGGATTTATTCTCCAGCACCAGCCTCGTCAATAGAAACCCCTTCGTGAAAAAGAATATGCCAACTAAATGAATGAACCTGTATTCCATCACAACAAAAAAAAAAAAAACAATCAGCCCTAGCGCCCGAAAGCAACCAAAACAGGATGGGAAGAAAACCAATCCCACTCACAAAAACCATCCCAAAACCGCCAACACCACCGCATGCTGAATCTTAAACAAGCTCTCTCTCAGTTTATTCCTCTGCACATCTCTCCTCTTCGCTGCCTTCAGAAGCTTCTCATCGTTTGCCGTCCCTGAACCTGCACCCGCCAACAGACGTTGCCTCTGTGCCTCCTCTTCCTCCGCCAGTGCCTTCGCACTCGCCCACTGTGCCTTTATATTTCGGAACTCATTTGATGAAGATCGAGGTTGGCCCTGGGATTGGGGAGCGCCCTTGCTGCGCCTGGCATTGTTCCATACGGGTGCGGGGGGCTTCATTGTCGAAAACTGCGATTGAGGGGGAGAGAGAGGAGGGATTTATCGCCCCGCGCTGAAGATGGAAAAAAGGAGAGTAAGGGGTTCGTTTGAATACGAAAGTTTCCTTTCTTCTTATCCTAGCTTCTAGCTTCGTCTTATCCTTATCCCGCGAAAGGGGGGGGATATAAATCTCCCTTTCCTTCACGGACGCAACAGTGGACACCTCAAGCAAGAAGCAGCAGCAGCAGTCAGCCGTACCAAATATTCTCATACCCATGACGGGGTGACCTTTTTAATTTTTTATCCTCTAATAAATCAAATTAATCAATGACCATCCATGAAATTTCCCCCTCACGTTCCGTGCCACAGCTTCGTTCCGGGCCCAGGTCGGGTTTTGGTCCGTCTGCTCTGCGTAGTAACTAGATGATTGTAGACGGGCAGGTAACTCATGTAGGAGAGGGGAGGGGTGTATGGTATATATTAAAAGTTCTAATACATTTGCTAGAGGTACAGGCAAATTGATATTTGCAGTGCAGTGCAGACTGATTGTGAACGGGGGAATTGAGCTTCGGCCTTCTCCGGTTTGCACGGAGATTACTCGAAGAAACTATTGGACATATAGTCACGTGATATATAAGTTAGGGGCTGCAGATAAGAATATACATATGCTACATGATTTTTGAGGGGTGTTTTTCATTAGAAGAATGAAACGATGAAGGAAGCGAAGAGTTTTCCATTTTGGAATTCAGCTGCTGATCAACTATACAATGTGTAGTTTTACGGTTTAAGATGAAGAGTTAGAGCAATACATCTATTCTCGAGATGCACAGCTTACTACGCTAAAAGAAAAAAATTGAAAAACTGAAAAAATTGAAAAAGTTAAGTAGGTGACACGGGGAGATATAGGGGAGAAAAATGAGGTGTGGGTATAAAACAATGAAGAGAATATCACAGCAGTAAATTCAGTTTAACTACTCGATTGGATAAAAGTGATTAAGAGAATCCATCATTTGATTACAAGAGAATCACATAAATCAAGTAAGAAGGACAAAGAGAATAATAAGGAAATACACGCGAAAAAGAGTAATGAAAAAGGGAAATAGGAGATAGGAAATCGACGTCGTCATCCTTTTATTACCAAAAAGCAATCCCTAGTTACGTTTCAGAGGTGCTTTTGGAAGTTTGTTTTGCAGTTCGGGTCTTTCAGGTGAAAATGGGTTGTCAAATAGAGTGAACCATGGAAGGAATAAGGCAAAGTGGGAGCGAAGAGAGGTATGCCAAACCAAAAGAGCACAACTACAAACCTCCACTAGAGTTGTTTTGCTCTCGCCGGGTGATTGAATCTGTGTCCACGGATTGTATTGATGTTGTCTGTTTTAAAGAGCGAGAAAAGTTGTAGGCAGTTATGGAGGTAGGTCGTTGCAATTGTCGTTGTCGATGGTGTACAGAGTCGACCGCGGAAAGGAGCAGGAATAAATATTAAACAGTAATCAACTTTCAAAATGGGAAAGAATCCGTAATGGTGATGCATCCCTTTTGCCAAAAAAGAAAGAAGAAAGAGAAAAGGAAAAACGGAAATGGGTGCGGGTGTGGGGTACTAATACGAAAAGAGAAAAGAACTCCTCTTCGAACTCTCCCAACTCCCTTCCCAGTCTCCCAGCTTCTTCTATGACCACCTCTTCTCATCCCTAACCCCATCTTTCTCCTTCAACCCCCCCAGCCTCTCCAAATCCAAAGACTGAAAACTCTCTCCTTCACCAGCCCGCGACTTATACGGCGGTAACTCCTCATCATACGGCTCCAACCCCACACTCCCCTTCTCACTAATCCTCACAACAACAACGCGGCCAGACTGCCTCTTTCCCGTCGACGCATCCTCCTCTTCGGGGAACGTAATGCGGATTTCCGGCACGGGACTTGGGGGTGGGCTGGTGCTACTGGAATAACAAGCGCTGCGCTTTTCATCAAAGATGGTGGACGCGGTGATGGTTAGGCGGCGCGTGTTTCGGGAGCGCTGATCGTGGTACATGGGGAGTTCTGAGTTTCCGAGGGATTGGCGTTGCTTTCTGCGGCGGATGATGAGGTAGGCACCGATGAGGGCCAGGGAGATGAGGATAAGAACCAGGAGGGAGATGAGGAGTTTTACGGTTGTTTGGGAGAGGCCGTCGTTGTCATTGTCATCATCGTTGCCGGGGTTGTCGCGGCGGAAGATGGTGCGTAGGGAGTCCATTTGAGCAGGCGGGTCGTTATAGACGATATAACAGGGGGATGTAGGGGTTGGGCGAATGGTTGAGGATGCGTTGAGATGCGTTGAGATGCTTTCGTAAGAGGACCGTCTGAGCGGTAAGAAGAGGTATAGGGTAGGAGGGCGGCTTGAGTTAATGGACTAAGCTGCAGCGACGACGACGGTGGTGGTGGTCATGAGGGCCGAGAATCGTTCCTTCTACAAAAAGTCAACACCATATCGCAAGGAATGAACGGCGCACGGATGATATGATCTGTGTAGGCCCGGGCGTGGGTATAATCTAATATGGAGGAGGGTAGAGTAGTGTGTGTACTATACGAACCGAGGAATTGGCGATCTCGACAACTTGAGGATAGAGAGAGCGCGTGATATGCGATATCGTTCAACAAGAGGGAGCGTAAAGTTGCCAAGCGCTGGCTTGTTTCTGCTTGGAACGTTGGTGGAAAAAGGTACGACAGTAGATGTTTTGGCGACCAGAAGGAATGAACAGCAAGGTGATCAGCTGAAAGAATGAAGCTGATACCGGCTAGAATGAAGGAATGACAGATGGTTGGATAGAAGAGGATGAGGATAAAGGAGAGGAGGAGAAGAGAGGAGAAGAGAGAGGAGAGAGGAGAGAGGAGAGAGGAGAAGGTGAGAAAAGGGAGACACAGACTAGATCGCTGCAAGGAACAGTTGGATGTATGTAAAGACGATACACACATCATGCAGTGGTAATTTTAGATTCATTGGCCCAGATGAGCCAGTTCCTGGACATCCTGTCCCCGCTTGGTCACATCCGTACGGTCATACCGCACTCCTCTCTGAGTCTAGCAAAGCAGGTTAAACTAAGTTAACTCCTGCTAGAGCCAACTTCCGCCAATATTACGCCAATCTTATCTCAAAGCACCCACCCAGGCAATTTCAGGTACCAACCAACCACAGCTCGGCAAACCATCTCCCTAATACCCTTCCAACCTAGTCCAGCGCCGCTAGTCGCCATTAATTACATCAGTGATCCACAGCTCTAGTCCCATCTAGGATAAATCCCCAGAGACAGTATGACCGTGTACCTCACAGGCAATTTCCGCTGGGAAGGAAAACCAGGCCAATAAACAGGCTGCTGGTACCTTGAGATTGTATGGATTAGTCATTTCTCAGTTGCAGTTGATTTGACGCTCTCCCTGGTGGGTTTCACCAATAGCCCGGGTGCATATGGGGCACGAGATACCGCGCGTGTAGCCGGATGCCAAAAAAATGGCTGATGTGTGAGGACGGACATGTTTAGGATTCCATAGCTTAAGCAAGCAAGACGTCACGTTTTGGATTTCTCTGGATCTGGGGTAAAAAGCGATCCCGTTTGTGCGGTACGCACGGGTGTCATATCTTTTTTGGATATTTTCATCAGCAGCGTCAGTAACGAGTTACTCTTTAGTGGCAAGGTTGTTTTCCAGAGAGCTTTGGCGACAATACGGAGTAAGGAATGCTAAGTCTGGCCAATTATTCATCAACAACCATTTATGATCTTGCCCGTGGACCTCTGATGAAAGATATTCAAACAACAGCGTGTTGATTCTAGAAGATCTCTCTCTCTTCCAGTTCCTCGCATTCAACATCTATGAGCTAATACTTGCTTGGCGGTGATCTTCGTTCATCATCTGACACACACCAAATTTGAATGACATAATTACTGAAAAACGACGAAATTTCTACTTCTCCATCGAGAATAAGTAAAATTATTCAATATTTAATACCCCACTTCTCCCGTGGAATCACCCCCGGTGTGCACTCGGAAACTTCCCGTGTTCCAGGCTTTCTTCGAACTTTATCTCATCGCAAAGTTTACGGCTAGTTACCTCAATCACGGAGTAAATTACAGAGTACGTAGAAACTTGGCTAATTAGGTAATTTTTCACACAACAAACGTTATCCGCCGTGACTAGTCTCTGATCTTAGTTATTGCAGTGGTGTTCTATCTCCAATGCTCTAAGTGATAAATAGCGACCTATCCCACATGCATTCCAATCTGGATCTCATGTACGGGGAGATGGTAGGGAATTTATTCATCAAGACCGTAATGACACATATAGAAGCCATATTCCAGCCTTAAATCTGACCTGACTCCACGGAAACCCCTTTCGTACTGTGGAAAGGTTGGCTATACCCACCAACTCCACAGAATCATTGGCACATTGCTACCACAAAATTTCATTATTCCTCTATAATCTTCAGCTCTGACTGAAGTTCTCTTCATGCCCACTCCTCTAACCAAGGGGAAGCTGAATCATTGAAGTCCACAATTTGAGCAGCTCTCTTCTGCTTATAACGGAAGAGGAAATATCTCAACTGGTTCTTCTTATTCTTCTGGTTTTCTCGAGTGTTCCCGTTTGCTAAGTTGGTATTTTCTTGTTTCTCTGCTAATTTTTTATTTTTATTTTTATTTTTATTTTTATTTTTATTTTTATTTTTATTTTTTTTTAAATTCCGGAGACTCGACTCGCTTCGACCGGTGGATAGGTGTTGTTCAAAATCACCATGGTTGACCTGCACATGGCATCTGCTCCCTTCAAAGCCAGCGGAACTATTGATCCGACGAATCACTTCTGGGAAACACGCTTCTGAAGCTCTTGGATGCCATATGAGAGGCAAGGGGCACAATATTACCCTATGAGTTCTCATGGCACAATCCGGCACATATAGCTATTTTATATGTCCCTCTTTCTTGCGAAATATTCTCAAATCACATAATCAACGCGGGACAAGCAAAGGAAGAGCCGGCTTGATCGTATCCATACATATCACGGGGATTATATAGGTTTATGTCCAAGAAATCCAACCCCAAAGCTGAAATTGTGAATCAAAACAAATAGCCAGGCTAGAGAGTCCTGGCCCCTCTACTTAAAGTTGAGCAGATGCAATGCGATTGGTTGCTAGCCTGGAGTAATGACCGTTTCTGGATCCAAGGGTTGAATCAGTTCATCGCAAACACCTACTACACCAAGATGCCGGATCCCGCTCTCTCTTCAAGATTGAAAATTCAGCATCATTGAGATTAGATTTACCATCATCATCGGGTTGCTCCTGCAGTGGCGCATTACATAAGCGCCTGCTCCTAGATAACGTAATCAATAAGCGAGTGAACCATATAAGTGAGTGAACCAACTTCCCACTCTCTGTACAATGAGAATGTCTTCAAAGCCTCAACTATAAAGAAAAACTAGCAAATTACATTATAAATTATTTTCTATACACTTAGAGCATGTACAGGCAGTATGCCCAATAATCCCACAGACACTACACTGTGGTGCTGAATGTTTTTATGGTCACAACTCAGCAGTCTCAATCACCCCCTGCTCCCATTCATTGACCCTTCATACACAATTCAAGCCTTCTTCAACCCTCAAAGCACCCTCTTGAGCTACATATGTACAGCCTCTTTCTCATTTTCTCTTTTGTTTGACATTTTGAGCTCTTAACTCCCTGTTTTCAGCTGCTAGAATAGCAGCACTGTGCATTGTCATTTGACATCTCTTGACCAGCTAACTTAGAGCACAATTGATTGAACTGGGTGGGCTCTGTGTACAGTGCTTGATATATTCTTTAACTTTCTCAGCCTGCTGCTTCAATTGGCATACATTATGTGGTGTGGCTGTCACCCAGGAGGCCTGGGAGCTATAGAAGGTCCCTGGGGGGTGGAGGGTATACATCATGATATTAAGCTGTGAGAGAACCTGCTCAGAATCATACAGAACCAGCCCAGCAGCTCTAAAGCTGCTCTTGATGTTGCTCTCAGTCAGGGCCTGCATCTGAGCTGCAGAATAGAGACTCAGAAACTTCTCTCTGTCAATATGATTGATTTCAAGCTGCATCTGATTTTCCACCTGCTGTCTGTACACAGTTTTCAGAGGTGAGAAGCAGCCAACATTCAATGACTGAAGAAGATGGGAGAAAATGTGGCAGCATGTAGAGGACAATGATCTGATTCTCAGTGTAAAATTGATCAAATCCAGCTGAGACATGACTTCAGTGCCAGTCTAGAATCAACAGTTGATATCTGCTCTTCATACAGAGTAGAGTCTTCTTGTTGAACATCTCTTTCAGTCAGTACAAGCCCAGCTGGTCAGTGATTCAGTCATTCTCACTGACTTCAATCACTCAGTTGTGTGGTAGCCCTTCTGTCTCATATCAGCAGGATTGATGCATCTTTTCTTTAAGAGTAATTATCATACACAAGGCTCAGCCAGTTGCATTGACTTCAGCAATAACAGTTACTCATTTCTGATCTTCAAACTGTACAAGCTTGGAATTCTCAGCTCTTTCAGATTCAGTCATCACTCTGACAGTCTCAATTACACTCATCTGAAACCCTGTCTCATCAAAGTTGTAGATATCATCTTTCAGGATCTCATACTTCACAATAGTGTTTTGTATGAGTCTAAATCACTCACAGATAATCTCAGAATCCTCAAATAGAGCCTGCTGATGATCATACTTGTGTGAGAACTTGAATTTCAGCTCATCATGATGCTTGACAAAGTTTCATACCCAGCATTCACTCACTGTAAGTGAGGGATTGAATTCTCAACTGACAAGAAGAAGATTGGCCATTTCTTATACAGCTGCAACTCAGAGAGGCTGATCTTGCTCATTCATGGTCAGAATTCATTGAACATGAGATTCTTTCTCTGTAAGACTAAGTTTCTGGTTCTTTGAGAGTGTGTCAACATATGCTGTATGATCATGTATATGATGAGTTAAAGTTGCATAAGAGACTTCATAGAGCTTTGCTGCAGCTCATATGCTTGAATTTTGATCATTTTTAAATACTTGAATGACTAAAAGAAGCCTTCCTTCCTGAGTAGAGGCTTTATTTCTTTGTGTGATTGACATTTTTGATGCAGAGCATTTCTCATTGTATGGAGGGTGGGAAGTGGTTCACTTACTTATATGGTTCACTTGCTTATTGATTACATTAGAATCTCAGAAGCTCCCCAGGTCCGCACCAGCCAAGCTTTTCCCCCGTTAACCTTCCAAAGCTGCATGAAGTCTATACGCCAGTCTAATTCTTATTTCAGGACCCAAATGGGACTCCAAAGCAATAGCATATGCATTCCTCAGTTTCTTAAGGGTCTGCTGGTGCACGCAGAATCAGCTACATTGCTGCCTGGATTTTCAAGGGACTAGGTTGGGATTTCAGGGCAGATGGTTTTAATCCCCCACCTGTTGGCCTTGATCTTGGATGGTTGTATTGTTTCATATATACATACATCTCTTATAAGGCCGAACTGGGTTGATAGTGTTATTCACCTATTGTGATGAGGCATGCAAACCTCATTACAAGCTCTACCTTGTTGTGGTGATTAGTCGGCTGTGAGATACATGTTAGGCCACAGGCCTTCAGTGTCAAAATATTCTGATTCCTCGTTCTCCATGTCTCCGTCTAAGGATGTCCTATATAAGTTATACCGACCATTGGCAAAAGTTTGCTCCCCTTTTTCTTAGCAGCAAGAAACTGTGTTTTCCCTGATCCCACTTCACTCAGTTTACGTTCTTCTTTCCTTTATATCTAGTCTATATTGATGTCAAGCTCTACGAGTGCTTGAAAACATCTTCTTCCTCTTTCTGAGATGCCAACGTGAGAACGAGGAGATAATTCCCAGAATCAAGAAAGATAACACAAACACAAAGTTTTTAGCAGCTGAACTGTTGGTTGGAGTTCGAGTGCAGCGTGAACTCTGTTCTTCTTCAATGGCATGCAGCGATCAACTCCACAGATAAACAGTCATTCATCTAAAATGAACTGCCACGAAAGAAGAATGTGATATCACCCACAAAATCTCACTCGTTGGCCCAGCTTCTAGCGCTCCACAAGCCGGCAGGGTTAGTGCCTTCCCATCACACAGGCCGTCATGCCCACTTTGTGGATAATAATGTTTGCCAAACAAGAAACAACTAGAGAAAATGGGGTTTGCCATGGGAGGGTTAATCCACTTACAGAGCGCGATTACGCTATTTACCTTTTCCACCGATTTCCCCTAAAGTGTTGGGTCTTGGTCTGTGAAGAGGATGAGTCCCTCAAGGAGGTGGTAGAATGGCTTGCGCCCGCGGAAACATCCGCGCAGTTGAAGGTACCTCATTTCCATGAAGGAACACCCTCCATTCCAACCGTTCCGGATCTCCTACGTCTGTCCCTTCGACTTCCGCATGCAATAAGCTAATGCGAAAATCAGCCGACATTTCATCAGAATTCGGCAGCACCCTCCCATCCAGCAAGGTGTAAAGCCTCTATAAAGAAAAAAAAAAACTACGAATCTCAACCCAAATGGAACACCATTTTCCCAACCCACTATCTCTTTCTGTCGCAACGAGGGCTGGCTCCGCGTATACACACCCGGCATCTATCCGCTCATCCAGACAAGGAGATCAGGCAACTCCTCAGCTACGTTGGGGAAGACATCATCTTCACATGTATGCTTTGCAATACGGAAGTGAACTTCTTGGAATTTGCCACGATTGGCAGTAGGAAACATTATCAATCCGTCGGAACGTGTTGGCATAGTATAGGCTCCAAACTAGATCTACCCTTAACGGTTGAAAAGTGTTCCCCTGAGGGTGAGGCAAAGATTCAGATAATCAGGAGCAGTCCGATGCTAGGGTGAAAGCCAGCTCGTGCGGTTAAGACGTCCAGTGAACATCCTGAATATTGCTGAGTCCGTAAATGGTTAAGGGGTTTTGAAAAGATTTGAAGAAGGGGGAGAGAAATGTTCTGTGGTACTATTTTGCTAGTTTGTTATGCCTACCTACACTAGGTGCCATCAGCCGCCGCTCCTCTCCCATACAGATTGCACAACCTGGTTCAATTGTTAATATTAATTGAACATACCAATCTCATATGAAAATATATTTCAATAAGAACTAAAAGAAGGATTTCATTTATCCATCCCCTCAAATTTATATGACTTCTATTGTTCTGCGCTAACATACTTGCAAGTTCTTAAAGTAATAGAGGAAAGACGAACTTCCCCATCTCCATAATCGCCATGGAGTACTGAAGAACTCCACATATAAACAGCACAGGGATAAAACAAACGAAGAGAATGAGTTCAGAATAGGAAAAGAAGGCATATCATATGATAGTCTGGATTCACTGTTGGTCACCCAAACCAGCTACTGGCAGGCCAGCCAGTATCTTGTGTACGGCTTGAGCGGACATGAAGCCCCGCTTTTCACTCCTTATGTTCAATGTGACAGGAATCATGGTCAAAGGAATATATAACCTTGGTCTCTGTTTTCAATCCCAGAGAGAGAGGCCGGAAATTATTAAACATCTGTGAACCCAGCGCTTCTATTTGTGTTCCCCCATCGCCTCATCCCGGATACTGTTTCATATATTCTCCGAAAAGATGAAGCCACCGCTACAGAAGGGAAGGTAGAAGAGATGGCGGGGCGAGCAGCAGCAGGGTTCCACGGTCTATTGGGACCAGCACATTTTTGACGTTGGAAGCGCGGGGAAGCGGCAAACGTATGTCCGATGATTCTAGGGACTATTTTTTCAGATTACAGGGGCAGTTGTATTGTCACAATGAAGCTATACATCCGTACGGATTTTGTATAGGAGTGTGTGGATATGGGATATCCTGCCCTATAGTTATCAGTAAACACTCAGACGCAAAACTGCGTCTCATAGTTATGGACTGTACGGCGCTGCTGTAACTAGCTCATTCTTGATTCTTTTGGTATCAATCGGTAGAGCTCATCGAAGTTGATTGAGGCAGAAGAGAGGGATAGGGGAGGGGAGTCCGAGTAGCCGGGACAGTGAGGCTCTTCCTATGCATGTAGTTATGCCATAATGAAGCTGAGTGGGTGAATGAACCACACTTTTTAATAAGCGGATACAGGCATAAATGTACCGCAGGTACTGTGGGTATGCATAGAGATTTAGGCATCAATGATTTGGGCATTATTCCTCGCAGACGAAGGGGATGAATGAATTTGTCATTCCAGTTTACATTGCATTGTTCGCGATCAACTAAAATAATAATAGCGAGTATCCGCAATTCCCTGCTTTGTACAAATAAATTTTATTCGCTCGAATATGTGCGTTGGCTAGAAAGAATGAGGTATACAGTGGACGTAATGGACATACTCTACCCTACGATATGTCATCTCTAGTCGACCACGATCTTCGGTGGGGTGGAAATGATGAGCATTAATCGGAGGGGAAGTATGTCGACAGGAGCGAGTAGGAGGGGGCCACGGAAATGAATGAGTTTGTGACTTATGATGATGATGATGATGATATGATGATATATGATGATGATCAGTCGTTGGCGGAAATAAGGCGGGGTTGGGAGATCTTCAAACTGGATCAGCCCGAATACGAAGCGCCTCATTTCCACCTTAGATAGATCTTAAGCAGGCAAGTAACCTCCCCTCCGGAGTAATCCATCAATCAGTTTCAATCCCTTCACTGGGAGGTGCTGAAAGAGTTAGCGGGTATTTTCATGATTCGGGTGAATAGTGTGGAGAGAAGGAAGGAAAAGGGACGATGAGTTGATTTTGCCGGACTGCATTTTTTGAGAATGAAGAATTGATACCTGTTTGATGTATCTTCTTATTTTTGAGCCTGTTTTCTCTCCTTTGTCGATTAGTGAGAGGATCACCAAGGACTAGAGGTTGATATTTCAACCTGTGAGGATACTCTGTGACGTGCTAAAAACAGGACTAGAAGTTTTGACTATGACCATAGCAAGCAAATGAAAGAGATATGGGCATTCATAGAAATGTGGGTAGAAAATTGGCAGTATATAACTCAAGTCATTCTCATTCCAATAACTAAGTCTTTGATGCTCCGACGGGATCCCTAGACTTTTCGAGATGCTGGGGCCTTCCCTGGCCCTTGACATAGGCACAACATACACGGAGTACACTGCATATATAAACGGCACACACTCCGTACAGGCCCTATACATGGACATACATATGCATAGTTGCACTGCGTAAGTTATGACGTTATGAAATATCAAAATAGAAACTTTGCTCAGCCGGCCATCATTGCGTGAAATCTGGCTTCTCAGAAGCTGCTTTTATCAGTAAGCAATTAGTTAACTAGATACTTCATGACTAATGAGAAATGGAATTTGCACTTAACTACTTACTTTCTACCAAAAGATCTAACTAAAGTGAATGGGTTGGCTGTTTTGCATTGTTGGCAAGGTTCCATGCCTTGATGCCCAGGGATGCCAGTTGATCCATAGAAAAATTCTTTTTAACGGTTAGTTAAACAAGGGTAGTAACATAAAATTGCAATGCCGAGAGTGGGCAGCTGCTTTTGACAGCGGCGCACAACTTCATAGCTCCAAGCGTATTCTGCCATTTCTTTGCATTTTCCGTAAACGTTTCTGAAAGAGGTCCGGGTCCGACGTTGAGCTTTTGAATGTTGCCCTTCAGGGTCTTCAAAAAACAAGGAAGTTTCCGCAGTATAACAGGCTTAAAGTTATTCTGATACACACAAGGGTGGTATATTACCATGCGCATGGGCTTTGGGGAGCTCTGTATGATTATGGTCCTTAGAGACAAGTGAGTATAAATCATGAATGAAAACGTCATGATGGTTCCATCGCATGGGAATGGTTCTGGAAGGGTGGGTTGAGCAGTTGCTTTCTCTGCTTTTATGGATCTTTGCTGGGAAGATAGGCGTCCTTTTCTGGAAAACATAGTAGATCCAATCACAAGCCTCATTGATAATGCGTATCATATACTGTTGCTTGCATAAATATACTTATATCTGCAGATAAAAGGATCAGCAAGATGGGATATATGAATGTGGGCGGGGTTAGAGAGTAATATAGCCCTACTTGTCAAGCGCGAATCTTCGAAGCTGCCAGCCCAAATTGATTTTTAGATTAAAGATAGTTATCAAGGGGTTCAAGGGGTCTCACAGTGGCCGAGCAATTAACTCAACATGGAAATTGCAAGTAGCTAGTCACTTGGTTGAATATTTGTTGCAGATAATTATCATCGCCCGGCTGTCTGCAGCAACTAGCAGATGTTTGCAAACATACTAGCTCCGCCCCAGCGGTCCCAGTGGATAAACCATTGGCCCAACACTCCAGGATTGGCTTGCCTTAAAATGATCGGCGGCGCTTGGTGCTGCGGGAAAGTGGAATTTTTTCTCGATTTAGGCTTTCCTTCTCCAAACCGGTCAAGCCCTGCTGCCGGGGTTATGGTAGTTAGTTCCATGGGTATCTGTGGATACGTGAGCTAGGTACCAACCAACCTTGCCAACCTTCTTTTTTCTTTTTTTTTTTTTCTCTCTGTAAAAATCCCTTTGACTTACCTAGATATGGCTCTTCGACGAGCTCATGAATTGTGAACTGGGCACGAGTGGAGACGGATATGCCTTGCGAGCCTGGCCTAAGTCTCTGGCCCCCAGTCTCCAAGCAAACACCTGCCTAGCTCTGCCGCATCTGAACCCATTGCCTATTGGATTTCGTGGGAAAAGGAATTTAACGAACAACGCGAACTGGGCAGAGGCTTGTCTCTCTTGGCCTTTTTTATTTTTTATTTCACCCTCCTTTACTAATTCTTTTTCTCTTTTTTATTTCTTTAGGAACTTGCGTGGTACTTGTATTCTGGCTGGAATCGCATAGAACAAGGAGGTACACATGTATGCATGTCTGTCTGTCTGTATGTGTGTATGTATGTATGTATGTGCGTATGTATGTACGATTATGTATGTCTGTATGTCTGTATGTATGTCTGTATGTATCTGTATGTGTCTGTATGTGTCTGTATGTGTGTATGTATGTATGTATGTGTGTATGTATGTATGTATGTATGTATGTATGTATGTATGTATGTATGTATGTATGTTATATGTACTGTGCCGGTTCAACGTTGGACAATTCCAGGCAGCAGATTTGAGGATGGCAGAGAATTTTTGATTCTTGCGATTTGGGCTGACACGCTCATCCTTCTATTTTTGAAGTTTTTTGCGGTTTTTTGCAGGTTTTTTTTAAAATTTAATTTATATTTTTTAAATTTCTTTTTCTTCCTTTTCTTTCCTAGTGGCGTCTTGTCCTTTTCTACAGAAATAAATCTTCGCCAGGACATAGTGGAGGTAGAGGAAGGGGCCATGGCCCATATCTCAACATCACAGTGACAGTGTGCTAACGAGCGTCTATTTGCCGGAGCTTTTGGTTAGCAGATGCTATGGAAGGACAAGGCTCTAATGGATCAGTTTTTGACTATAAAAATGTAGTACAATTCTATCCTTATTTCGTTTCCATTTTTGCAAACTTGGGGGTATTTAGCGGGATTTTAGCCAGGTTCATAGTTGGGCGGATTACTTCTCAGGGCTTGACTTTATGTTAGCCCGAGTCTTCGTGTCTGGGCGACCCAGCAAGTCTAATAATTATGGAGAAAAACGCGATATATATTTTTGAGCTGTTGAAAGAAGCAGCTAAAAAAAATAAAAAAAGGAAGTGGGCTGATAGAATCAATCAATCATTTTTGAACCAGAAAATAATCACTGCGACGGCGCAGCAAAAAGCGACAGCCAAATACCTACAACAGAGGTACTCTATTTACCTATGTAATTGTTAGCAGTAGGAGGTACATATCTAAGAGTAGCGCCCGGGGTAAAGAGGTTGCCGTGTTGGGAAGGAAGGCTGTTGTCGTTGACGACTCCCTCCTTCCAACTGCCAAATCCAACGTCAACGTCAACGTCAACCTTCAACCTCAGACTTCAGAACTTCAACTTCATTCAACCTCATCCTCCATCTCTTTCCAACCTCCTTACCCCTTATCCCCGTACGACAGTTTATTCATGATACTCGTCTAGCTCTTTATCTCTGCCCATCATCCTTGGGTCTGGAGTGTAATCAGGAACAAGGGAATGCCGCTCTGTCTGTTCGCTGTGTGAGTCTTTGTACGCCCTCGTCTTATAAACTGTACCACGCTTCTTCCATTCCCCCCAACCCGTCCGTCTGTCTGTCTGCCCCTCTGCCTAGTTACCTGATCTTCGTCATCCCAAATAGCCTCAGCACCGCAAATATAAATTCAGCCAAATACAGAGCCAAACGCACAACAGACAGGGAGAGGGAGGGAGAGCATTTGAGACTGAGGACAGAAGACGCTGATAAATCTGAATCCAACATCTTTTCTCTCTCTTTCACTGATATCTGCTTGTAACTGACCAACTAACTAATCTGTCTCCGTTGCTCCAGCGCGCTGATTTCCTTGCACAAGGTCCTGCAGTGCGATCATGCTTCCGTTTGTGTGACATCTTGATGCGTTTTCCGCTTCTCTTTGTCTACTTGCGATATAGCTTTTCCGCCTGCCTGCCTGTGTCTCGCTGCGTCTCTGAACTCACACACACACACACACTCAAACACACACACACACACTTATACTTACCACTCTCACCTCCACCCCATCTGATTCCCAATTCTGCCTCCTTCATCTTGATCGCTCGCTCTGCTTTCTTCACTATCTAAATCGCTGGGTATTATCCACTAGTCTGTGGCCGTCTCCTCACCTCTCACTATCCATCACGGTTCACATACCCTACTGGTATTGCGCGACATTCGCTGCTTTCTCTTTCTCAACCCGTGCTGCTCTCTTCCCTCGCCATTACACAGAGTGCCATTTGACTAGGAGGACATTCTCATCCATCCTCTCTCCTTGCCCCTGCGGCCCGCCTCGTTCGACACATTCGGCTATATCCTATTTTGTCAATAAACAAAAGATATCCAATGAGCTATTGAGTAGCATCTCAACGCTAATCGCGCTTCCCCCCAGGGCAGGTGAGCTGTGAGTGAGTTGACCTCACTCTTGTCCGGGCGATCTCGTGGTTCTTACCTCCTTCGCCCTTACCCCGGCTACCCGCCGCAACTGCGTTGGCAAACGAAGAAGGCGTTTCTTTCTTTCTTGTGTGCCCAATTGTCTGCTTTACTTTGAACCAGATTATCCATTTCCCAATACTTACCTTCTACTCTCCGTTTCTGTGGATAAGTCCCGTGCCTTTTCTTTAATCCCTGCTACAACAAATATCCTTTTTCGCGGGCTTTCTCCCCTTCCCTTCTTGATACTTTTCTATTTATTTATTAATCTTCTTTCTTACATTCCCACCCTCCCCTCCTTCCACCCAGGCTCTTGTCTCCATCTCCGTTCGAACGCTGTATATTGTGTACATGACCTGTCTCGCTCGGCTTTAAACAAACTGATCAAGAGTTTTCGAGTTCTTTTTCTACCTTCCGGTGGTAAGTTTAGTTATTCATTCACTTGTCCCTTTTTTGTTAAGCATTCACACTCCAGCTCCTTCACATTCGACTATGCTAACCGAGAGTGATAGTCATATATTACTTAACATTTCTCTTGATTTTGATTTATGTGCATGATATCCTGCAAATACATCTTCTCTGTGACCTTTCTCCTTTCTTGTCTATTTTCTTTTTAAATTTTTATTTATTTATTTATATTTTATAAAAACCCTCTGCACATTGTCCATTGTGTACCAAAAGAGCTTTCCCTCGAAGCTGCAAATACCCACGAGATACCCCCAAAGATACCCTCACGATACCCCTTCGGCATATATTCGATTAGCAATAAATTTCACAAGATCACTCTTCTCTATCTGAACAAATTTTTTTTCTCAACATGACTTCAGGTTTAGCAGACGGTACTGTGGTGCATCGAGTAAGTTTTAGCATTTGTTTTCCAATTCCACATTTCATCACAGCTGTTAACCATCGAGCTTGACCTCTAACAATATATCCAACGTTGCAGTCCCATGTCCAGAATTCTAATATCAGTTCTTTGTCCACCATGAACGGTTCTGATCGTTCTCACATACCTCAAAGCTCAGGCATTGGCAAAACTTTCGGGACGCCAAAGACGAGCTGGAACAAGAATATCTGGGGAAACAACACACTGGGAGGTGGGTTTGGCGATGGGTCAGTCGATAGTGGTAGAGTACAAGGTATGGTCTATCCCCGTCAACTTTTAATTTATATATTCTTGGTGAATAACAGCTCTCTAATAACATATTCATCTGCTAGGCCACAAGAATCGTGGGTCTATCTCTGAGGTCCCAATCGAAGAGAAAACTGGATCTGGGTCTCTGTTATCGACTTCAGAGTCTGATGTTTGGGCAGAACCTCCCAACTTGCCATGGGAGTCAGTGTCCACCTTAAGGGGTACCCTGGCGAACCATCCAGGTCAAGTTCTCCCTAATGATCGAAGTACTCTGCTGACCATGGACGACACTTCTGGAGGCACTTCCTCTCCATACTTTCCCACCTCTTGCTCATCAGCCTTGGGCCAGCAGTCCCACACTTCAAGCAATAAGTCATTCATGGTGCAACCTGACATACTTCACTCATCCGCAACCCAAGACTCTCCTGGTATGGTAGGTTTTTATGGCTATAGACCTGAAGAAGCTGTTCGCCGTCACATCAACGGCCCTCCCTTTCATAACAATATAGGCTCACGCCTACAGATCAAATCGGGGCTCCCCTTGGGCGACATGGAAACCCCATTATCCGAGAATGGCATCAATCCTCTAAGCTCCCAATCGTTCTCCCCAAATGGAGCCGATCAGATTTTAAGGACAAGAGAGCAAACGCCCTATGGACACGTCTCCCACAACTCTGTTTCGATAATGTCACAGCGACCTGCGCACTCAGCGCATCCATCTTTCCACTCCGATTCTCATGGAAGCGATCCTAGATATCATGGTCCTCAAAACTATCTTACTTCTGGTATTGGTAAGTTTCATTTGCAGGGTGGTTATAATTATAATCACCAAACTGCACCTCACAGGACACCCTACCATTCACACGTCTCGCACGAACCGTCGTCAAGTCGACTTAAGCCTTACTTGGCAGATGATGGAACTGGCGCTTTCCCGGCTGATGATGCGTATGATTTCCAAGCCAATCATCCATTTGGTGCACCCCGTTTGAATGATAGAAGCCCGGCTTCACCCTCTGTCAGTGACTATACTCGCAGCGCGCATAGCTTCTATTCGGCTGGAGGGATTCCAGGAACTAACTCCCAGTTCCGGACCTCTTCTGGGAGTCGTCTGATAGGGCAATTGCCAAATGGGCAAGCAGAGCTTTTAGAGCGAAAGGTCCGAAGCTTCCAGGAAGAACAAGAATTCCTGCAGTCTACGGCGAACCTGCTTCAAGCACGCTTCTCCCTTGCTCAAGACTATGGATACTCAGGATATCAAGGAGTCCCTAGAGTGAACCTTCATTCCAACTATTATCCAGTTGCCTCGCTGAATGGACTTGGGCCTGCGTCCATTTTATCTAGAGTTCCTCATCGTGATCAGGATCCGTTTCAAGTTGTCCGCAGTCCTCTTCTCGAGGAGTTCAGAACGAACAACAAAAATAACAAACGATACGAACTGAAGGTGAGTGTATGTTGTTTTAAACTGATACTTGCCTTCCTCGACTTTCGTGGCTAACATATTTATCTTAGGATATCTATAACCATATTGTTGAGTTCAGCGGTGACCAACACGGGTCACGGTTTATTCAACACATGTTGGAGTCTGCAAATAGTGATGAAAAGGATAAAGTTTTCCGTGAGATCCAGCTTAATTCGCTTCAACTCATGACAGATGTCTTTGGCAACTACGTCGTTCAGAAACTTTTTGAGCATGGTAACCAGTCGCAGAAGAGGATACTGGCAAACCAAATGAAGGGTCACATCCTTGCACTGTCGACACAGATGTACGGTTGTCGGGTTGTTCAAAAGGTATGAACAACAGCCCTCTATCCCTTGCCTATTTCGATTTTGGTATGCTAATAAGATTGCGTAGGCTTTGGAACATATCCTAACGGACCAGCAAGCGTCAATGGTGAAAGAGCTCGAGAACCACGTTTTGAAATGCGTTAAAGATCAAAATGGCAACCATGTCATCCAGAAAGCAGTGGAGAGGGTCCCCACTGTTCATATCCAGTTCATCATCAATGCCTTTAAGGGACAGGTCAACCGATTGGCAGCCCACCCCTACGGCTGCAGAGTCATCCAACGGATGCTGGAACACTGCAACGAAGGAGACCGTCAAGCCATACTTGCAGAGCTCCATTCTTGTTCTGCCAGCCTTATCCCGGACCAATTTGGCAATTACGTGATTCAGCACATTCTTGAAAATGGCGAGG